AGTCTACAGAAGCACCAGGCTAACCCCTCTGCGCAAATGACGGCCCCGTTCCATATTAACCAGACGTTTGCGCCGATAGATTGCCCGGGCCCTTCAAGGATAGGTTATCGTCGGCGTGCATGGATATATATCAACGTTTCGTCCACACTCACCGAGGACCTAAACTTTCCTGTATAGTTATCTGTCATGGATGCAACGCCGCGGCAGCTAAGGAACCCCCTTATCCAAATGATTACGTATAGCGTGCTGTGTTCAACTCATATCAGGGCAGGTGGCTGGTATGGAACCCAGTCTACGACCATTCGGTATTTAACATTTCAAGAGGGGAACCCAGAAATCCGCCCGATTGCGACAGGTTGACCTGATATTAGTCCATGTGGGTAATCAATCTTCTTGTGCTACACAGCTGGTAGGATACAGTTACAGTATACATATTGGCATTAGCACCTGTTCAGAATTCCAATGCCTATGACAATACATTGAATTCCTGTGTCTACATGGAGCTAGCTGTTAGCATCCAATCGGAGCTTTCCTGGAAACAATTAAACTAACGTATACGACCATGCCCTGGTTTCAATTTAAGTGAGTTTGGGCTCTAAAACCTGAACGGCGAAGTGGAATGGCCTAGCGCTCAGCCTCCTCGTTTTCATGTCTCATCCGAGCTTTGAGGATCTCCAGGGCCTACCATCGTCTGCTCCCCAGTGGCTCATCTATGTACCGCCAACCATGGAATAAGTTGCGGGTTCTCTCCGTTGAATCACAGAGTGGGTATTTCTCATGATTTCTTCTTTTTTCTTTTTCTTGGATAAAGAAAGCTCTATTGTTTAACTATGCCGACACCTTAGAAAAACCGTTCCCCCCAGACATGAAATAAGCTCTGGTCTTGACTTGACTTGACTTTACTTACTTGACTGTCAAGGTAGTATGTAATCACGTACCCTTGTACTTGTACTCGTACTAGTATTAAGTACATGCATACCTAACACCTCCGTACAGTACCAACCAATGTCTTATCCACAAGTTGGCCACGTCTGTTGAAATAGCGTATCCACAATAGGCCCACCAAATTCTCACTTGACATACCTAGACAAGCACAGATTAACGAAATACTATAGAATAACCATCAGTCCATCGTATTCCCGCAAACAGGCAGGAAATCCAAATCCTCAGCATAGCAACTACCCCATAAAAGGCGTGAAAAAACGCCATTCCGTGTATAACCACGGGCACATGTGATCCCCTGAGTAATGATCAGAACATAGGTTGGAATCCTTTTACCCCCTTACTAGTAGCACAGTGCTACCAAGTCTGCAGTACTGGACATCCTTCGGTCTTAGCTCTATATACCGTAATAGCAATATCTTAGAATATACCACAATAAGGTCCCCCACAACCATCAACATCTCGGTATATCGCAGTCGACGCAATTGCCGCCATATATTCCACCGAGCAAATCCTGCCGATAATCACCCGTTATATACGAAGTACTTAGCCCCAAAGCAACGACCTCTCGTTAGATTTCATTTCCTCATAGCTCCCGTTCGGCTTAAACGGCCCCAATAACGAATCTTGTCTCACTAGTTAGAAGACACCATCAAATTCTGGTAGACTACTAAACTTACTATAAGCTTCCCTTACGTGCCGCCGTTGTGATATCCGAAACAAGTATATATGCCGAGAACCGAATCCTGTTGTGCCGGTTTCGTATGTGTACTTTAATCGCTTATCATTTCGCATACGAAATTACCTTTAGAATCGGAGATCGTTATATTCTCAAGATAAATACCACGTCTAAGCGTTGATTCATGTGTGTAGACCACTGAATCGAGTTGTATATATCTATAATCATCTATATGTACGTACACTGAGTGCCTAGCTAACTCTCTGGTATCTACCACTCTGTCCGTCCTTTATTACATATACAGCATAAATTTAGAAAAGAAACACCAACCTAAAATATACCATTCATGGTTGTGGTCGTATACCTAACAATCATTAGTCAATTCATCAAGGCCATGATGGTCAATGGCTATTAGTACTGTCAGTTCTTATGCTACGTTTCACACGACTGGCAAAATTCCCGTTGGCGGGGAAGGATGTACAAACGCATTCACCGACCCACCCTCAATCTTCACGGCCCGTATCTCAGTAAAATAAAAGCTAAGAGATCTTCTCTGCAGGTCTACCACAACCGAGAAAGGTTGGATCGTCGGTTGGGACATTGACCTCATTCATGTGCGTTGATAGTTTTGTTTCTCTAAATGTTGCTCCAGTCTCTGGCACAGGTGGGTGGGATGATTTGGGTAAGTTGAAGGCGAAGAATCATCTATAGATTAGCGGTTGCTGTTGCGAAGCATTGTGGAAGGGTGGCGGGAAGGAAGGTGTTTCTGGAAGGATCGCTTGGGAAATGTACAGTGTGTATTCTGTGGTTGTAGGGTGGTGTTCATTGTCGATTAAAGGATGATGTATGTAGATAGGTATGTTGTCGCACATGAGAGGGAAAGCAGTGAGGGTAGACATGCTGTGTTGAGTTGTCTTATGGATTGGAATTCTGGTTTGAGCAAGACTAAGTCGAAGTAAATGAATCCAAGCCAATTCTTGTCAGATTGACTGGCCGAGGCCGTGGAGAAGCCTTGGTGTAGCCTGAGTTAGGATGTCTCTGGTGAACATAGCTACGTCAATGGGTATTTGTTTACTTCATCAAGCGACACCAAGAAACAAGCCTACTTCAGTCCAAGACGTACTGCTACACTGGCACAGAGATTTCATACATTATCGTTAATAAAGTATTCATGGGTATTGCAAATTCCTTATTCATTTGCTGTGCTACCTTTTAACCGAAGTAAAATCATATCAAACACAAAACCGAATCACCCGTTTAGTTCTCGTGGAGAGTGTTGAGGAACTCCTTGGAAGGAGCATCAGGCTTCTGGCTCTCAACAGATTTCTGGCCGAGCTTCTCCTTCGAGAAAGCAGCGGCGTAAGGGTTGAGGCGCAGCATGACCTGCTTGTTGCGGAGAGGGTTCTTCTTCTGGACGTTGCTGCGCTTGGTGCGAGCCTCACCCTTGGGGGCACGGAGGACGGACTGGATCTCAGAGGAGTTGATCAGGCGGGCAAGATCAGCGTTAGAGACAACGTTCTGGGGCAGGAGGAAGTCCTTCTTGAGGGCGGCAGGGGCAGAGCCAGAGCCGAAGACCTGGTCAAGGGCCTCGAAGGCGGAGGAGGTCCAGACAATGAAGCGACCGAGGTGACCACCAGGGGCGAGCTGGAGGAGGTTGAGGGCGAAGACGGGGGAGGTCTCGACACCGGGGATGTTGCGGAAGGCACGGACGAGCTCCTTGCCATCAACCTCGGGGTTGTAGACAACGAGAGGACCGCGGCGCTGGCGGAAGCGGCGGTTCCTGAGCTTACCCTTACCGGCACGCATCTTGCGGGACTTGGCAACCTTGACGAGGTCCTCACCGGCACCAAGAGCCTTCAGAAGGTTGATGGCAGCCTTGGTCTTGGTGAGAGCAGCACCCTCGAAGGTCTTGGACTCAACGACGAGGGGAACCTCGGGGACGTTGGCAACGCGGTGACCGCGGGCGAACAGGAGAGCAGGGACGGAAGAAGCAGCCAGAGCAGACGCGGTAGCGAAGCGCCTATAATCCTATTAATATCACGCATTTTTCCACTTCCAGATTCTTCATTCGTTGGATGCCATACTTCTGGTTCAGGTTGAGCTTCTGGTGCCACTTGCGCCAAACCTTGGTAGGAGCGAACATACGACCAGAGCGGCACTGGTTACCGAAGGCAGCCTGGCCAGCACGGTGAGTACCACCACCAGAGACACGAGGGATACGAGCGACAGCGCGACCTGATAGGAAAATTCTGTTCAGCGATCCAATTCCTTCTTAAGCTTGCCATTGTGGTTCCCCAATTTCACATACCGGTACCCCAGGATTCAGCGGAGGTCTGTTCACCAGCCTTCTCGCTCACGGCATAAGGCTGTCTCTTGTTCTTGGCCATGCCGGTGTGCACCTGCCTATAATGAAGCCGTCAGCCATCCTCCGGTCCCTCTCTAAATCGCGGCGTAAACTCATCGAACATACTGGACAACATCAAGACGGATGGGCGCGTTGAAAACGGCCGGGAGGGGGGCAGTGGCCCCGCTGGGCTTGCCTTCAGCTGTGGCGATGGTGACGGTAGGACGAGACGCCATTGTTGTCGACGGTGAGGTGGTCGTTGTCGTCGTTCGAGGTTGGAGATCGAGTATCCTCCCGATGTGCTGAGGAAATTTTCGCTTAGTCCGGGACGGGTGGTGGGCTCCCTAGAAACCCTAAGCCCTGGTTACCTGTTTTGAGCGGGTCGCTTCTAACTTGGCAGACACCTCAGGCTTGACTGTTACCTTAGACCAACTACACCGAAAACGTGTCTTCTGCATAGCATACTAGTTATATTGAAGGCAATACGTGACTTTATGCCTTCTCATGTCCTGATATACCGAATTTCTTTTCCATTCTTTCTATAAGCTGCTGTGCAATTGCACTGTCATATTTGCAGTTATCTCACCTTGAACATTGACGTTGTTTTTCACTGCCAAATCTGACTAATCAATTATGCGTTATGCCAACATCACTGGCAACTGGAGAAATAAACAATATATCAATCACCAATTTGTTTATAGAATTCTATATAAGAGCCATAAAAGACAAGACAAAACAATGCATTAACAGATCCACTTCGGGAGCATTTTCTCTGTGATACTAAAACAAATCCATTATCTCCAAGTTCAACAGACCATCCGATCTTCACATATGATTCAATATATTCCAGGTATCTGTATAAAAGGATAACCTAGGCATCAGGAACATGAATCCAAGCAATACGACGCTCTTTGCCTTCTATAAAGACGTAACGGGCAAACCACATCTTAATAGTTACCTAAGCATTATGGGAAAAAGAGGACTACCTATTACAAATACTGATTGACTACGTATGTTATGGTCGGGTTAGTCCTACGGTATTCATGTATTAGAGTGATCGAAAACTAGAACGATATCATGTTCAAGGCTTCCTATTTAAGAATGGTCGGGTTTCAGCCATCTTCTCAACCCTAGAAAGTACATACAATGGAAGTAAAAAAAAGGTCCCATGAGGGCTCCCCCCACAAGCACACCTGCCCACGGAAGGAAAGCGAAGAGAATTTTCAAAGGAGCAAGTCAACATAACCGAACCGGCGGGTACATGACTCTGCTTTATGCGTGGTTGTGGCCATAGCTGCGCTTCCTGTGACGCATCTCGTGGAGCATACGGGGCTTGACGTTGACAGCTTTGACCTTGAGGTTCTGATCCTGGCCAGCGGTGCATTCAGTACCATCGGCCATTTGCTGCACGGCGGACCACTGTCCGTTGGCACAGCGCTGGAAGGAAGAGCCACCAATGCAGTTCCAAATGCCCTCCGAATTGCAAGATCCGGTCAAGGAACCAGAGCTAGAGGAAGAGTCGGAGCCGGAGCTAGAACCAGAGTTGGAGCCGCCCGAAGGGGAGCTGGTGTGGGTAGGTTGAGCTGGCTGGGTGGGCTTGGCTGGCTTGTCGGTGGGGACAAAGATACCGGGAGCTGATGACTGGGATGGCTGGGGAATCAATGTCGAGGAAGCCACCGGTGCGGGAGGAACAGGGACCGAGGTAGCACCGGAGGACCCAGCGGAGGAGCTGGAAGAGCTGCCGCTAGAACCGCTAGAGCCACTGGAGCCGGCGGTATTGCCATCTGCACCGAAGGAGGGGGTGCCAGTGCAGGCAGTACTGCCCTCGGGTGCGAGGTTCTTGGGATTACCGGCGTATTCAACCTCGCTGCCGGGGTTAGGGAAACGGATGTCGACACCCTCCTTGGTGGTACAACCGTTGACATTGGCGACGAACATGGGAGGGAAGTTGGCAGAGCGCTTCGCAACCGCCTTCTCCTCAACAGGCTTTTCCTCAGCAATTTCGTCACGCTTCGATTTACCGCCGGTAACAGTGAGAGGGGCACAGTTCATGTACATCTCACGGTTTCCAATACGGTTGAACCAAGTCCAAGCGAGAGTGTACTTGCCAGGTTCGATACCTTCGGGAATAGTGTAGTGGAAGGTGCTTGCACCCTCAGAGGAGGGGCCACCGGACAAATTGCCATCGACGTTGGCGGGGCATCCGCCCTCAATCGACTTGATAACCATCCACTTAGAGTCCTTGGTGGGCTCGCGATCGGTGGTCAAGCTGACCTGGCAAGATCCACCGCCATGAGTAGCACTGCCAAGGAAGGACAAGGGCATCGATTGGCCGATAGCGGCAGTGTTCTCCTCGGTGACCTGGTAAGTGTTGGACCTCATTTTGCAAGGGAAGTCGCTACCATCCGCCGCGAGAGGAGAGTTGTTGAGAGTATCCTTGCCGTAGGGAACCGGCTGCTTCATCATCATATGGGCCTCAACGGCGGAAACACCGAGCATAGCGGCGGCGAGGAAAGCCTTAGAGAACATTTTGACTGTTTCTTTTTTAGAGGAGCGTTGGTGCTATTGATTTGTGTATTCGACAGCTGAAAGAATGGCTCGAGATTCTGATCGTACCGGACGAGTCAGAACCGCTGGACAAGACCTTGAATGTAGTCGTGTAAACGAGTCTGGAAGGTAATCAAATTAGAAGATGGATTCACAAGAAACGAACGGATATGGCATGCTGTTATATATAACTGATCCCGCACAGATCGACTAACACAAAATACAGGATCGCAGCAAATTGCCGGAACCATTCTCGAATAAACAAAATAGGAGATACTTGGCAGGAAGTGGACAATACCTTTTTCTAGAAGCAGGACTGAGAACAATGCCTGCTTGGTTTCGCGACTGAAGGACAATGACTTTCTTACTGAGAGACGATTGTTCTGTATAATGAAACCGAAAAAGAGTTGTCACACGTCTAGACAGTAACAGAGGCGGGTTTGTCCAAGAAAAGGAATGTCGGTATCTGCCACAGGCAAAAGACCAAGAACACAAAAAGGAGTGTAGAAAGTAAACAGGAACTAGCCTGTGAAACTGTCGAACTGCTAAAGGATTGAAGCGCACCAGCGTGTAGTGAAGAAAGAAGAGAGGGAGAGAGGGGAGGAGGCAAGTGCCGAATATATAGTTTTCCAGAGCAATTCAACCAAGCATTATCGCCAGCAGCAGTCGTGGGAATTGCCGTGGACGGTTTAGGCAGGGTGGGGTGACAAGCGTTGGATCACAAACTCTGAACATGCCAAAGGCAAGCCTCTATGGAAGGGTTCTGAACAAATGTGAAACCGCCAGCAGTGGGGACCTCCATCGATCCATCATCGCTGGAAGATGGAACAGAGTTCAAGGTTGCGCATCGCGGGTGTTCAAAGCGCCTGAGTGGCTGACGGGGTTCAGCGCCCTGCAGCCATTGAGGGTCGCCGGTGCAGGATAGACAGGATTCGTTACCCTAAGCGGCTCCTGCAGACTAGGAAAGAAAACAGTATCGGACAATATGTATTGTATGTATGGATGGAGAAAGATGCAGCAATATTTCCATGCAATTGACCATACACCTGTTGGAAGAAGCAGGGTACTGGAGATGTTACTTACCTGAGTACGACTAGTTCGTGTACTATATCCAGTCAGAAGTCCCAGCCATGTTTTCCCATTTAGTCCTGCATTAGTGCCGACCGCCTTGCCCAACAGGAAATCCGCCCCTGGCCGCGGGGAGGGGCTTTGGTGTCACACCATCCGCCCAATTGCTCTCGGTTCCTGAACTGCATTGGTCGGGTCCTTTGGCGCCTTGGATGGCAAGATGGGGCCGTCCTCAGCGGATCTGCTGCCAATCATCGCGCATCGCCACAATCATGGAGGCTTAACACAAAAACCGTACTAACTCCAAATTTCAGACGTGGATATCATCTCCTTCCCCAAAATCCCAATTAAATTACTGAGTTACATCGCAGCTCGACAACCTCATCTCATTCCCTAATAATATTACTAACAGAACTTCCACAGCAATATAACATATAGTGAAGTTAAGATTACTTACTCCTCCATCTTTCTTGTTGAGATAACCAAATGCTACATACCCATTTCCCAACGACCCTCAATCCAGGTGGCGTTGAAGTGGTATAGTACATACAATATTACTTACTCGGATACGCTCTTTGCCCACCACGTCACATACGTCGAAACACACAGGGTAAAATCTCGTCTACAGTAATATTGATCATTGACCCGCCTAACTGGGACAATGATTTATTATTTTTATTTTTCTTAACTAAATTCAGAAAAAGAGAGAGAGAGAGAGACGGAGTTGACCGCCAAACGTGGGGCAAAGGAGAATCAGACATGATGTCTGATAGACGCCGAACATTAACCACTCAGGTTATCTAAACCGTTGTGACTCGTAGGCCACAATACGAGAATGTCTCCATTTTTTTTTTCTCCCACCGCAAGACCAAATGTGAATGCGTGGTATGTATAACATCTCGTTGTTAATGCTAGCAACCCCGTCGGACTCCATACCGCAGCCCGTCCAAGAAAAAATAGACTAGCTAACCTCTAAATCAAAATTCCCCGGTGCGGTTTCTCATTGCGCCGCTTAGCGCTCTACGCACACACATGTGGCAAAATTCTTGGGGTTATACTTAGGACAAGACTGGGACGTGCAGAGAGGCAAGCGAGACATGAGCTGCGCGTACTCCGTACAAAGATAGTACTTTCGTCTTAAACCGGTAGAACCTCCGTCTTTGGACCTCAAAATAGGAATCCGATTCAATAGGTGCGGTTGGGAATCAAGGAGCGTCGAAGTTTAAACCTGACACTATTATTCTGTTGTCGCGAAAGACCAATATCCAGCCTCCCTCCCTTCTTCCATGGTTCAAAGGTCCAGATCTCCGGTCCCGTACCATTTCCTTGCCGAGTTTGGGACATTACGTCTTGTGGGGTAAATAGACCGATTTACTGGGCATTCTGTACTTTGATGTCCTCCTCTAGGTGCCAAGTCGATATGTAATATGTATAATAGTCCTGGATATATTAGTCGCCATGGAAAAATTCTCCTTGTTCTCGGGTCCCGTATCCACTTGCTTCTGTCGCTTAAGTCGAAATTAAGAGAGAGTCACTAACATGCGATCCTCCCGTCGATTTGTGTTTCAGATAAATTGGTGGCTTCGGGTGGAAGTCTGATTTGCCGAGTGTTCGTGTAGTGCTCGCCAATAAGCTCTTGAGATTTCTTAAGGTCGTACTGGGTTTAATTTATATTCGTGATCGGTATTTGCAACCTTGGGGTCATTTCTCTTTCTATCTTTCTTCCCCATGTGACGTCGGACTGTCCCGACAGTGTTGCGATGAGATTGTACGACCGTGTCGAGACAAGATCAAAACAATCAATCTAGATCCTTTCTTTGTGAAATGAATGCTATGGGTTCGTAGTTTAGTCCGGCTCTCGATAATCTAACTTGATCTTATCGATTGCACCCGTATGGAGCCTCCAGGGGTCATACTATTACTAGTCCAGACCCTGTTCACGTTTTTCAGGCACCAAAGTTAACCGGCCAGGTACCCCGATCATCCCATTGGTTCTGCAGCCGCCGTGCGACCATTTATCTCCACCACATGGAATCAATGAAGAACACCATCGTAGGAAATCGCCCTACATTCCAGCTCACATACCAAGCTTTGATGAAGGCATTAGCTCACAGGATCATCCGAATTACCCAACGATCGGGCAATGCCTCCATCCATTATGTAATCTACGTCGAATGTATCGAGATCTGAAACCGATATCTCACATCGGTACTAGGTAGCCCCTCCTGTCTACTTTGGCCATGGCCTAGTCAAGACAGCTTCTAGTAATGGGAACTTTGACGGTAGATGGGACTTGGCTTTAACCTTCTGGGGCGCTGTGGTGGGCCTGTTAATCTCGCTCCTGGGTTATTACTACCCACTAGCTTGATTACCCGCTAGACAAAACGTAGGGTAGGATTCGACTGCCGGACGTCATGCTGCGATGTGTCACTGTATTGTTTCAGGGTGTGGAGTGTGGGTATCATTCTTTGACTTTGAGTTGCTGACTATTACTGAGTCGGACGTTTGAGATCTGAAGGCTTGATAGACATGTCACTGATTATTAACTTTTCCCTTGTTGAAATCAAAGGTCCTGAACCGCAGGGTCTTGAGGGTCCATAAAACCTTTCCGCCTTTGTTCAGTTACAGGCTATCGGGTGTCTTTGTTCTATGGTACGATCTATTGGACGGGGGCTCGTTAATTGAGTGAGTCTCCATCCCCTCCCCAGGCAACGCCTTTTTTTTGCTGTTGGGTTTAATCTGATGCGAAATTGCTGTACCCACCTCCTTCGTCTCACGGAAGGTTCTCGATTCTCCCTAATTGGTAACGAGAACTTGCTTCGCTACTCGAGCGACAATGGTCTGAGCCACCTAGCTCCTGTGGAACGTAGTACACGGTGGTCCAAGCACATCGACTGATGGAATCCGATACTACCTTGCAAACGCCGAGCTCATCCAGGGAACCTACCGATGCGACCAGTAGATGGGTTCACGGCACGGTACGGATGAGTCGGTAGCAGACGAGCAAGCTCATTCGGCCTATGATCCACTCCAAATCCTGAACTCATTTCTTTCCTTTCTTCTTCCCCTTCTCATTACCTCCAGGAGTTGATTCCTTGACGAACCCACCCTTCACCAGCGCATCGCGACCGACAGCATTGATAATGCGAAACCGATCTGGACCCAGTAACACTCCGCCGTACCATCGCGTGACTACCACGACAACATCCCATACGTCCATCAACTGCATGAGATGGAGCAATCTACCCCCAGCAGCCGTCTCCCCATCATCATCGCAATCTTGCACAATCATCTCCGTGGACTCGCCTTTCCCACTTGATGGTTTCTGTTGCCTAATGCGCCAAGCACTTATATTATGCGTCGCAGCCGCGACCTTCTTTTCCGTCGCCAGGAGATAATCCAAATAAGCCTGAGCCTGCTCAAGACTAGTAACATGCGCCGCGCGCCCAACAAAGACGGATTTCTTCTCCGTTACCACATCCGACAAGATCCAGTTAGGTGGACTGTCCAGTCCGAATGACTCTTTCAACGACAAGCTGGCAAATTCCTCAGCCTTGCAGTCTGGCGCATTCACCTCCTCGACTTGCTCTTTGCTATTATCGTTGGTATTGCTTCCTCCGATGTTCAACTCCTGGAACGCCTCCACCGCCTCATTAATCACATCAAATAAGCATACAGCTCCAGGCTGGTATGTTCTTCCCAATATATCCTCCAACACGTCGACAGCGACTTTGCCCTCCCCGCGCGACGCCGTAGACGCGGTCCCAAGAACCTTGGGTGGTGTATCCGGATACGAGGCATCGAATCCAAGCATAAACGATAGGTGCGGGTGTTCCGGAATTCGTAGCTTCACTGTCGCGACTAACGGATCTGTTGAGCTCGAAGTGCCTAAATCAAGTGTAGAGTTGGCTGTGGACGACGAAGTTGTGCCATTAATCGTAACGGTGTCTGGTTCGTAAATGGCATTGATCGCCTCTATTTCTTCCGATAACTCATTGTTGCCGAGGGAGTCGAGTTGGGCCGACATTTTGGGTCATCGGGTGTGATACAAAGTAGTCTGTTGGATCAGTGTGTCTTGAGAAGATTACTTACCCGCCAATGTCATCGCTTTTTTTTTCGTGCAGGGTAGTTAATGTCCGGTCATTATATTATAGCTGACTAATGGTTGCATCGGCATGATAGCCGATGTCAATGTCAGGCAATGCAGGCGGCCGTTATTGTCTGGCAGAACTTTTGTACACTCCCTGAAATGGCTCGTTGAATAGTGTATCTTTGGCTGGGTCAGCATTCCAGGTCCACTATAACATAGCAAGCGTTTATTTTCGGATAAAAAGTTTCTTTCATAAGGTCGACTATACAACTATATGTCTGAATAAATTGTATATACAAAATAGAACTTTTGGAGACATCAATCTTCCAGTTTACCAGTAAAAAGGACCGCCTTCTGATTAAGGTAGGCGGTCTGCTGTATATAGTGTATGCAATGCAATGAATTGATTCTCTAGCTCCGAATATTGAATCTGCTTCTCTTCTTTGTTTCGAAGGTTGAGAAAAGAAAATGAATATGATCTATAGGTAAAATACATTGTCCTAGCTAGATAGCATGTTGATACATAATCTTGAGTTCTTACAGAGAACTCATAGAGCGTCAAGAACAATTCATATGTATATATATTTATTCCTGTCAATCTGGGATGTCAACAACTAATATGCACAAGACGTTGAAGCAAACCATTGGCGTTTAACATCCACCTCCTAAGAAATTTCCTACGCACTCCGTTCCCAAATTTTGGGCCACCTTGGAAATATTCTCACCTTCCTCCTCGAGGCCATCCAAATCTGTTCTCTGCCAGAACGACCGGAACCCATCCACCAGTCTCACCGTGATACCCTTCACCTCAGATTCGGGCATGGCCGCAAAACATAGTCGGTAATACTGCCAAGAACGGTCCAAGGCATCCTGCGAGGGAGCGAACACCTGTCCTGGACCAAGGAGACAGAGGTATGGTTTCTGCGTCAGGTGTACCCATAATGCCTTGGAAAGCCTGGCTAGTTCATATTTTCCATGCAAGGGGTGGGTGTCGAGACGGAGCTTAATCCAGACAAACATTCCTCCGGTAGGCCAGGAAAAGTCGTACATCGGTAGTTTATCTACGACTTCCCAGGAACTTTCATCGTTGGACTCGGGATTTTCAAGACCGGAATCCATGGCAACAACATATTTACCCTCCTCTAGAGTGCTGCACATGTCCTGCATGCGTCGTTCATATCCACCACGCAAACCCTCCAGCCAACGGATCCAGCCGTCCATCTGCCAGCTACGATAGCTCTTGCCCGAATTGGCGGAACTGTCATCTGTCTGTTGCCCCAAAATCAGATTGGCTACCATGGCCTGAACAAAGCCCGACGGCGCCTGCGTTGCGGTCTCGGTTATCCGAGTCAATCTTTCGATCACGGCTGGCTGGGCTGTTATCCAACCCAAGCGACAGCCAGGAGCGATGGTCTTGGAGAAAGTATCGAGACGTACCACGCGTCCGTCCGTGTCTACAGACAGGTACGATGGGACTAGCGAGTCTAGGAATTCATATCCCGATGACTTTCCATGCGCGTTGTAATTGCGCTTCACGAAAGTTCTATCTATGGGTGTGCCTCGATGCTGGGATTCCAGCACGGCCGCCGACGGGTACTGCAGATTCCAGTAAGGATCATCCTCGACTATGATGATATCATATCTGTGGCAGAGAGCATAGATCTCTTTCCTACGCTCAACGGATAGCGTACCACCCGTGGGGTTCTGGCCAATCCTGTATCGAAAGAAAAAAGAAGCAAATATGTCAGCTGTAACTTGACATAAAGAAAGATAGCCATATCCATTGGAGGTTAGGGTGTACGTACGTTATGGTGTACATCAAATGCGGACGACGGCCTTTTCGGAAATCCCAATTTTCAAGGACGTCGGCTAATCCTCCTTTCCCGCGGGCTAGCATCCCCTGTGTGTCAATGGTGACTGGTACGATATTGAGACCTCTAGGCTTGGCGGTTGCAGGGGCGTTCATATATACGAATTCCTCGCAGAGAATACCCTCCCGCTGGCTCGTCCAGTCTCTCTCGGGATTCCAGATATTCGTGAATGCTTCGATTGTCTTCGAGAAGCCGTCGGTTGCTCCACTGGTGAGGAGGGTCTCGGGGCCTCCGGCGTATGGGACATTGGGATGAAGATGGTGACGGACGAATTGGCGAACAAACGAGGCGAGAGGAGGAAGGCCTTCAGCCGTTCCATACTGCAAGGCAGTGGTGATGTCAATTTTCTCCTGGAGATTAGTCGTGTGACTCTCCCTGGGAATGATCAGCCGCCTGGATGACTTGGTGTCATTTCCGGACTGTTTGGTCGGATCAATGTTGGATGGTTGGAAACGCTGAGGTGTCGCGACGCGTGCCTCCAGAGTATCGTACGGAAAGTATGCGGCATTTGGTAGGCCTAATGATGGGTGTTGACCGGGGTTAGTAAGTGGTACAAGAAGAAGAAAGTCTAGAGCTGAGTGACTGTCATCAGTGCGTACCACCAGCCAGGTTAGCAATGCCCGGGATGAAGAAGTACTTGTATAGCTCCTTGATACCACTCGCCTCGCGTCTTTTGGTGGTGGATGCAAAATGATGGGATAAATCCACAGGAGGCGATGGTTGCGCCATGGTACACACTTTGGGGGATAGTTGATTATGGATGGCTCTGTTTCTTTGTCGTCTAGTCTAAGGATTGATCGAAAATGAACAATTATTAGGATATTTCTGTCTACTTGAAAGAAGGCAGTACGCCTGGTTCATGTGAAACTCCTCCCTTATCATGACCAATCTTCAACGGTTATTTCCTTCGTCCTCCCTCCATGCTTGATAAGCAGAATCAAGGTCCACTTTGAAGACCAAGGCCGTTGGGGATCCTTTGTTTCTATTAGTGTGCTTGGCCGTCGGCTAGCGATAGCGTTCGATGACGGATGCTTCGCCTTATCCGACAAATCCGATGTGATCGTGGGGGAATTCGTCCCAAAGATATCACTTGGTCTATGATGGTCTTAGACTATCGAAGTCCTAACTGATTTAGTCTCCTCCCTACGCCGTAGAACTATAAGAATTGATTCTGTGTTTGGGGAAGGGAAAAAATGGCCTCTGCCCCACCGGGGTAATTTCCCTGAGTAATGTTCCGTGTATGCACGACTATAACTAAGCTTGCATTTCTTGTCTCTTGTCTCTTGACAGTTTTTCAACAACCACTTTCAAATTGACTTTTTTTTCCCCAACCATGAAATCTCCGATTAATTCCCCTCATGAATGCTCCAATGGCAATGCAATTTTGCCACAGGGCTCCCCTGACAATCGTGAAGGGAGGCGCTGACATAATCGTCGATGATTGGCCGGCATTGCCACCGGAGCAGCTGACTTGTCGAACCCAATGAATGATTGTCCAACACTCTCTCCTTCTCAACCTTTCTCTCTTCCTTCCTCTTCATTCATATCATAAAGTATTATTGTTACCCGGTTATCCTTATTCAGATCCAATCATTACTCGTTGATTAGTTCCTGGAATGGCCATGGTCATGTCTTTCCGCTGGTTGTGAAATAGAACATTGACATCCTATTCATCCTCGGTCTAGAACTCTGGCGGTGACGGTCCCTGTCTCGGTCACTCCACCGTTCATCCCCCACTTCCGGCGGTTGCCTATCCGGTCTCGTGCTTGGGCTTCTGCTTCTGCACCTTCTTCTTCACTTCATATCGCTGGCCCGATTATTGTATAGCCTCCAGAGACCACAATAAGATGTTTGGTGAAGGCCCCGAGGATGGTTCTCGGGCTTATATCCCTCCGCTACTAGACTCGGAGCGTTCCTACGATCCCGACGCTTCCGACATCGTACCTCAGGACGCAGAGAGCGGCGTCTCTTACATCCCCGTCTGGCTACGGGAGTCTTCTAAGTCCTTCAAATGGGGCTGGGTACCGTTACCTATTCGCAAAGTCGCACGAGCGACTGCAAACTGGGTGAAAGGCCCGGATCCTCCACATGACCTTCTGTTGAAGCCATTGTTCCCTCGCTTCCAAGAACTCCCGGTCCGGTACCTGGAACGTGTCTTTCCCAAAAGGAAGCAGAAGGTCGCCTTACTTTGTCTCTTTTATCTCGTCTGGTTTTTGCCCTGGTCCATTATTCTTCTCCACTCGCGCTCGGCGGGTTATATCGAGGGCTTTGGACGGCCACAGACTCTCACTTGTAGAACGACTCTCTGGTAAGTTGTTGCCTGGGAACAGCCTCGTGACGTCTTTTGCTGTCGGCAGATCTAACCAAGCTCTAACAGGGAGTATGGAAATGGGTGCGGTCTCAATGGTAACGACTGCCGCCCCTTCACGGCTGCGACGCTACCCTTCCGCTGTCCCGCGAATTGCAAGGATGCTAAACTGCTCTCACCCCATATGGTGGGCAATGAGTCTTTCAGCTACAGAGGCCTTGTGGTTGGTGGATCACAACCCGGATCGGATGAATCACCGGTTTATCGGGCAGATAGCTTTGTCTGCCAAGCCGCTATTCATGCAGGTGTCATCACAAATACCATTGGCGGTTGCGGCGTTATGAAGCTAGAAGGCGCGACGCATTCCTTCCCTGCATCGAAGCAGAATGGAATTAGCTCGGTTGGCTTTCCGTCGACCTTCCCTAAGTCATTCAGTTTCGTTTCGCTAGGGTCATCACAAGACACTTGCCCCAACGATCCGCGGTGGCCGCTTTTGGGTATTACCGTTGGCGCACTAGTGACTTTGTGGCTTCTCTGCCGGTCACCCCCTGTTCTTTTCTTTAGTACCTTTTTCATGGTTTTCTGTCAGATTGGGCTGGTGTCGGATCCACCGTCGTTACCCCATTTTGCCGATCTCGTTTCTAGCTTGCTTGCGAATCTCTTACCAGCATCGTTCGTGGCCTTCGTCTTGTTCAGGTACTGCGCGCGGCCACTACTTGGTCCACTATCAGAGGCTACCTATCAGATGACAAAGACATTCCTGTACTTGCCACCTGTGTTTATCGGTGCCCTGAACAACTACACTTTCGCAAGATTGATTCCTCTCGAACGTCTGACCCCACATGATATCCAGCGGCAGCCTGGAGCCAAAGTGGCGCTAGCCATGGTTATTCCGACAGTTATTTGCATTATTCTCAGCCAAGCCTGGCAGATCCGCCAGGGCGGTCTCATGCCGCATTACCTTAAGATCTACTGCACGATGGGTCTCATTCTCCTGATATTACTCCCCTTGCCTGGGCTCCGTCTTCGAATTCACCATTACATCCTTGCAATCCTTCTTATGCCTGGCACCGCGCTTCCTACGCGGCCCTCGCTGATTTACCAGGGGTTGCTTCTTGGGCTCTTTATGAACGGCATTGCTCGATGGGGTTTCGCCTCGATCATCGAGACGCCCGCCGCCCTGGGTGAGCAGCCCGGTGGAGCTCACGGGTGGTGGGGAGGTACCTACCCCAACATCACCGACGGAACGGTTAATATCACCCTCCCTGGCGCAGGGTCCAACGAAGCATACCATGGAAACGGCAACATCACATTCACGCTGTGGGAAAGAGAGCGCATGGCCGATCTGGGCGTGGATGGTATTTCGGTCCTGGTCAACGATGTCGAGCGCTGGCGCGGGTACCTGGATGAGGATAAGCATGGAGAATTTACCTGGCATCGGCACGGACACAATGGCCTAGAGCTCCAGCACCGCCCAACAATCGAAAGTGACACGATCGGTCTTGACCTAGAGGATGATGAAGATGACAGTAAACCCGAAGATCTCTTTTTCCGCTTTGCGTTCTTGAAGGGAGCCGAAGCAGGGAAATACGGCGGGGCCGGTGTATGGTTGGAGGACGGGCAGTGGATTTCTCCCCCTCCGCCAAAAGAGTAGACTTGATTTTTTGCTTTTTTGTACGTGCAGACCTTAGACGAAAGATTATACTACACTATACCCTACTGTAACGGGATGATTGGATATGAGGGCGTGTGGGGTGCGAATGATGAGGCGTTATCTGTACTTAGACTATCTGTTCGATTATGAATGATGAATTGTGATTCTACCAACCCCGCGTACAGAGTGGGAGGTAGTAAATCGATATTTAAAAGTGTTGTGTAGGACATATGCGATGTAAATTCACCCAGTATTGGACATATGAGCATAAGATACGCTAGACAAGCTGCTGGAGCCACTGGTGGGGAGAGGGGAAAGACCAGGAACATGCGAAAGCGGATGAGTATACCCTTGATTTGAACCTTTGTGCTTGAGGTACTCGGCAGAATACTTCTGCCATTTTGTCAGCCAGATGTCGATAAAAGCCGCAATTCTGTAACCTGACGTGATATTCGACTTGCGTAGTGAAGAGTTTCAAGCGGCTAGTGTCAGCGAAGGATAGGCAGGTGGTCTGGCATTCGAATTACCAGTGATTAGGGCAACTAACGACTCAACCGAAGCCCAACTGGATCTATGAAATTTGATTGAAGACTTTGGATATCAGCTCTATAGACTCTAGCTCCAGAAAGGACAGAAAAGAAAACAGGGGGTGGAAAGTCTGTGTGAGTGCTAGATAACGAACGAATATTTGGCACAGGGTCTAGTAGACTATTTACATGCACATCGCCGGGATGTCTTCTGATATTCAATATAGGTCTACTCTTTCCGGGATAAAATGCCCCAGAAATACCTTAATTGTACTCGACAATATTCCATCCTGCCGTTAAAAAACATATCCATGGTACTTAACCGGTGAAAATAGTGTAATGGAGTTACCTATGCAACTTAGTGCGGCCACCGAGGGATCAAAAGCGTAGATTCTCTAATGCTCAGAGAGGCCAGACATTTGGAATTGTTAGTACACGAACCAATTCCTATATGTGGCTTATTTCCTCATTTTTCTTTTCTCTCTTTCTTTCTTCTTCTTCGGAGGGAGTTAGTCCCTTTGTATCTAGGTGAATCCAAACTTCGTGAATATGTTCAATCCTGATTACACGCACCTGTAACCCTAACTCTTCCTCACATTCTCCGTCCAATATACCCTCCCAGATCAGCTCCCCATCTATAAATACTCCCTTGTCGCTTTTGAAAGGCTTATCTTCCTTAATTTTATCTTTTATTTTAAGCCAAAATTTCCTTGTCGACATCATCATATAGGAGGCACTTGTCTCTTCTAAGTACCCAGCCTGTGTTCGGTATTTACAAACCCTTGAAGAGAGATGCCCCTTACAGCCAGAAACATCTTTTTATGTTTGTTTATGAAGGCGACAACACCAATGCTGACAAGGATTCAATTACTGTTCAAAATTGCTTCTGAGATGTATTTGGCTTCACTGCGAACATCATGGCAATGACAATCTCTAAAGGAGAGAAAGCTGCCAAAGCCCTAAAACTGCAACATAAAAGACCAGCAGTCTTTCCTTTCACATATTCCTTTACTCTTTCCATTTAGATGGTCAGAAGTTTGATGTCATCTTTGAAATGACCATCAAACTTCACACTAACATCATAATGAAGCCAGACTTCTGTACTGTGTATTAGTAAACTGACTTCAAGACAGAAAGGGTATCTAGAATTGCCTGTACCATTTCTATTCTTTAAATAGAGTCGTATCTCTCCTTTCGCGAGGAAGAGATTAATCTTTCCAACAACGCCGTCTTTGAGGTTGCCGTAAAGGTTGAGGATATGTGCACCGAATACCTCAACCCGGACACCTACCTCCAAAGTGCTGGTATTAATATAGCCGATTATCTGGAAAGTCTGTAAGTTTAGGAGATCAGTTAGGAGAGCATCCAACATGCCTTGACTGGCCCGAAGGAGAAATCAATATCATGAATATCGTGGGCATTGACAGGAGGAGCTATAGGCAGTGAATTGACGGATGGGATCTGTGTGGCTTTGAAGACAGTTGGCTGCCCATCCTCCTTCGCCTCCTGTTCCAAAGTGACAACGAAGCCTGGTTGAGTTAGCTAGTGTTGGCCAAGAGACCTTCACCATACTCACCGGCGCGGACTTCTCCAGTTCGTGCTGCCATTGTATGGTATTAGTGCTGGAGAAACTAGTTGCCGATGTATTAGACGACGATCTCTGCTGAGGGTACTTTTATAGATTTTGGGGAGGATACTTACCCATATTTATAGCTCAAGTGACATATCAGGTGCTGGTAAACAAAGTAACATCAAGTAGCTTTATTCGGACATGATATCCTGGCCCACTGATAGTGTAATCTGTATGTCACCTTAGTCTTTCTTTCCTGAGCTTATCTTCTAAAATATCCGATCTAGGCCCTGAGCTATAAGTCTAGACTATGAAGATGATGCAAGCAGTTGGTATCGTAACGCTAAAGACTTATGCAGTTAGATAGTAAACCATGGGATTGCAGAGCCATATCCAATTCCAGAACCTGTCGTCTTTGACTTAATATGACAGGATGATTGCATAAAGGTGTAAATGTTGCGATTGACATACAACTCTATTCGCTCACGAGTGACTTGAAAGACTAACCAGGCGGAAATAATTGCACCATAGTATTTACGTAGCTATATCATCCTGACGATAAGTTGCAAATGACTTTCACCTGTTGTAGTTCAAAGGAAGATTGTTCTTTTCTTCATTCCTTCTGTAAACCTGAGAGTTTATATATAAGTTAAACATATTGGAGATCCTTATACGGAACTTACTCCGTATCTAAAGCCTCTGTAGTTTACCTGGTCGAGCGTCAATCCACAACATTACCAACACTCCTCTGGAGACTTCAGCGGCCCCACACGCGCTCAATACAGAAGAGCCCAATAAATCTAGAAAAGTTTAGAAACACATATTTCATGAGCGATTCCCTATATTAGCCAATTCCAGCCTACAATGATTGAATCCAGGAGGTCACTTTCAAAATCTAATTTGGATCAGACCTTATAGTAGGGGTTATGCTAGAGAGGTTGCCGAAGCAGCGTTCACCGTAGTGATGCAAATCATTCTCCTACTTACAAACACCAAGCCCCTCCGATGGCCCTTAGGCTCCCCTATTTATTGCCTACATCGGACATTCCGTAGTAAGTCAAGGGGTTGATCTGGAACTCGCGTCTTCTAGTGGTAAGCAGACTATGCAGTGGCCAGACCAAAGCGCTATGTACTTTTCTGCTTCTCTTGGGAGAGATAAGTTTGATACACTCGAATGCCTTGACAGTTGTTTTGCAGTAGCAGGACGAAGCAAGCAGTTACGCATATTAAAGGTTCGCTTAGTTCTAAGCGTACTTCTGGCATTATTTATACTCGCTTGTTCTCGCTTGACGCGCTCGTGAGTCTTCGATATTTCGCAATGTCGTCTTCTTTTCCTTTAAGGCGTGTTCACCGTTCCCCAAAATCTCCGGTACGTATTCCTCAATTACCTCTTTCATCCTTCCTTCGACACATCCTTGATCGCCAGTGGCGAGCCGAGAATCTCGGGCCTATCGAGTCTGCTGTGTTCTCGATCAATCCAGATACTCGCAGCGTATGCAACTCACTAAACTGCTTGTTCGCGTGTCAAAGAAATTTATTAGCTTTACACAGCGCTTCACCAGAGCAGCCTGAAACCTCATAAAGAAAATTTTTCCCTTTACAGCAACGGGGTATTTGTATGAGGAACTGGGGCATGATAGAAGCCGCGTGATGCCCAGGCCGCAGTGCTGCAACTCCTTGGGGGCGTCAGGCATATAGCGTTGCCCTTTAAAGGTACTACCAAGGATCCCAATGAGGTTAGTTAGCCTACCAACCTCTTTAAACTTGTACTGTATCAGATATGCCTTTTAGCTGACTATAGGTCTCTTTTTACTACTCTCTACTCTGTATACGGGGCTGATACCTCACCTGCCCTCACCCATCGTGTGTGGCGATCTGTCTCCCGTTGTGCAACACCAAGACCACGACATCATCCAGAATAGATGAGAAGATTCTGTCGTCTTATCGTTTACTTCTTAACAATGGCAAGCCATTTATTACCACTGGGATCGCCCGGATGGTTGTCTGTTTGGACCACGCAGCTTGAATACAAGCGCGACACCACCGATGCCTTCCAAGGAGGAGAGGTGCCGACGGTCCTATTTTAGTATAGCTGTCACCAATATCATTGGCTTTCTCAGGTGCCTGATAGTTTATATGTGGCCCTAAGCCGCGCAAAGAACGGATTCTACATCATCGGGAACATGAAAGCTATGAACTACGCGCCAGAGAAGGGGAAGGGAGGCCGGTCTCTTGCCAAGTTTCTACACTTGGCTCGGACGATGGGCATATACGTCAACATACCAGAAGCGCACATAATGGATCGTGATAGTTATATAACATTGGTCCCACAGTCTCTGTAAACAGCTATTCTTCTGTTATAGAGAACGAGCCCGCTGAAATAAATAAAACAAACAAATTGAACGAAGTCAACGAAGTACACTAATCGAACGAGCCTATCTAAGAGACCGAAGTTAATGAAGAGAACGAATGCAACAGTCCAAATGGCAACCACCCTACCAACCCGTACTCCGAGGAATACAGGTCGATCATAAGCCAGTTATAGAATCCGATACTCTACGATTGACCACCAGAGAATGTCAAGTTTTCAGACGACTTAGCACTACTTGGCACTAATGCACAGGGTCCGCAGTGTTAACTGGAGTGCAGAGACTTTGGATACAAATGGTAGCTTGAGAAAGACTCGTCTATCAAGAGGAAGTTCCCTGTGATTACCTCACATGGAGGTCGCGGGGGGAAAACCGACCGCACTGAAGGGCTCAGAGTACTGAGTCAGTGTTCGCCATGGCCGCAGTCTCGACTTTATCCCAACACTCGGACGTGCCGCTGCTGCTCGTCCACCTGGACGACCATATCAACAGCTGAACCAAACCCGCGCAGCATACCAGGCTAAGAGCGTACGCTGAAGTCGCGAAGACTCGGCAGATTTAGATATAGGGCCGAGAATAAACTTACCTCAAATCCAAGGTTGGATGAGGTCCGAGCAAACCACTTCACATGAGACAGTAATGTCAAGTCCCCGGCGATACAGAAGGATGGCCCGAGGAGCGTTGACCTCCAGGTCCAAAAGGTAGTATGCAGCTGACTGACTGAATGCAGTGGAGGTGCCGCGCCGACGCGCACCGATCGTCGGACCACCATTCTCCAACTGGAGGTATCATAGTGGACTGGACTGCTTCAAGTTCGGGAACGCTATCAGATCTTGGCTTTCTTCAAGAAAACAGACGTACAAACGGCGGTCTGACTAGAGCGAAGAACCGCTTCGTGGCAGTCGATGTTCCATGCTCCACTATTTGGCACATAGTTGAGAGATTCATGTCATAGGATGTTGTCGCCCAAATAGGGCTTTCCATAAGAAAAATTTAAGCAAGGTAAATTGTGGGGCTACTCTTGCACTGATATTATTAAATTTGCTTGGATGACACGGATATTTTATGTCCTACGAGGTATGGGATTATGGCAGAGAGGATAAAAGCTGCTCAGCGTTGTGAAGATGATTATGTGATGGATACAGAGCACACCAAGGCCGCTGCTTGGTTGGGTTGTGATCATGGAGTCCTCCTTGATGTATTGATTTCCATTTTCATCTGATTCTGTTTTTTTCACGGGAGCTATATCTTTCTAAGGGGTTGATTAGGCTGAGAACAGGTTGTACATCTTATGCTAGTGTGGTTCATACGTTTTATTGATTCATTCGGGAAGAAAGAAGGAAAAAGGAAAGATAGGAAACGAGGCTACAAGGTATCATACATACTTCCCGCTTGCAAAATGTAATTTTGTAAAGTGTAATCGTACAAAGGCGTGGCCAGTCTGGATTTCTCCAGAACGTATTCATTGGTTTTTATGTAACAGGTCCCATCCTGACTCTCATCAAGAGAAGAACACAATATGTCTTCTGCTTCGATTGTTCCTTCAAGGACAAGAAGCAGATAAGAGTAGCATGTACAATCAAATAAACTGGGACAAGACATGGACTGTGTGAAAAAAAGTATAAACGAAAGAAGAGAAGTCTCCTGGGGCAAGATTTGAAGCGAAACATAGAGATCGTGCTGGGGTCGACAGATCGAGGTATATACTTAAGAGCACGAGACCAATACTTGAATGATGGATTGAAGGGCGTGTTGAAGAATGCCCATCGGGGAACCTTGGGCTTTGTCACACGTCCGCCAATCGCTAGTTATTTGAACCGCCGCAAGAACCCCTGTTTAGTGGTTGTGACCACGGCGATGATGTCTATGAGCGTGGTGGTGTGCATGCCTGTCGCGCTTGGCAGGGGGTGCGGTTGGTGTAGTGACAACGGTGGAAATGACGCTGGGGACGGTTGACGTAACAGTGGAAACGGTTTCCAGGCCGCCTGTCTCTGTTGCAAGAGGAGTGCCTTGACCGTCTACCAGAACGGTAACCTCCCGCTCGACGTAAACTATGGCCTGAGTAACATCGCCTTCGATATAAGAAGTGGTTGGGGTAGCTGTCCATGTTGGGGTGGTAGTAGAGCTGGTCGAAATCGACGTTTCGACAGCTACGAGGCCTGGCAAGTCAATGGATAGCCCGATAGACACTGACACGGAAGCTGACACAGAAGCTCCAGGAGCAACTTGAGTGGACGTGGCGGTGGTATAAGAAACAGGGCTCGCATAGGCGGGTCCATACTCAATAGCGACGTCGTTAGGAATACCACCCTTGTGAGAGTAAACATCTTCATTCTTCAAAAGGGCCGGAACGCGGAGTTTGCATTTCCTCTGATCAGCCTCGCTCTGGATGTCGAAAACATCGCAGTCTTCAACGCGGCCCGATAGATTGGTACATCTCTTCACTGCTTTCTCCAGCACTCCAGACTCCCAGCCATGAATGAAGTCCGCGTGGTAACCGAAGCCAGTTGGGTCGCCGTTGGAGATTACGAATGTGCCTTTCTTATCCTTGAAGGCGTAAGTATTCCAGATGGTCTCGTAGAAAAGGGAAACAACGCGAGTATCGTAGCCCTTGGGGCATGTTCCATCCATCACCGCGGAAGGGTAGGCGACATGCGACTTGTGATCATCTGAATCGGCATCCTTTCCATTCCAGCAAGACGGGAACATGATTTCAAAGCGAACGCCATCGGTACAGTGCTCGTCAAGGTAAGTCTTGTTGGGCAGGAAGTGTCGGCCGAGCGAGGGTTCGGCCGCTTTGTTATAGTTCAAGCAGTTGAAGCCGATGGCCTTCTGGCTAAGAGCAGCCTGGGATACTTGTTCGCCAGTCCATTCGGAGGTGGGAGGATCGGGAATAGGCCACTTGAAGTCGCGCTTGTATGTATCACCCGCAACCATTTTGAAGTTTTCGGGGAATGCCTGCACGTTGTCGCCGTAAAGGAGGTAGTAGCTGTTTGAGTGGGACATCGTGTCAGCAACTCCTTCTGGTTGTGCGCAAAGTATATACGTACGCGAGCATGCCCCCCACTTGCGGAACAAGTTCAGAATCACCATTTTCGTGCACGAAGTACAGTGCGGGAGTCCAGTACGCCGACCTGTCCTGGGTGACTGCACACGAAGTGCAGCTGCTGTCCCTCAGGGAGACCATATCAGACGACATGGAGAAGGCTTTCATAAGTCAGCGTGATTTACAACCGTGAAGATAGGGCTGTATACTGACTGTCCGGTCCGTGAATTGCATGCACATGGTATGAATCCTTCCCGGGGTCCATCAAGGGATCGAGCCGGGCCAGACCAGCTCGTCCACGGCATGGGAGACGCCAGAAGGCATCAGCCAGGCCCGAAAAGGCAGCCAGGCACGTCACTAGGCCGACGTCAAGCCTCATTGTCTGACGCATGGTTGTGAACGTCGATCAATCTCAAAAAAAGAGCGACAAGAGTGGGTTTCAAAAGGAGCGGCAATTGACTTTCTGCTGTCACAAGCAAGGTAATCGGCTAGACTGAGAGCGATAAGTAAGAATCATTTAGAACAATCAAACTAAGGATGAGACGGGAACGACGAGGCCTGGCGCCGCTGGCTACTACTCAGTAGTATAGTGTTGGCGCAACGGCGGGCATTGGAATATGGTATAAGAGCGGCATCATCAACAATAACGACAGTGGGATAGTGGTAAAGCAAGTCCAGACATAACTCCAACCCTTCTGAACTGGCTCCACATATAATAAAGGAGGATAAGTAATCCAGGAACCCAATCCAAGACCAATTCTGACATCACAGCTCTTCAACATCAGTGGCTGGTTGCTGACGCAAGGGGCAAAGAATTGACTACCCTTGCATCGTCGGCGCTCAGCCTCTCTTTACGCGCCGCCGGGATTCATTACACGAGGACATCTTAGGGCTGGGGAATTGGAACGAAAGCCAGGTGTGGAAAAGGTAGGGCGCCAGAAGGGAAAAAAAAAAAACAAGTATGGAAAGAGGGAGAGAGAATGTGTAAGACATACCCTTTTCTGGAGATCCGTAAGGATTGACTAGGGTGGATGTTGATCGATCGTTTCCTTGATACTTGATGGAGAAAAACACCGATAAATATGCTGGAATCCCACCTGGAATCCAGGGCTTTTGACTCGGTAATCTGGCCTCGTTCTTCATTAGCCATGAGTGATAGAACCCAGGGAGATCGAGCGCACCTTCGAAAGTGACACGAATCAATAGATTTAAATGAGAGACTGTGGAGAAGGGGCGACAAAAAGGAAGGCAAATAACAAGGGAAAGACAGACAGAAAGGATACAATCCTTTGGTAATTAAAGAGCGGAAGGACGTCAACGCCGTCTGATGATGTGGTGGGAATAGAATAAAGGAGAAAGGTAAGTGACTTTAATAAACAAAGCGATAGTAGAAGAAAAATAGCGGAGTGACTTCACAGTAGGTGGTCTGTCCGTTCTTCTCATTTGCCCCAAATCACCAATGGCGATAGTGCATGGTTGTTGCCCTTTTTGTTTTAATATTTTTTTTTTAAATAAAAAAGTTGTTCTTACTTCATTTTATTACATTCTATCTCATTCCTCTTTCTCCCCCTTCTTGTCTAATGTCTACTACTAGTAGTTACCTATTTCTGAGTCTTGGTCTTTTCGCCAGATAATCAGACTTGAGAACCCAGGTCTGCTAGGCCGTTAAGGGTGCTAAGAACCGGTGTCATGGTACTATTAGATTTTGTTTTCTGGAAATTGAATGATAATCACCCGAACCAATCTCTGCAGAGAGGGGTTAATCGATAAGGAGCAAGATCATCTCATAGAAATTTCATCCCAAGAGTTAGTGTATCCTCTATCATATTGCAGATGGAGCCCCAACAACCGGGAACCACTTAGAACAAACTTACAAGCGCGGGGGGGGTCAGGGAGTTGATTCCCTGCCTCCCTATCACAACCCTTGGAGGTTCACCATAATCACTTGTAATTAATAGGAGACTAAAGCGGTTTTCTTCGCTGTCTCGTGCGGGCGATGCGACATCCACTTAGAAACGTGAACGTCGTTCGCTTCCTCAGCTAGCCAGCGCCCAAGAGAGGCAGTGCCCGACGGTGTCCATAGACCTCCACTTTGCCCCATCCTTTGATATTATTGATCTCCAGGGGTAATGCCAGTACTCCGTCGTTCGCGAGAACGGGAGTGGTCAATTCAACCATTCGGAGTACCATATCGGGCGCTGGCCCTATGGTAAAGCAGGGAGAACGATGGTGCGGATTGACATGAAACGAAAGTTTGTGGTTTCATCGGGGGATTTGGCTCACGAATGAGAAGGGAACGGAAACAGGGTTGGCGCAGGAGATTGGCCGTTACCGGGTCCTGTTCCTGACTAGTGAGACGCTAAAGGCGTTAGTTGGTTGCCTGTTTGGGTCAGTCGCAAATTGCGGGATGAGAGGTTGAAACGTGACATCATACGGACACGAGCCTTAGCCGCACTCATAAATGTGTGATATTGGTGAGTATGCCCTGGGTAGGCCCGGACGAAGAGGTTTCCATACATACTCATATGTCACACGAGTCATCTGCTTTCTGCAGGATAGGGCGAGCATAGATATCCTGGAGTGTCTCACGGTCGCTGAGACAAGAGCGGGTAGGCGCTTCCCCGATAGCTAGCGACTGTCGTTTCAGAATCGGACGAACTGTGGACCATGTCGAGAAATAGAAATAGAAACTTGCATTCATGTTCAGTGGCATGGATGCCAAGCAACATCTAGTATTTCGATGACTAGGGACAATTCAGAGCCAGATCTCACCCCTAAAGGTTCCACAGATCTTCTGTTGTGCTTCTGATAAATTATATTAATGAGGAAGTATGGAGTACTAGACGATGAACCTAACGTACAACAGGGCAGATCTGCCGACTGGCACAGGAGATCGTGGCCTGGGGCGCTCATTAGGCACCCGCCCGAGCTGTGGTACAGGTTTCACTTCAGCTGATCTTAAGAAACAATTCGAAGAATAACATGGCATCTTATTGCATGGCATCTTATTGAAGACTAGTTAAATTGACCGAAGAATACCGGCCGTCTCCATGCATATCGCAACTAAAAAGACTCTAGGCGGGAATATTACTTATATTTATCTAGTAAGATTCTATGATATTCACACACCTCGACTAAAATTAGGAATAACATCTCTTCTCGTGGCGTAAACTTATTCAGATCCCGGATTATCATCCAAAGACCTTGCCATTCGATAGATATAAGCCCACAGATAATCTCAAAAAAGGCGACGTCGTGTCTAAAGTATAGTGAACGCCCCATACAAACGTAGCACTACATACTGTCTCATTTCAAGAACAGAGACCGCCACCTAACAGCACATCCTGTATGACCACAAATGCCACAGCATTCCCCCGGAGCTTGCAGGTACATATCTCCTCGAAACCGACTACTTCTCACTTCTCACGGACAATATTGGGTCTTTGGGATAGTACGCAAGGCAAGATCGCGCGTTTTGTGCCCTTATAGCTGGATATATTTGCATATAAAACAGAATTTTTTTTTTTTCTAAAAAAAAAAAAAAAAAGTTGGATGTATTGCACTCAAGTGTTAAAGGCCGAGGGAGGGAGGGGCCCAGGGACCATTGATAGACCTATTTATAGGAAACAGTCAGCATGTCTGCCATTCGCCCAACACCAATTGGCGGTTGGGCTAGTAAGCTTGCCCTGTAAGCCATGTCCATCCCTCACTCCAACAAAACCCTACCTATGAGCTGGGGCTCATAATGCTGAGAGGCAGTCTGGTTTCCATTTCTAGAGCGCTTTAAGAGGAAATATGTTCTGTAACACCTTGGTTTGGAGGTCTGACAAGGCAAGCGAATTGGCTACCAGGAATAATCAAATAGCGAGGATCTTACATATAGACGAGTCAGTATAGAAAACCACATAGCTTTGCAAGGAGCTTTTGACATACAACACGTCTGGTAGTATCGCCATGCGGCTTACCATGGTTGGAAGCGTCAACAGGATATATCATGGTAATCCCATCACTAACTCGGATTTTTGTCACGGTGTCTGCCTACCAGCTGGATTGTGACACTTTATGAGGATTTGTATGCCAGCAGTGCTGAGCCTCGAGTTCGGTATTCTAGGTGTTTTCTGACAACGTAGCAGCTAAAGTGTTGCATGAACATATTGCTTATACAATGAGCTAGATGCCCTCCACTCATGCTCTATCCAATAAAGGGAGATTGCTGCCAATAGTGCTCTCCGTGAATAAATGATGAGAGTGGAAGATGTCCATGATCCTCTATCCAAAATGTAAAGGATACATAATGAGTACACGTATTTTCCACTGAACAAAACAGTAGGAAAAGTTCAGGCCTTCAATCCTAATGCAACTCCGTTGTCACTATAGAACCATCCTACATTCGACATGCACAATTGATAGACCGACAACGGGAATGAAACGCAGTATCGAATGATTAAGATGTAGGGAAAGAAAACTACCCTTTATAAGCCTTATCGTATGTCGCTCGGTTTAAGGGAAGTTAAGAAATGGCATGGTCAAGGGAGAGGCATGCCTCTCTGAAGGGGAAAAAGATGCGAATGGGACAAGATATATACTCTAACTGAACTCGTGGAAAGGGAACACATGGGCTATCAGCATCGCTTGGATATTTTATCATGACTTAGTTGAATCACAGAGGGAGACCAAAATATAGCATGATCAAAACAAGGCGATAACCATTCGCCACCTACCGTCTCCTTGCAATCGGATGCACTCCTTGGAGAGCCCGGATGAATCAATGAAGCCCTATCTACACCTCAATCTAACTCTTCATCAACTCCGCTCTATCCGGTGGAAAAAGATTACCTTTCGGGGGAATATAACCCCTTATCAAACTCGACAGGAAGAACCGGACTGACGCGTTCAATTAAACCAAGGCGACAATTCCAAAGTAGCAAAGTACCCCGGAAAATCCCTAAGCCACACTACCCCGTTATTGGCCTTGTTTCAACCCCATGGGTACTTTGTCACGAGTAGAAGATGACGGGATAAACGAGCTAATACCGATCAACCCAAATCATCCATAACAGGCAATAACCTATGGAAGCTTATCATAGTCAAGGTCACACGAACTAGAAGCCGGCGTAGGTCAGCATCCTTTGAAATTATTCCATTGGCGTAGAATCCCGCGGCCAAGACAATAGGATTGATGATTCTCACGCGCACTCGGTTCTACGTAGTTGATTGCAGACTTAGCCTGTAAACTCAAGTGGTTACCCTAAAAGAGTAAATATGTCCCTCCTGCGGGATGATAGGCTGCGATATCGTAGATATTTCTGGAGATAGCAAACGTTTCCCTTGTTTGTTATGAACAAGGGGTTCAGTAGGTATCTTCTAATGATGTTCGAATATAGATAATTGTCGATGAAAGTTCTAGGCGGTGGCACTAGTAGTATGTTCTAATTGTGGTTAAGTTTCAATACAGTGACCTACTAGTATGGCAATTGTTGTACGGTGACTGGTTGGATATGGTGTGACTGTGTTTCTCTTCAGAATACGGCGTAGTGAGTCGCGTGGCATATCTGATAAGACGAGTCTAGGTTTATGTAGATGGAGGAGAATACATGGGGTATTGTGATTATTACAATTTGGGGTAGAATAAGCAACTTACGTAGTGTTTCTTGTGTATGCATTTCTATGTACGACGGTACGTGAGTATGTGGTGCTATAGATATCTCCATTGAGGTTTGTATGACAAATTAACATTGGAGTTTTGAATATTGATAAACGGATACGGGATAGCATTTGGATGTACTGTACAGAGTACTCCGTACACATAGAGTAAGTAACCCTTGATCTTTTTCCATTACTGTGTGTAAGGGGATTGTGCTAAGTTACCTGAGATTGCACTGTAATTTTCAGACCGTGCGGAGTCGGACGCTTACCTGCCCGCGGCTCCGTGTTCTGCGCCACTAACACTGAACAGTACTAGGATCTCATTCTATTATCCATAAACGCTAGTCCCGATTGGGGATGAGATTCCAAGCTTTGTGGCTGCCATGCTGATGATACACGGATCTGAGGCTATTCAATTACGTACACAAATTTATTACTTGCTTCCGATGTAAGTACAAGATGCATAAAAGTTCTGTTCCGCTACACTGAGCGCTCTACGTAGTTACACTAGCATGGCATCAGGCTACAGTTTTGTATATTTCTTACCACTCATGGTTTATCACAGCTTTTGACCGAAGAAATTACATCAAATGTACAAACCTTAACAACCTGTCGGTGGTGAAAGATTTGACCATCCGAGGATTTGCAGCAAGGATCGGCGATGGATATGACAAAAAACAGCTAGCGGAAACTCCCAAGCATTGAATTTCTCTAAATGGAAAAGGTTGCTGCCTGGGGTGAGAATGTTGGCGGCGTAGAGCCAAGCTCTGCTTAGGCGCGGGAAGATTCCGTAATTAATTAGGAGGCCCCCTAAATCGACCGGAATAGGTTTATACAGAGTAGTTATGGTGTATGACTGCGTAGTAAGATACAGTTGTGCTCGGTCCGAGAACAGTAGCAATAAAGACGAATACACCATAGGACACACGGTATTAAGAAAGCGGTTGAGTTGCTGGGCATGCTTTTAACCCATTCGACCGAGGATAAAATGCCTCGAGTTTCAAACGCGGACCGGTGAAGTGGTCTTTTAGTCGAGTGTTTCTCATCTTGACATGACGTGCGAATCAGAACCTCACATAAAAAAGAGCTCCACTGGTGCCGGTCGTGGATGTTACTAAACAAATGGACTAACTAGCAACTGCACGAGACTGGAGAAAAGTTCGGGACGACCAACGTAAACGGAGGACCTTCCCTAAGTAACCCTCAGTAGGTCTGGATAACATTAGATAGTATTAGTCTGGGAACAATAAAGAAAATAAAGAAACTTGAATTCCGTATAATGAATACATCAAGTATTTATAAGGCGTACAATTTTGCAAGAATCCCTGCTGCCGGACTAGTTTTCTAGAAGATGTCGGACGGGCCGATGAAGTTTGAGGTTCCGAGCCGGTCCAAACTAGACAGCGGAAAACTACTCCTTACGCAAACACATCCAAAATGAAATGACGTTTGATGGGAAAGAGACAGACAAGAAGAAAAAAACAGGAATCAAAGTAAAAGCAGTTAGAGGTTCAAAATTTTCAGCGGGACCTCTAGGGCCTAAGTGGAGCAGCAAAACCACCGTCTGTAGTAAAGATCAACCAACCATTGTGGAAAACTCGACTATGTAACCAAGGCTCCCACTAGCCCTCACACCAGTGACACAGCCGAAATAGTGCCTCACCTTTCAAACCCGCCACAAGAGACTCAAAAACAGAATGGCACTAGATTAGTTGTGGACTTACTGCCCAGCCATCTGCGGTTACAGCCCCTCGTATGACGATATGCTGGTGAGTGGAGGCAAATCGGAACCGAGAGATTTGACCTTGCGCCTATCATTTTGTCCGCTGCAGTTAGTTCTTCCACAAAAGATGGAGCCAAGAGAAGTAAAAGATGGGGAACTTTTCGGACCTCTGGAGAACTAATTAAATCAAAAGTGGAGGCGACAAGGAAGGCTGCAATGAGGGAGAGATAGGGTTTAAATTTCGTTTCCTTTTTTTTTTTTTTTTTTTTTTTTTTGAAAAAAAGAGAAAGAAACGCAGCGAGTAGATAGATATCTTAAATACTCACTTTTACCCGTCCCACGGTGCCCAGTCTTTTACCAATTTCATATCACTTTCTCCTTCTCATATTCTCCCCTTCCCTCTACCTTCCGCAAACACCTTTTCTTGCACCTGCAGCTGAGGTATTTGTTTCTTTCTGCGTTGGGCCGTATCCGACACCAAGACCCCAGTCTATGTCTTACGCCTTTCCGCTTTGTTGATAGCTCGAGTGAACAAGCAAGGAGAAAAAACAGATTGAGTTCTGTAATACTGATCGCTTCGGCTGTTCCGTATCTTGTATCGCCGTATCGATAGGTGCAGTCATCTCTCCGTGCGCGACAACACCCAACCGTTTCTCAGATCCGACGACCATTTCGACAACCCATTCGCGACATTTGGACTCGCGGAAAGTGTGCCAACAGCAGCCAATCTGACTAGCAACAACATCGCCAGAACCCGTTCCGGACCCGAAGTAACCCTAGCAACATCCAATCTGTCCAGCAGCAACACCGTTACCACATTGACCTAACCCCGGAGCAAAACCGTAAGCCCGTATGCAATAGTGGTCGCAGTTCGACCATTTGATCTAGGCATTCCCACGCGGTATTCTTGCAACACGGCAGCCCGGCTCGCTATCCCCCGTTCGAACCCTGTGTTGCCCTTTGCACCATTTCCGTACACTGACATCCATTTTCCCCGCTACAATGGCCGACTTCGACATAGAGAAGAAGCCGAGTATGGTGAAGCCAGGATCCAGCAGTGAGAATGCGTCAGGAAATGATGATTCTGACGCACTCAGGCTGGCCGAGATGGGTTATACCCAGGATTTGCAGCGCAACTTCTCAATTATCTCGCTTATTGGCATTGCGTTCTGTATGTCCAACTCCTGGTTCGGTATCTCCGCATCATTGATCACCGGTATCAGTTCTGGTGGAACAGTCCTCATCGTCTACGGGTTGATCTGGATTGGTTTCATTTCAACTTGTGTGGGTGCCTCACTGTCAGAACTGGCCAGCGCCATGCCCAATGCCGGTGGGCAATATTTCTGGGCCAATGAACTTGCGCCTAAGAAATACGCCCGCTTTGCATCCTACTTTACCGGCTGGTTCGGGTATGCTGGTGCCATTTTTGCCTGTGCTAGTGTTGCACTCAGCCTTGGATCCGCTGGAGTAGGAATGTGGCAACTTGGCCATCCTGAATTGTATGCTATGGAGTCCGACCCTTCCTCCAACATTGAAATTGTTGCGTGCAATACTGACTCAATATAATAGTGTTCCAAAGCCATGGCATACTGTGGTGGCATATCAGCTCATAAACTTCTTTTGTTACCTCTTCAACTGCTGGGGCAAATCTCTGCCGGCAGTTGCAAAGGTCACGTTATACATTTCGCTGCTTTCCTTTTTCGTGATCCTGGTCACTGTGCCTGCCTGCGCCAAGACTCATGCCAGTGGAGCATATGTGTTTGGTCATTTCGTCAACTCGACTGGATGGGAGTCAGACGGCATGGCATTCATCGTTGGCCTGATCAATCCCAACTGGATTTTTGCCTGCTTGGACTCGGCGACTCATCTTGCAGAGGAAGTGCCACAGCCCGAGAGAAACATCCCCATTGCTATTATGTCCACAGTTGCTATTGGTTTCACCACGGCCTGGTTCTACTGTATCTCCATGTTCTTCAGTCTTAGTGACCTGAACAAGCTCCTCAACACAGCCACCGGAGTCCCTATCCTGGAGCTTTACTATCAAGCACTTGACAATGTGCCCGGCGCCATTGTCTTAGAGACATTGTTGCTGGTCACTGGAATGGGATGTCTGATTGCGTGTCACACCTGGCAGTCTCGCCTCTGCTGGGCGTTTGCTCGTGACCGTGGTATCCCCGGACATAAGTGGCTCTCTCAGGTCAATCATACCCTCGATGTGCCGTTGCACGCCCACAATGTCAGCTGCTTTATTGTTGGCGTCCTCGGACTGCTCTACCTCGGTTCCTCCACGGCTTTCAACAGTATGGTGACCGCGTGCATCACTCTGTTGTACATATCGTATTCGTGCCCCATCCTTTGCCTCTGGTATCGCGGTCGTAATAACATTAAGCACGGTCCTTTCTGGCTTGGAAAGTGGGGTCTCTTCTGCAACATCGTTACCATCGCGTGGACCGCTTTCTGTCTCGTTATGTACTCCTTCCCATCAACGATGCCGGTGCACACAGGCAGTAAGTTTTTCTCATTAGTAACCGATCCTATCTGACGTTTCCACTAACATTCCTTATAGACATGAACTATGTCTCAGCTGTATACGGTGTCGTGGTCTTCATTGTCCTGTGCGACTGGTTCGCTCGAGGCAGACGTTCGTACAAAGGCAGTGTCAGCTGCGTCGAAGGTGACAGTGCATCCGAGTAAAGGCGGACATTGATTGTCCCGCACTTCGCTTCTTCATTCCTCTATTCTGAACATATATTATTTTTTGTGATTTGAAAGCGTTTTCCCATCAGTTATGAATGATTCGGTCACAGTGAAGCGAGCGCGTTTTGACAATGCCAGCGAGAAGATCATTGCTCGAGAAGAAAAGAGAAACTTCATTGGAAGTCGGAAGTTGTACATAGACGGCGATACCCCTCGGCTTAATGCGCTGATGAGATTACCTTGAAATAAAAATGTAAAAAAAAATTTCAAGAAAGTTCAATATCACATTCTTCCCCGTAGTCATTATTGGATTTCTTTTTAACAGGAATTTCCAAATGATGGGAGTATTAGTGTGCCATGTGACTGCTCTGGCTATGCCTCTTCTGGCCGAGTAAACTTCTCGAACATTGGCATCCTTTATATAACCTTGTAACTTGCTTCAACAACGATATCTCATAGAAGTCATACGATCAACATGGGTGGAATCACTCCCTGAAAATCTTGACCATAGCATGGAATTGCATGATATGACGATATTTCTTTTCCTCACACCGAATCCACAGACTATATATATAATCCTATCTTCGAATCCCCAACACACAAAGTGCGCGATTTGTGGATTACACTTAGCGCTTTAGGGAGATTAAATTATATCACTATCCATGATCCAGGCTTTCTTTCTCGAATTTGCTCGCTACCTGTCTCAGGAAAAAAAAAAAAAATACAAAAAGAAACAAGACCTCTCCCTGTGTGGGGTTCAGAGTGTTTAAGTTGACGGGACTCCGTGCGTGGTCCACCAGTTAGAATTAGTCCTTGTGTGCGCCCGAAGTTTTCTCACCCTAACATTTTCAGGACTTGAGGCCACCCACCAAATCCTGTGTGCATGTACGTAATAGAATACTAGAGAGCCGTTGATCGGAGTTCTCCTTCTCCAATTCGAACCTTTGATGCGTTGGGGTAGAAGAAGCAGTAAATACCATCGTATGGATTCGATTTCTCCGCAGCATCTCATTTGATACTTATAAAAACACCCGTTTCAGCTCGCAAGGTCATTGCCCCACGTCCAGTGGCTTATCTGTTTGCTGACGAGGCTTACTATCAGAACTCGTTGGGACACATTGCACGCATCTAGAAATATTAAAGAAGAGGAACAAGTGTGCAGTTTTGTCACTGTTCTATTATTCTAGCCAGTTGTCGGCTTGTGTATTGTTCTGCACATTGTTGTAGGGTGGCCAAGGGATCGGTTCTCTCGAAGTGTTCCTATTTTCTTCATGGCAATCATGGGCGACACCATACCTGAGATGGCTGAACAAGAGTCAGAACCACAGATCCCGGAATCAAGGGTCCTTATCATAATGACCGGAGGTACCATCTGCATGCGACCATCGCCGTCAGGATTTGTACCAGCGAGAGGATTCCAAGAACAATGCCTGGCTCGTGTACCTACCTTTAACGATTGCTCTCTTCCGACAATGATGGACGTTGTCGTCGATAATGCAGGCCAGACTAAGGGCCATCCTAGTTTACGCACGCCGCAGACTGCATACGGCCGCCGAGTAAGGTACACGGTATTTGAATTTGAAGAGTTGTTGGACAGCAGCTCTATCGATGCCAAAGGCTGGGCGGAAATTGCGCGAACCGTCGAAAGGAACTACACTCTTTTTGACGCTTTTGTTATCCTTCATGGTACAGATAGCTTGGCGTACACTTGCTCAGCACTCAGCTTCATGCTGCAAAATCTTGGAAAAACCGTAGTCCTTACGGGATCTCAGGCTCCAATGTTGGAGCTTCAGAATGACGCAACAGACAACCTGCTTGGATCACTGGTTGTGGCTGGCCACTTCATGATCCCAGAAGTCTGTCTGTACTTCAACAACAGACTGTTCCGTGGCAACCGGTCGAGCAAGGTGGCAGCGAGTGACTTTGCCGCATTCGATTCTCCGAATTGCGCTCCACTGGCAATAACGACTTCCATGCGTACCAACGTCAACTGGGAGTTGGTCAATCGGCCAAAGGGCCTCGAACATTTCAGCATTCAGACTAATTTAGATACCACTCATGTCGCCTGTCTCCGTATATTCCCTGGTATCAAGCCAGAGATGATTGACGCAGTGTTGAGATTGGAAGGGCTCCGTGGATTAGTTTTAGAGACCTTTGGGGCTGGCAATGCGCCGCACGGTCAGGATAACGCTTTGATCAAAGTAGTCGCGGACGCTATCAAGCGAGGGATTGTTATCGTCAATGTCACACAATGTAAGGTACCTAGCTACGCCGTGGATCGCCAATTCTGACTTTGCACAGGTTTGACTGGCAGCGTGAGCCCGGTATACGCAACCGGTATGAGTCTTTCTCGGGCTGGTGTCGTTGCAGGTCTCGACTTAACTACGGAAGCCGCCTTGACCAAACTGGCGTATCTCCTCGGTCTGCCAAACGCAACTCCAGAATCCGTGGCGCGAGATATGTCGAAATCACTTCGAGGAGAACTGACGGAAGTGTCGCAACCTGTTTTCCGTCATCCGGACGGCGCCCTCACTGAGCGTGTCCAGGCCCTTACCATTCTTGGTTATGCCATTGCCCAGGGTGACCTCAAGAGGGTCGAAGAGATCCTGAAGTTGGAACATCATTATCTTTTGAACGAATCCGATTATTCTGGCAACACTCCGATCGTGAGATACCCTGTCCTCATCTTTTGTTCCTCGTTCGCTAACAAAGTACTGCAGCATCTTGCCGCGACGTCGCCATCTCTCCCAATGCTCCGTTTCCTGCTGATGCAGGGTGGTTCGGTCCACATCCGGAATCGCAACAACCGCACACCACTGTTCCTGGCCGCCAACGCAGGCTTATCGGAGCATGTCATCTTACTGCGCAAGTCGGGCGCGCATTTGCATTCGGATGAACGGACCGCGGCACAATTACTGGCGCGCCGGAGACCGGGAGTCTGGGGATTGGCCGGGATTGGACCGCGGGAGGTCAGTGAACGCGAAATGGAAGAAGCAGGAGAGGAGAGACTCGCGGAGCGAGTGATGGCCGGATCAGCGCCGTGATTAAACAAGGAAGCGATGCGACCGATCACGAGATGACATGCTGGATTCAGCTCGATAAATGCGAAACACCCTTCATCACTAACCCGATTGATGCCCGAGGGGGATTAAGTTCCTAGATTAAAAATAAAATAGAGTACATGATAAGCACTAGTCTGAGATAAGAAGAAACATTTCCAAACAAAGACGGCTCCAAACCCGGATCATATCACATATAACGCTCCCCCCGGGTTTCTCCTTAATAGATTTCACACGTAGAGGTCAGGTGGTCTGGTTGGGTCACCATGTTACTCTATCGACATTCGCGGAGAAAACTAGTGTGAGCGCAAAGGCTGCGCCCGCATGCAAAAGCAATGCACGCATCAGGGCTCGGAACCAATACATGCGCGGGGGGTTATGGCGCTCACTCCGATTCGGCTCAGCAGCTTATCTTATACCCTATAAGGCAGGTAATAATTGCAGCCAGGCTTAGTGAGAAAGTAGCTGAGCGACTTGATTATTGACCAAGCCACAGCGTATGTATGTACTTCTTCATAGACAAATCGACGGGGTCATGTGTCTATCTATGCTATACCTGTAATTACTGAAGGTACGGAGTACAGTACAGACTACAGAGTACTTACTAGAAGTACGTCTGTAAACCAGTGCTACTACTGATGGGGTCTTGGCATCGTGATGACAACAAAGGACAGCACAGACCGATTTGGAGGCGGTGGCCGAGTCTGGACGTTGAAGGAAACGTGGGCGTGATGGGCAATGTTGCTGGACGATATTGGTTCCATCATGGCTCCACTGGATGTCATATAAAAATATCTAGTTGTTACTTAGCCCGAGAAGACAAGGAAGGAGATAGAGCCAGACTCAAGAAACAATGAGGGAAAAATCATGAAAAGAGATATGTCCAAATACACAAGCAGTACCTACAACTAAGTTTTCTTGTCTATACTTGATCGAGTATGTACTCGGAGACACTTGCTTGTTTCCCCCGCCCTAAAAACAAAGCAGTGCGGGCGATTTACTAGTAGTCTTTGTGAAGATTTCAGGTGCAGTACTGTGCCTCTTTCCATAGGTGAAGAACATCGTATAGGCATTGAACAATGAACGTATCTCAATAGACTATACATCAATACACGTTGAGACGGGACATTGATATATATAAGAAATTTATAAGACGATATTAATGTTCTCTCTTTTCCAGGATCAAGCAATGAACTGCCGAATTTGAACACCGTCTATCAGAGGCCGTGACCACTCAATCGATCCAACGACGTGTTCAAGCATCCGACCAATTCCAGACTGCATCCCGAGTTACGTAAAGGAAAGACGGTCAATGGCTGCGCAATGGCGGAGAATGGATGTTTCTGGCGACTTCGTCTGTGCAGTCCAGCTGTCCGGTGATCAATCCCGGTCGAGACCTTGGAGATTCTGGTTCCTTGGAAAATGGAATGGTTCCTGCCAAAGGGTCACGAGAGAGATAGATACTATAGGGGATAGTCCGCATATTTCATGTAGGTCTATATTGTACATACGAACCACAGAAATAATTGGTAAGGGAGGAAGAAAAAGAAAAAAAGTCTCATCAAATTGGATAAAACATCCGGGTTCAATTTTTTTGTGGGCAATCAATCCATTGTTTCTATGACTGTTTCTCATTACTCGATATGAACCACAGTGGGTTTTCCATTCTCCTCCTCGGACTCCAACCCGACGCAGGTAAAAATAAAATAAAAATGAAAATGAAACAATAAAAATTTTTTTTTAAGAAAAATTAAGCAAATAAAAATCCAAAAGAATTTTCTCACCAACAACCCCAGACGATCCTAATCCAGACCAGGCAGCTAATCCTTCAGTTGGGGACCTCATAGGACTGGCCGTCATTGGGATGCGCCCATTCGTCCATATGATTCCATATGACATACGCTCCTTGCCTACTTATATCCTTTCATACATCGACCTCTTTCCTCGCCCCCTTCTGATGAGGATATTAAGAGAAGATACCCTTCCCCCTAGATTGACAGTCAATTACCCTACTCCCAATTTGATTCTAACATTCTCTCCAACACGTGCGTCCCTCTCAACCTTAGGGTACGGACTGTGGGTGCGAATCTCGGAACCATACCTTGGATCTGATCCACCTGTCTCTCTGATTTTTCCCTTTTCTTGAATGGGACCGGTGCACCTGCTGCCCTGATCCTGCGGCTTCTTGTCTCTCCTTTTCCGACTTCCTTCTGAATTCTTTTATTAATTTAGTTACTGGAGCCAGACCATAGGCGGGTGGGAGTCCACTGGTAGAGTCGCTAGTGGAATGAGTGCATTCCGAAGCCCTTATCCATCGTTCCGCGGGCATTAACTAAGAAAAACACCTTGCGAGCCAACAAAAGAACAAGGAAAAAAAAAGCACATCAACCCTGTGGATTGCGGCATCTTCTACTTTCTATCAACCTTGTCTCCAACTTGGTGATCCACCTCCGACTTCACAAAAAAATTAAAAAAAAAGGAAAGAAAAGAAAGAAAAAATCTCATTGCACCATTGATTATTTCGATTGCGGCATTAGATTGCAATCAATCGAGAAAACAACCAGCTGTGAACCCCACTACGTACTACCCTTACTATAAGCCATCCCTTGTGAGGCATTGTGCCCCATTCTCCTCCGACTAACCTAAACGGCCCCTCGTGATAATAATAACAAGAATAATCCCACCAGAACTTACTCCAGATTTTGTCGGAGCCGCCTTTGCCTTCATTGGTCTTTCTCGCTCTTCTCTACCTTCAATCCCATCTATTCTACCCCGCATAGACTCTTCCTGTCCAAACTGCCGGAGGGGTCTCAAGCCGCTTTCGCACTCGGCTCCTCCTTTCCCTCCCCCGCGCTCCTTCTCCCCTCTTTGCTTCTCTCACCCCCTCCATCCTCACTGCCGCCCCGAATGACACAACAGAAAACCATTGCCGTCGTCAACGCGACGGGTCGCCAGGCCGCCTCTCTTATCCGAGTCGCCTCCGCCGTCGGCCACCATGTACGAGCTCAGATTCATTCGCTGAAAGGGATCATCGCGGAGGAGCTGGAGAGTCTGCCGAACGTCACCCTGTTCCAGGGCCCTTTGCTCGACAATGTGCCCCTGATGGACGCGCTCTTTCAAGGAGCCAACCTGGCCTTCATTAACACAACATCACAATCGGGCGATGAAGTCGCAATCGGGCGTGCGCTCGCCGATGCCGCCAAGCGGGCTGGTACCATTCAACACTACGTCTACAGCAGCATGCCGGACCACTCAGTCCATGGGCCATGGCCTCCAGTGCCTCTGTGGGCGCCGAAGTTCACGGTCGAGAACTACATTCGACAATTAGGGCTCCCCGCAACCTTTGTCTACGCCGGAATCTATAACAACAACTTCACCAGTCTACCATACCCTCTTTTCCAGATGGAACTCATGCCCGACGGAAGCTTCGAATGGCATGCTCCGTTCGACCCGGATACCCCGTTGCCATGGTTAGATGCGGAGCATGATGTTGGTCCTGCTCTGCTGCAGATTTTCAAGGATGGCCCCAAGAAATGGCACGGTCACCGGTAAGTTTGCCCCTTGCAGATCGGACGTAATTCGCCGTGCATGCGAAGCTAAGAATAGTATAGGATTGCCCTGACGTTTGAGACCCTTTCCCCCAATCAAGTGTGCGCGGCGTTCTCGCGCGCCTTAAATCGCCCGTGCCACTACGTTCATGTGCCCAAGGTCGAGATCAAAGTTGGCATACCGTCTGGATACCGAGAACAGCTGGAGGCGATTGAGGAGGTTTTTGGACGGTGCAACGCGCCTTACTTCCCGCAGCCCGAATTCTCCCGTCCTGCAGCAGGGTCCCCCAAGGGCTTGGGCCCGGCCAATGGCAAAGGTGCCGGCGCCGGCATGATGCAGGGTCCCGGAGGGGTCATATCGCAGAGAGTCACCGACGAGGCTCGGCATCTGTGGGAGGGCTGGCGAGATATGGAAGAATATGCGCGTGAGGTCTTTCCGGTCGAAGAAGAGGCCAACGGGTTGGACTGGATGCTGTAGCCGGAAGATTCTCGGCCATTTTACTCTCCAAACCGATTTGGGTCAAGTCGCACGGATTCTGCAACTTTCTGACGCTATCGGCGTATGGCACGCTTGGTCCGATGTAGGCCGCATGCCCCTTTCTCACTCCTCTCCTCCTTCTGTCTTACTCATTCATCTACCACCCCTTGTCGCTCTCATTCTTTTGTTATTAATAGCATTAACGGCGAATCGGCCCGGGTCTTATCGTTTGGGGGGAAAAAATTACCATAATGGGTTGGGAGCCTGAAGAGATTACCAGCCCTTTGTCTCACCTCCGGCGAAAAAGGACAAAAAAGTTAATGGTTTGTTTTGATTGACTGGAATGGTACGGTTGGATGAAACGCACATCACGACACGCTGCATGATGATTAGTGGCCCCGTCCGCCACAAAAGTTATCTGATTGATTGGTTATTTTCTTTGATTATCTTCTACTTTATTTATTCCCCTCGTGTGTTACGACTCACACCGGCGGCTGTTTAATGATTTGGAATTATAATTTACTTTGCATGATGTGAGGGGTGTCTGTTATGTATGTGTGAGTGACGCAGTGCCTTAGGCACGGTGGTCCTGTCTCTCGAGGCAGCAGCTTGGGGGTGATTAGCATTACTATACTACTCATAGAATGGCTAATACCGTGCGAATTGGCGAATCCTATAAGGACCCGCATACGCAGTAGGACGGGATGAAGTCGAAATAAACTAACGCACACCATCCTCAACCCAAAGAACCTGGACAAAAGGAAAAAGAAAAGAGAGTCCCATGCCTTATCTCCCCGCATTCCGCAAGATAGTCCAGTCGGTTTATCAGCGCCCCCCCAAAAGAATAATAGCCCGGAGTCCGTTTAAATCTCCGGACTGGCAGCGATTTAGATAGCAACTATCGAGTAGTCTAATCACTTAGTCCAAACTATATCCGGCTTATCCAGCAAGGATCGGGACCAACAAAAAAAAAGCAATGACTCGGTATCCGGCGCTAACTTTTCCTTTCTTTGTTTTCTTCTTCGGAAACCCTTGGTTCGGCGGGAACGTCTCAATTGGGTATTCATTGCTTAATACTTTCTCTTATGCACTAAGGTTGATTTGATGGGGGCAGTATGATGTTGTTTGCTTATATATTAGGATTTTTATGAAGAGGATACACGTATGAGGAGCTGAGCCATATATTTTTATATACTATAGTAGGAATACCGATGGATGTGAAAGCCAATCTCTGACTAGGTAGTATTGTTCCTGGTGAAATAAGCCCAGAAGTAAAAATGATTTACAGTTTTTTTGTCTTAATTTTATATGTATATTTTAAATACGGTTATGTCCACCTTGGTGAGCTCGTTGTATAAAATTCTAATGTAATTAGATTGAGAAGATGTATTGATTGACTTACAAAGTACGGAGTAGTATTAGTAGTGGCTGCAACGGGAGAGCTTCGGGCACGACGAGTCATGATCGTCATGTTGCAAATTGCGCCGGAAGGGGAGGGAAAAAAAAATCCATGGACCTAGTGAATAAAGGTACAAGGATTTGGCATCATAATGTGAACCGCACCCGAGGCCGACTCGCAGCTCCTGATTGGTCCAGGGGGGATGTTCGTGTGCCGGAGAGCGTTAGTGTGAACACCTGACTGGACTTGAGACGCCGAGTCCAGACGGGAGCGCAATTGCGATGGTCTGCGCGGAGTAAAGTTTTTGAAGAATTCAAAATTTTCTGATCGCGTCTTCTGCTTCTTTTCATTACTTCTCCCCCCTGTTCTTTCAATCATCTTCTACCCCCAACTTTTCATCGGGATTTCCATATAATTGCTCCCGATTCACTCTCACACAGCTTCTATTACCCTTTTCTATCCTTTTATCCAGCCGTTGTTTGCTGTTCATCATCAACATGGCCGAGGAGGGAAATTCGCTACTTGATCGCCTCCAGGCATCCGAGCCCACGGAGGCGCAGTTGAAGAAAATGTCGTTACTCGAAGAAAAGCGCTCTCGTATTGGCCTCGAATCCCGTAAGCTATGTCTCGATCGCATTTGCCGTACTTGGATGGCTTAGCTGATGTTGGTAGTCCGCGACAGCACTGTGAAGATGCGCGACTGGTATAATGAGCGCGATGCGTTCATCAACGAAAATGACGAGATCAAGGAGAATTTCTGGGTTCGCGTCTTCGCCAGCGCCCCTAGCGAGATCGATCAATACATCATGACCCCCGACGCGGCCGCTCTAGGCTCTACCCTCAAGAACCTGAAGGTGGAACGATTCGAGCTGAACGAGCAGGGCCAGGGCGAGCCTCGTAGCATTCGTTTGACTTTCGAATTCCGCACTGGCGAAGAGAACCCCTTCTTCGAGAACGATAAGCTTGTCAAGGAACTCTTCTGGCGCCAGAGGTCCCTTAAGACTGCTGATGGTAAGACGAAGTGCTGGGAAGGCTTGGTCTCCGAGCCTGTTCGCATTCAGTGGAAGGAGGACATGGATCTCACCAAGGGCTTGCTCGATGCGGCGTGCGACCTGGCCGAGGCCGAGAAAGGTGGAAAGGACCGCAAGAAGCTCCCTGAGTATGAGAAGCTAAAGGACAAGATCGTTGAACTGGAGACTACTGCCGACCAGGAGGAGGATGAGGACGATGAATTCCCACTTGGTCCCGTAGGCACAAGCTTCTTCGCTTTCTTCGGCTATCGGGGTAACGATGTGTCCGCGGAGGAATCGGAGGTCGCTACAAAGAAGGCTGATGATCGTTTTGCCAAGCTGTCGGCAGGCGAGTCAGTCGATGCTGAGGATGCAGAGGAGGACGAGGAATTCGAGGACATTGAAGTCTTTCCGGACGGAGAGCAGCTTGCCATCGCCATTGCTGATGACTTGTGGCCACATGCTCTCGAGCTTTTCAGTAAGTTGTTCACAATGATTGTTTAAATATATATATTCTAACAACGTCAAGACCGTGATGAGGAAATCGATATGGACGAATTTGATGGTGAGATTGACGACGAGGATGACGACGACGAAAATGACGAAGAGGAAACCGCGCGCCCCAAAAAGAAGACCAAGGTATAAGCCTACTGAATCTTCTCTTTGGCCAACTGATTCGGATGACGATTTGTATTTGGAATTTTTCCCCTTGGTTTCTTACAGGGCGATCACCAATATTAATAAAAGGACAAGCACGAAAATGAGAACGGCGATGCAAAATGAGGACATTGTATCTTTGTAATATTTAGTTAGCTTCGATGCCTGAAGCCACCCAAGGGCAAGAAATTGCGGCGAAACTGGGAAGTAATACTTACCTTCGTTCTTTCTCACGATGTACTTAATCTTTGACACCCCTCTCTGTAATTTGCCTCCCACTCGGTCGGCTAATGTATCAACTTCCCCTATCATGACCGCTTGCTCTTCCAGTTCCCGTCCCATATCGTCGGCTTGTTGCCGCAAATTGCCAACAGTGCGAAATACGCCATCCAACTGTTCGTCCTGCTCGTGCATCAGTTCCATCTGTCGTTGTTGTTCGAGAGCGGCATAGTAATCATCCCTTCTATCATCCGCTGACGGGGAGAGGACATTATCAAAGTCCGATGGATTTGGTAGCCCGGAAGACGAGTTGCTAATAGATGCACCAGCTTGGCCACTGCCAGGTGCTGCAGCGTTAATCACTGTCCTTTGTAACTCTTCTCTCATTTTCTCAACCTCCCCTCCGACCTCCTCCACCAATTTCCGTCGGCGCTCTACTTCCTCCAACTCCAAGCCATATCGATATGGATCCTGCTCAATCGCACGCACACTCTCGACAAGATCATCCAAGTCCGCAGTGAGTTCTGTCAGCGTCGCCTCGAGTTCCGAGCGCGCTTGTTGGAGCTCAGGGTTGGATGGAGATTTAGCAAGAGACCTGATGCGGAGATACGAAGAGAAGAGAGGTCTTGTCGTCTGCAGCGTCGCTAGGACGTCTCTGAACACGTTGAAAAATGTAAGTTTGTTCCTTTTGGGAAGGAGGTGGAGAATTGAGACTCACGCTTGAACATGGAGGAACGGATCAGCATGCTCCATGATTGTAATATATTTCAGTGTACTAGATATCAAAGGATAGTTCTTGACTCCTGGAAGGTATTGATAGTCTGAGGACTCCGAGAGGGATGTTAGGCGGTGGTAGAGGCGGTAAACGGAGTGGTGGGCGCTAGGCTACTTATGTAGCTTCTTCCCCTTGCTTACGCATCGAATCGTCTGAGAACTGTCAATTCATTTGATTCTCTTTTTGTTCACATTCTAACCATTACATACGAAATTGATTATCGCTCATTTAGTCATCATAAAACAATGCTGAAATACCCCATCGTAAACACCTGGTGAAGCCCAACATGCCTTTGTGTCCACATCTCTTTTAGATACTTCTCCGCAGCACGGTTATATTCTCGGCCTCGGTCATCGATCAGTGCTGGTTTGACACTCCAACTCCTGACTCGTCGATTGCAATCGCAGGTTTGACACCCCAGGTCTGGGATATTTTTCCAGGCCTTCCAGTAGTTATCGAGCGGGTCTGAGAAAATACATTTCCTAACACCGCAATCGGTAGCTTTCTCCTCCAGACCACAGCACTGATCTTGGGGACCTAAGAAAAGCTTGGCTAGAGACTGTGGCGACTGCTTCAGCAGGAACCATGAGATCACGCTATATTCATTTCTTGCATCGCGGTGCCAGTCTCTGGGTCCATGTCGGAGAAGCATCCGTTCCATAAGCTCCCGCAGCATTCGAAGTGTGGTGTGGAAGTCAATCTCGGTCTGTTCGTCAAGATAATTTCTGAATTTGAGCCGTCTCCTGCCGATATCTACCTCTCTATAGCCCCACTTTAAGACGGTATACACATGGCTGGCGTATGCTTGGAACGACGTCAATTGCCGCTTGTTCCGCGGGATTTCGGGGTACTCTTCCAGCATCCTAGTAAGTACCAATAGGCGCCCGGTAACGTCAGGAACCAATGGGTTTATTTTCTGCCTTAATTTGTATGCATCACGGGCAATGTCAGCCATGTGGAAAAGGACATGCAGCCCTCGCTCTAGTCGCTGCACGAGTCGGTGCTCTGCATGATAATTCATCTTCTGACTTTCGTCCTCCGAGAAGGGACCCCATACTGAAGGAATGATCTGGCATGCGAGCTTATGCGCGATGTCCTGGCGTTCGATGAACCTCGAAAGATTGTGCACTGTCAATGTTCTTTGATCACCCGTCTGTGGGTTTAGAGTAAGCACAGGGTCAAATGTGTCGATGCTGTGCCAGCGCATGAACCATCGACAAATATGCGGTTCAAGCAATTTGATAGCTTCATAAGTCGCTTTGTTTACAAGACAAAGTGTCAACACTACGTCGATATCACCGTTGACTATGATTTGAAAAAGGATATCCGGAATGGACCCAAAGGGCCTCTGTCTCTGTTTAGTCTTCGAGGTTATTATCTGGACATAAGGCGGATCAGCAAAGGCCTTAGGAACTTATATGGTAGACTACGAGACACGCTGCACTTCAAGCTATGATGTTTACTCACCATAATTCTGTAGATACTCCGCGCTCTAATTGAGTGATTTCGCGTGGCCAGTTCAACGATTGTCCATTAACAAATTCTCAAGGGAAATCTACTGTTTATATCTTCTTAGGAGCAAGGGGACCAAAATTGCCGCATAGATGTCATTAAGCTGTCAACGGTGTGACGCGTTAGCAGAGAATCATCTGCGTGCTTGTGGTAATTTCGCAGATCGGGAGGCTGAGCGTGCAGGATGCAGGAGACGATGTGTTAAACAAGAGTAGGTTGACTGGTCGATAGAGACGGATATATGGTACGTGGTGATATCCCTTGCCTGGGCTGGGATATCTCCTTTCTTCAGGGAGTAACACGGTCACGTTTATGGGATGGTAGCGCGAAATAACCTATTGGCGAGTGTCGCTGACTGCCAACGCAGCTCTGATCACTCCCTATATATGCTGAAATCCGAAACCGGTCGATAGATCCATACATAGTCCCTGAAGGTTTGATGTTAGTGGCTAATTAATATAGGATAGCGGCACACCAATATGGACCTAAACGTACAGATCAGCAGGCCTCATGTGCCACTATCGCCCAGGGTTTCAATAGTCAGGCCTGCGTGGCTGTCACAGCGGGCTTCGTCAGAGCGCCTAGGATGATCTGTTCAAGCAGGTGATCGGGTTTTCAGGGGGATTGGGGAGCCACCGTTGTGTCAGAAGGAATCCCGATAGTGTCAAGTCGGGTTGAGAATGGACCCTCCACACCACACTCCATACCCCATACTATTGCCGGAGATCCGCTCTAGTGGAGCTTCCAACGGGTCTAACCCGAATTGATCCAGTAGTTACCCCTCTACCCAAAGAAAAAGGAAAAAAAAAATTCTGGAATCTTTCTCTGACCTTCGTCGTCAACATTCCTTGTGACGTCCCTCTACTTTCTTTTTTTATACCCTTTCTCATTCGCTATACCCTCTCTAGCGCCTTTGGGCTGCGATACTTTTCCTGCCTTTTTTTTCTTTTCTTTTCTTTTTTTTTTTTTCCCTCTTCGAATCGTAAGACGGTCGAACGAACGTATGCCACGACCCAACACCCTTCCACTCGCCGAAGAGTGGACTGATCCTGATGCCTACGTTGATGCCCTTCTGTCCTTTGCTACCTCATCCGATATTTTCCGGCATCTTTGCGGCGGCGTGCATATTTTGGACTTTCTGACGCGCGAACCGGATCTCTATACGTCGCTTCTCCCCGAACATTGGCGAGCGTTCTTCGACCTCCACGATGTTCAGGACCTCTTAGATTTGTTCCTGAGGGAGGACCTCCAGAAACTCTTGAATCAAAGCAGGGAACATGCCGCGGGTGGAGGAAATCCGGATGCGCGACAGGAGTGGAGGGGAGTTCCCTTACCTCCGACAGATCTCCTTGAATATCTCTACCAGGTCCGACGGCTTAGTATGGGGCGAGATTTTCGACCCCCACAGCCTGGGAAACCAACGCTACCGAGACACATATCAGTGGGGATGAATGTCAAAAAGTACCATGAGGTAGCACACTTTTCGAGATACGTCGACTCTCTGTGCGCAACAGTAGATGAGCAGCGGGCTGATAACATAACACACATCGTGGATTTTGGGTCGGGTCAAAGCTATCTTGGTCGGACACTTGCCAGTCCCCCATACAATCGGCATATCGTTGCTATTGAGAGAAAACATCAATTCATCAATGGCGCGAAGGGCTTTGATATCTTTGCGAAACTAAAGGAGAAGAAACAAATCAGGTTGTACAATAAGAAGAAGGCAACCTGCAGGGACTGCGAGGAAGCCGAAAAGCCGGTGGCGTCAAATGACAATGCTTCTCTTTGTGAATCAGAAGTAGCGGAGAAAATACTAAGTGAGGACAGCGCAGAGCCAAACGTGGATGACGAGGAGGTTGCCATGATAAACGTCTTCCGTGATATCAGTCTTGCGCCTAATGAGATCGGTTTGGCTCCGCATCGGAATAATCCTAATAAGAAATCGGCTACTGCTAAGAACCTAGATGCGGATGGACCGAGAGGCAAAATGGATTACATTGAACACGAAATCAAGGATGGGTATCTGGAGCCGATCATAAAGGACGTAATTGAGACTTCGCCTGTGGAACTGGAGGAAGGCTCAATTAGCGTCGAGCAGGATAGCAGCGGAAAATCGGAGGATGCGCGAGTTATGGTTATCTCCTTACATTCTTGTGGCAATCTTGTCCACCATGGGGTTCGATCTTTAGTTTTGAACCCATCCGTGAAAGCCATCGCCATGATTGGTTGCTGTTATAACTTGGTGACTGAAAGACTTGGCCCTGCTACATATAAAATCCCTATTCTTCGAACCATGCACCCTCGTCTGACTCAGGATGCTATCGCATATGACCCACATGGCTTTCCTATGTCAAAACGGCTGGAAGACTACGAACATGACAGTGGAAAAGGCGTGAAGCTGAACATCACAGCAAGGTCGATGTCTGTACAGGCGCCGTACAACTGGGGCAGGGAGGACAGCGAGAACTTTTTCACTCGTCACTTTTATCGGAGTCTCCTCCAGCGAGTCCTGGTAGACCGCGGGGTGGTTGCCAAGCCCTCCATACCAAAGGATTTGTACGGCACCGACTCCTTGGATTCTAGCGAAGCGGGAAACCCTCTCATCGTCGGCTCCCTACGAAAGTCCGCTTTCACTTCATTTTCCGCCTATGCTCGCGCTGCGGTAGCCAAGTTGAGCCGAGATCCTCAGAACGGGGAGAAGGTGAAAGCAGGGATGGCTGATATTACCGAGGAGGAGCTAGACGATTACGCGACGAAGTACTGGCATACGAAGAAGTACCTCAGCATTGTTTGGAGCTTGATGGCCTATAGTTCTTCTCTGGTGGAGGCAATCATCGTTGTTGATCGATGGCAGTTCCTGCGTGAGCACGACAATGTCAAGGACTGCTGGGTGGAGCCTGTGTTCGACTATAGCGAAAGCCCAAGAAACCTGGCCGTCATCGGTATCAAGAAGTGAAACCTTCCGAGCTTCATCGATACCTATCGCGACCTGTGCATCCGGCTCTCATGCCATACGACCCTGTCCGGCTATGTTTCATTCCGCGAAGACAGTACGACGACCCGGTTCCGAACGAAGGTCTTTTTTACTGTCGTCTGTTTAGGGCGACTTGGCATATGCGGATGACTCGCATCCGGCAACGATCTAGACCGGCTTCATCTTAGTCATTTCATGGTCTGGTGTTGATGCGGCCCTTGGGTGGGCTTATGTAATATTGAGTATGACGATCTCTGATCTCACCTCTCAGGAAGAGTGAGTTGAAGATTGTTGAAACGATTCTTTGAACAGAAGAAACAAGAAAGGAAAGGAAACGAGGAAAGAACTGCCTTGCGTACCATACGGAGTACGTACGGGTGGACAATAAAAAAGACGGGGATAGAATACTATTGATGATGATGAATGTATGATAGAATAGATAAACCTATCACAAAATATTTCGCTATGAAAATTTCTCATATTTTATATATATTACAGAATACGCTCCCACCTCCGAGTTCCGAATTCCGGCTTGTAGGTAACTACGATTAAAGGGGGTATTTGTTTTTCTTAAATAAAAGAAAATATAAAGCCAGAGAACGAGTCATCGATTTATGTAGTTGCCTTCCTGGCCGGTCGGGTTCCGCGGAATCCGAGACCGTATTTGACTTCCCCATCAGACCCTCGCGTCATGACATTTTTCCCCCAAACCGCCCCTTACCCAGTGGGAAGTTAGCATTACCAATTCGTATACATTATCCCATCTCGGTTATCTTGCACTAATTAACGCCCAGAATGGAGCCCGAGGGCCCCGAGAGTGATAGCAGGGACTCCCTTCCTGTTAGGCGTGCCGTGAGTCTTTGCTAATAGTACTTAACTACTACCACATTTGACTAACGGTGCAGTGTGACCAATGTCGTCTTAGAAAGGTATATTACCTTGACAATTGGTAGAGTCTTATAGGCTAAAAACTGAGCTAATTGCTCTCGGTGATTAGATACGATGTGACAAACGGTCACCATGCTCTAATTGCCGTAGCTCGCAGATTGCTTGTCGCACTACAGGCGCAGGTCAAAAACCAAGGGAACAAAGGAGACGAGTCCTAATCTCCGATCAATAGTAGGCGATTTTTTATGGTAGATGAAAGTGGAACCGTTCTGACTGCCCCAGTGAAAGAAAAATTGATCTGATCGAGGATCGTCTGACTAGCATAGAACAGGTCCTTCGTGACCTAAAGTCTACTGTTACTTCCAACACTCCGGCTGAGACCTGCTTCCATGCAACCCCAGATTCGGGGCAGATGACCCCGTCTGCTCCTGGCCTTGCGTCTGACATTAACGCCGCACTAGATCAACACGAGTCTGGCCCCACGTTTGAGGGAAATTCGTCTCTTTTAGCCCATTCGGCCTACGCAAGTGAGTTCCTAGAGACAGCGGTTTCCCGTAGTGCGCTGCAATTATCTAGTCCGAAGATCAGTGCTGCTCTCTCAACACTTAAGCAGCTTGTCACTATGCAGGACCATCAGGCACATCCTTCGTCGAAGGAAGTTCGCTTTCCCAACCAGAAAGCTATGCCCAGCTCTGGGTTACGAAATCTGAGCATGCCTCCTGTACAAGTTGTTTTGCCGTTATTGCGCCGACTCAAAGGTACTAAATGCTATCATACTCCCCCTAGGAACCCAGGCTGATTTCCATTGATTGCCTGCAGACCACCCTGCAACGCTACTACTGGGGTTTTTCCCTTTTATAACAGAAGACCGGCTGCTTGAAAAGTGTCGCAAGGTGTATTTTGCCACAGAGGACTACACTGACGCAACATTCATTGTAGTGAATGCATGCCTGTTCTATCTCTTTTGTGAACTAAGTATCACCTCTACTGACGCCTCGAGCCAAGAACTGTATGACAAATATGGTGACTTGTGTCGTGTCAACCTTGAGACAGGCCTCGCAAACCTGAACCTTTTGATGCCTGCAACAATAGATTCTATAGAAGCGCTCACCATGGGAGTAAGTCTGACCCTTATAGATACTTAGATGGCGGTACTGATCACTCAGGCTATCCATGCAATTGAAATCTCGAAACCCTCGTTCGCTTTGGCATTGACTTCAACCGCATCTAGGATGTGCCAAACGCTCGGTTATCATCGAAGTTCATCAATGGAGAACGACAAGCCTGGCATAAAGCAAACCAAGCTCCGCATCTTTTGGGCAGTGTATGTTACAGATAAAGCTCTTTCGTTGCGGCTTGGTCGTGCCCCATCTATACAGGACTACGATATTTCTTTACCGACAAAGTTTGAACAACTTGGAAACTTTGAGCCGTGGAGAACCATTTACCCGCTATGGATTCAACTAGCAAGGATTCAGGGCAAAGTATATGAAATGCTCTACAGCCCTGCAGCCCTTCGTAAACCGGCCAGCGAAAGAGCACTATGTGCTCGCCAACTAGCATCCGAGATGCAATCGAGTGTTACTGAGCCATTTAAGGTGCGCTTTCCCAAGGAGACTACACTGGGATGGAATTTCTAACAATGCATAGAAGGTCACCCCCAAGATCTCTGGAATCTCAGACCTAGACGAGATCTACCTCCGGTCGGATGAAGTCTGCCGCCTATCTGTGTTGACCCTAATTTACAGAGCTATCCCCGCGAATGCGGATAGTCCGAGCACGTTCATTGATGAATGCATAGAAACAGCCCGACTGACACTAGCAATGCACCAAGACTGTATGACAATGTTGGAACAGGGTAATAGAAGTAACGAAGTCAAGTGTTCGTACTTACACTGGTATGAGTTGGACATATCACTTATAGGGCTATTGTGAGAGTAACTAACTCCATAATCAGGACGATATTATACTCACCATTCGTGCCGTTTATAGTCTTGTTTTGTCATGTTATCGAATCCTCCTCATATGCAGATCTCACGCGACTAGAAGATTTTGTCAACTCGCTCCAGCCCAACTGTGCATTGTCGGAAGCTATTGCAAAAATGCACCGACTCTGCCAGGTTCTCAGCAACGTGGCGAAGCTATATGTCGAGGCCAAAGCGCAGGCCCAGACGCAAGAGAATGAAGCCTTGGCGTCCGTCGGCCAAGAATTTGACGTTTATCTCAGTGCTCTTGGCTTAGCGCCTACACAGGCTGAAGCTGGTGATCCTCGATGGAATGGCCCTACTCCTGAGTCGGGACCTATTTCCGGAGATCTGAGAGAAGGTACCGAAGGTCAAGGATTCCCACCCGCTATGCTCCAGACTACACTGGGCAGCTGGTTCTCAGGGAATCAACATATGATGGGCCTGTTAGAGGAGGATCTATCTCTTTTTGATCCATCTGCATGGTAGTGAAGCTGCGTAAATAGGATCATTCCATTCTTTTGGAATATTCCGTGATATGGATACAGCCGGTGGCACTTCTCGACTTCTATGCTTCTTGCACGCTGCAATGCCTCCCGAAGTTGAACGCTTGGAAGTGGTTGTTCACTTTGATATCGAAAGACAACTAGATACACTTTCCTCCAACAATTATCTCCGTTCCTTTTATGAAACTACCCTCATCACTCGCCAGATATAAACACATGTTTGCAACATCATCAGGGTCTGTCAGTCGACCCAGCGGCACATTTTCGATAAACTTCTCTCGGTTCTCAGGTGTATCAGGCATGCCAGTGAACATGGAGAACAGCCCTGTTCCTGAAAGAAGAGGGCTTACGGTATTGACGCGGAAATTGTGAGGGCCGTACTCCGCTGCAAGACCTTTGTAGCCTGTGCGAGTCATCCAAGAGCCAGGCTCGCTCCAAAGTCTAATATGCAGAAGGGAAAAGCAGGCGAACTTACATTCGAAACCGCGCCATTGGATGCATTGTACCAGACCAAGCCTGGTCGAGGCCGTGATGCACCAGTAGAAGAAATATTAATCATCGAACCGCCCTGGCCTTGTTGGATCAACCTAGCCACGAAGGCCTGAGAACCGAGGAAGGTTCCTTTGACATTCACATTAAAAACCCGCTCCCATTCCTCCTCAGTCACTTCGGCTGTTGGCTACTTCGAATCAGCGAACTGAGTCATAGTAAGGGTTCTCAAACTTGATGCATATACCTTGTCCCGATACGTCGTCCCAGCATTGTTTACCAGCACAGCCAGTCTTCCGAATTTGAAAATGCCAAATCCATGACGACCGTCCAATCCCCCGCTTTCGTTACGTCCATCTGCTGAAAAACAATGCTCTCTGGATTCTGAGCCGCCACTTTCTGCCCTCCCTCGACATTGATATCAGTAATGATCACTTTAGCTCCTTCCCCGATGTGACGGGCAATCGCAGCGCCGGATCCTGAACCTCCACCTGATCATTCGTTAGTGGTTATACCAGTGACAATGGCAACTTTGCCCTGCAGCCGGGCGCCGGGGTCAACCGTTTCGTCATTTCTGATATAGTGTACGGTAATTTTCCAGGATGATCAAAATAATATTGTTCGATGAAGACAGCAAGTAGATATACTCGAAGCTCCGCAGAGATATCCGAGGGCCAAGAGGGGGAAATGCGGAGGTGCGGTACGAATGCCGAACGCCTACGCATGCATCTCGGCGATTGGTATTCTCTCCGCATCAGGAATTAACCCAGGTGCTAAGGTACTTACTAATTAGTACGTGCTGGAGATTCCAATCTATGATTCCGAGATCTTTCTTTGCTTCCCGAGAATATGGCTTTTGTAGTGTTAGACTCAGTAACCCAGGTGGCGGTCTGTATATAATGCTTCTGGGTTCGCTGTCTCGCAGTATCCTTGGAAACTTGAAGTTATCATATGGTGCTAGATAGTTCCTGGGTAGCCCTCTGCATAACCAACCGGTGGTCATTAGCGATCAAACGTCGGTCTTCCTGTTATTACTCATTCAATAATCTATGATGATAGATTTGGATCCTTCGGCAAAGGCATCCTTGGATCCCCTCCAAGGGCCCTGCGCTGTCCTATATTACATATAAAGACATTGACACAGGAAAAGCGGTTACATACAACCTGCGAGACTACAAATGCGCTTTACTCTAGATTATTTATTACGATTTGTCTATTCTGTGATCTTGTTGCAGCAGACGCTGATATCATTTACTCGAGAAATGCATTCCAGTTTTTGTCGACGTAGGTAAATTTAAAATATAAGTGAATATTCCAGGGTACTCAACCTAATTAATATAAGCCTAACTTACTAACCGGCCTAGCGATTTACTAAAAGCGGCGACATATATATCGGGCATGTTGTGTATGTATGTGCAACAGCGACTTAAGAACGAACATTTATCTACACCTGAAGAGGTGGTACCGAGTTGGTCTAAGAGTCCAGACGCGCACCTGATAATAATAGAAAGAAAAAAAGAAAAGAAATTGAGATAAAATCATGGAGTAAAGTAATAACTCGGAACTACAATAATAGTCCTACCTGAACTAGTTAATACCACGAGACCATGAGATGCCGAGAAAGTACTCCGTATCAAATTAGATTGGATTGAAGTATCCTCTTTCTGGCCCCCAAAAAACAAGGGTCATACTAAATTAAATTAAACATCGGTTACTTATGCTGGGAATTAAGGTTCTTCAGGGAATTGGACTAGGATTTGGTTATTAGGTTTTCTTTTTATATATTATTCTTACTTTCGTTCTCTTTTAGGTCGAGGGCGTGGAAATAACATGGTCATCTTTTTCCAATATAGGATAATGGAGTGCGGATGTAACTTCCGGTGTATGGCTGTGGGAATACTCTGGTTTGGATGGAAGATATATTAGGCTACAGCCATTGCTTAGGGGGCTTAATTCGATCGTATGGCAGCTTAATCTGTCCTTCTAGATTGGGGGGGAGTAAGTTGGTCATACACCAGGGGGCGCCCTGTGGACTCCTTTGTTTAATAGGTATACTTCCAAGAACACCAAAGTAATAAGAGGTTGAATACCCGAAGAATATTAGATGAAGGGATAGGGTACATCTGATAAATCATTATAAACATCATAAACCCCCCATCAAAGGCCTGTTTAACCTCAGCAACCCTGATACGCCCAGTAAGCTCGCACTTTTATCACATTAAAATTAAGAAGCCCAAGGAGAGCATCCCTACTCTCTCCTCGTCACAGAAGTCTCAACGTCAACCGTCTTGAAGATGGCGAGCGACCCACCGGGGTTTCCTCCATAATTTCTGTCTCCATGAACGGTGGTTTCAACCTTCGGCTGGCTTTGTGCATTATGTACCAAGATATCTTGATCGGAGGTCATCTCAATATAACTCAACCGGCTTCTGCTCCTGTCGGTCTTCGCGCTTCGGGTTTGGCCTTTCATTCTGCTCAGCTCGCGGGCAGAGGTTTCGCGGGTAGCTTTGTTGCTGTTGGAGTATTCGTGGTAGACGCGGGAGAGGATGGCAGAAAGGGCGGGAAGGCAGGCACAGATAACGCCGATGGCAATTTCGGCGTTGCTGTTTGCAACCATATTATTTAGTATACGTAGTTAAGCGAATGCGGGGTTTAAAGATGGGGTTGGCAGGGGACATACCCAAACATGTTAATGCGCATGAAAGCCCTAGTTTCATCTTTCGATTGGCCCGTGTAGACAATCAAGATGAGACGGATGATACTAGACGCACATGCGAGCCCTCCTGCGCCGAGAATACCCATGACTCGCATCTTCTTCCACATTGGCAATTGTAGACCCAGAGTTAAGGGTAAGGGGAGAATGAGGATAATCAAGTCGCTGACTACACTGACGACTGCGTCTGCCATAATAATCGCTCGCTGATCTAGACATGACCCCGGACGACCGGGTAGCCAGAATTTAGCGATCGGGTAGCAGATCCGTATCTTGACGATGACGGCTGGGATGTAGTAGGCAAGCATGATAGCGAGGAAGATGTAGATGAACGTAACGGCTTTGCGGAATGGGCTGAAGACTCTGGTCATGATCCATAGTAGCGAGACTTTGGTTAGGTATGCGGTTGGCCCGTACATGACCATGGTGACATAGACGGTCTGAGAGAGTCAATCTTATGTAGCACTCCCGAGAGACTGCGAAATACCTTTTTAAAGACAATTTGATCATGGTAGGGTACGTCTTTCATATGAAGTCCTCCTCCGTGCTTGCCCACTGGCTATGGTTAGACGGAAATGTAGACTTGAGAGCCATGAAATACTAACTAATGAGCGCAATGACTGAGTAGCAGATACCAAGGAGCTGTTACAGTAGACCACCTTAGCAAATGTGATGACTTTAACAGAGTTAGACCTACCCAAGCTCCTAAACATGTCCCTGCCTCGAGTCAGTACGCAAAATACCTTGTCCGGAGACGTAGTAAACTCACAGTCTTCTTTGGTGAAGCCATTGAGAAGAAACACCCGAGTATATGCCCGCATTGCAAAGAATAGAGTCATTGCAGAAATGCATAGTGCCTGTGTTGCTGTATTCCATTTCTGTATGCTCGTGTCAATCGGTTTCGAATCATCTCGTTCAAAGAACTGCATGAGGACCATGTTGAACAACTGACACCATGTGCCACTCGCTGCAGTAGGTACTGCCAGCTAGACAGGGGTTGAATCAGATTTAAAAAAAGAAATTTGGAAAAATAGGAGCTAGAACTCCAGCAAAATAAAGGACAGGAGGGTCCTCCGTTAAAGCTTTGACAAGTCGAATCTACAACGGGCAAGTATATGTACGAAACCGCATCATCTACGACGGGGGACTGATTTTACCCCCCCGCCCCCGTCCTGAGCGAAAAGAGATATACACACAGACAAAAATAACTAGTGCTCCTAATAGTGTCGAGAGGCATCAATACCCAGGCTGAAAAATAAAAACGATGACAATTACAATGACAGTAGCAAATGCCACAGGTTGTGACATGGATCGACCGATGTTCTGCATGACCTCGACAAATTATTGGCACGAGGGCATGCGGCCAAGGCATGCAGATCCAATCCAAGTAGAAGCTCTGTAAGGTATTAACCATGGATTTTCTATTGTCATAGGGCCAGGTGGGCTTCTGCCGCCTTGACGGCGAGATAACCGGTCATGAAACCCCAGCCCTGGGTATCATGCATGATATGGAGGCTAGCCTTCAGGTACAGAAAGCCGCTAGTCTGTCACCTCAAGATTGGAACGATCATCAAGGCTTTTCTCGTATTCAACGAACTATTGGATGGCCTACTACCTCTTGGCTCAAGTGAAGTATCAACCTTTTTTGCACAAAGGAAGGGCGGAGACCATGAGTGAACAATGGAAATGGACAGAAAAGCAAGTCGGAAGTTTCTCGGGATCCGTGTGCTGAGCATCAGGAATTGATCGTTGTGTGTGTTACCTAAAACGCTGCGTCCATCACCGGCTTTTAGGTTCTTTGGAACCGTAGCGGAATCCACTTCCCGCCCGATGTGGAGGTTGGCCTGCCAGGTGGATATCCACTAAGCCCTACCCAGTAATGATGTGTTGAGGTCGTCCTTCCACATGGATTTATCTGAGAACGAAATCAACCGTCTAAAGAAATAAATCAAGGGAGACCGAAGAGCTCAGACCAATATTAGACCTTCCGAAGCAGGAAAATACCTTCAATGCATCCCCTGAACCTGTCCGTGGGAGTGGTTCGATCGATTCGAAGGTCCCTGCTTCGGGCTCTGGCCTCAAACGGTAGGGTTACATTCTGGTGGCCCTACAAATGAGGGATCAACCCGCCAAGAACGTCTCCATCGTATGTACCGACACACCCTTCGTGGAAGGATTCGTCCTTTGTATGGAGTACTCCGTCCCGAGCATAGTTTTAGCAGTACCAAGTAGATAGATAAACGGTGTGCTAATATAGTGCATGTCTTGGGACCAAGGAGTTAAGTCAGGAGAATGAGATGACATAATATATTAAATTTCGGGAAATCTCCGTGACAAAATGGACCATCTGATACTACGCCCAGCCACATTAGTCATAGTAATTGTGAGCTTGTCGTTCAGAAGCGACTTCACCATACTTGTTTCAGGAAAATAAACGCTGACCGAAACATGGACCCCGCTGCCCAACTAACGGCCATGCGCTGCCGAATCTGATATTGCTCGTGGCAGGGATACTGTGGGTAATGCATCCATCGTGCAACGGTGGACGTGCCGTGCAGTACTCTTAAATCGTTTACGGTACTTGTTCCGTGTAGTAGTCGTTTCGTTTCGTTTAGTCAACGCATCGAAAAAAAAAGGTAAGTATAAAAATACCCTCGTGTAGGCCGTCGTCTTTAACAGAGTACGAAAGCTATGACTGAGGCCAAGAAGGTTTGTGTTATGGTAACAAAGTGCCAAGGACTGTAGGTGCGAAGTCATTGAAGTCTCCGAGGCCAGGGAACTTTTTTTCTTTTCTTTTCTCTTTTTGTTTTCGTTTGCTTTCGTTTTATTGTGGGTTTTCTATATGAAGGCCTGATTTTCGATGGTAGAGTACATACAGTGTGTACGATACAGGATGTTGCGGATGGTACTTTCTAGACCTTAGCATAGGCCAGTCGTCTAGAAGATAGCCATGATATTTGGTGGCGACGACACACCACCGGGCATATTCAAAGGTACGGATGACACAAAGAAGCTCCATCGCTGGAGATCCTGGCAGGTGCGTGCCAATGCCTCTAGGTCAAATAACTCGCCTGTCACATGAATTCGAGAGATCAGTAAACGGTTTGTCCGAGCCGCTCTACGCTTTAAACTTACCGATTGGCATTCCCCATCCTGCGAGTACGTATTCATGCAGGAATACATCAGATTGAGGAGGGTAAACCTGTCGCATTTTTGTTAGTCCCAACGGCCTTGATAACACGTCTGTTTGGGGGGGGGGGGGGGGGGGGGGGGGGGGGTTGTTGGTTCTCGCACCTCCCAGCTAATGGTGTCGCTGGCAATCGCAGCAAATCCCGAGTCCCAAAGCCACCGGAGCATGTCTGTGGTGGCTTCGACTCCAGCGTGTTCTGGGCTCGGGTTGTCAGAATATTGCTTTTTTTGCTCATCTGTCATCACGGTGTCCCATTCCTTAGTCACGCCAACACGAACAAACAGGATATCGCCTTTCTGGAAAGTGATGTTGCTCTCCTTAGCGATTTCGAGGATATCCGACAGTCGCACTTGATGGGTCGAAAATGTAGTGTACGTGATTCCCTTCTTCTCCGCCCATGAGGCGTAGTCAATCAACACTCCGCGACCTATTAATGTCATAAGAGAGATGCAAGAGAGAGCACCGGAGTAGGTAGAATGATTCATACCTGCAATACCTTCTCGGGCCCAGTGCTGCATGCCAATCCGATCGTTGCTACGGTCATTGATCTCCTCCGATGTCATGCCGCCGTAGAACAGACGCTCGGCCTGGCCTGGAACGGTTTGAGAGAAGTGTCGCAGTCCATCCCACTGACTACTTTGTTCTAGAAGCTCATTCTATTAGATACACGTAAAACCATGCTCCGGGTACATTGGTAACCCACGAGGATTCATTGTATAAATGTCATCAAAGGCCACCCCGCCCAGGAGAGGGACGATCGTGTGCTGGCATGGTTGACGGTTTAGGTTAGGATAGTTTAACTTGGTCATTTCCCATCCCATCGTAACTCTTCGACCGGTTTTGATTTCGGTCGACGCTGCTTTAGCCACTACTTCAGGGGTCAGGATGGCCAGCTTTCCAAGCCCTTCTTCATAGCTACCCGGCTTTCCCACCCACACTTGCTTGGGGTTGGGAAGCTCGTCGTAAGGAAGATCGAAGGGGGAGACGCTGCCCATGATCTCAACAATCTACTTTTAGGAGGGGGATAGACCAGTGAACGTGGCAGACGGATATTTCTCGAAAAAGAAGAAAAGAAATATGAACAATAGGGTGTGCGCTCTGTTTTACATGCAAGGTCGTTATTGTGTGGCAGGTCTGTCAAGCTTTAAACTCATTGTAAGCTTTCAACCTGCACTTATCCGCCCAAATGCAGAATCTTAACGACTCAGGAGGGAAACGACAGTCTTGGTGGGACAGTGTCATCTCGTAGCTTCGAATAAAACTTGCCGCGGGTACTGGAACCCCACGAGGACCCAACCAGGAGTGTGGCACTGAACAGTCCGAGGTAAAACCCACGTAGCCAGTGGACTGTGGGCGCACTACACCGTGTGAGAGGAGAGTTCGTTACAGGAGCACAGACGCCCAATGGGGTTGCGCAGAACGAAATGATATTCATGCGCCAGGGCGGAATCTGGCAATCCGACGCGCAGTATTTAAATAAGCCGAGCCATACCAAGTTTGAAAAGGAATTCAACGGTATGTGATTTGTATTGGACGGACAAATCGAGAGGCAAGGGATCATGCCAATCATGGCGGCATTCAGCATCTGCTCTCCCTCGTAATTCCTCACTCGTATAATTGCGCTAGGGTTATGTTTAGCGGGTATGCACGTATTGTCCAATTGGACTAATGGCATGAGCATAATGAACGGAAGGAGTCGCTCCATAGCCATACAATTGATGGATATTGGAAGAGAGTGGAGATTCTAGGTTGCAGATAAGAAATACATTACTGTAAAAAAAAGTCACGGGGGATTACCTACCCCAATACAGTTTAGTGGCTTGACTTAGTTATGTGTAAACAAGCAAATCCCTTCTACTTCTACACGAGTAAATAGTCCTGGTCACACACCATGTCAGGGTCTGGAAGCGGAGTCATCGTGCATTAAATACCCAATCCAGAATCATGCTTCCTAAGCTCGAATTTTTGGCAGCAAGTGGACCCCCCAAAATTTGCTCCCCCCGTTCCACTCCCGCCAATGTGCACCATGCCATGCGTACTACTAAGCTGGAAGGTGAAGGTGGGTTGGCGGCTTTCTCATCATTCGTAGCCTTGGAGACTAACGCAATAAATGTGTGGGTGCCTGCGAAAGTTGTTCCCCTATCACTGCGCTGCATGGTTGCTGAAAATTTCAGTTTCGAAGCTGGTGTGTTGATTCTCTGCAAGGCTAGTCGCTCACAGTATCTAGCTCGCAATCCTATATCGACGGGAATTTTCCCTTTTCCTTGTAGCATCCCCAAAGTGTATGCACGAAGCTCGTGTGGCCCGATATCTCGCACTGAAGCATATCTGACCATATGAATTGACTGGCCAACTTGGCCTATTATTCCTTTGTTTTCTTGAAACAGTCAAAGCTCGGATCAGTGCAAATCCCTGCAAGGGAGACCCAACCAGTCCATCATGGGTACGTTCGGATCCCAGACCAGTACTTATAATAAGCTGGTCGCTATTTTTGTCGCGGTTGGATCAATGGTAAGCCCTTGAATTCTGGCCTAGAAGCATGGCATCGAGCCTAACTGGTTTCCTGATCTAGACCTATGGTTATTGTTCCTCAATTATTTCTAGTACAATCGGCCAACCAGGGTGGTATACCTACTTCAACCTCCCACAGGAGGGTGAGCCGGGATATGCTTCGATTACAACACCAGCCATTTCTACCGCCAATGGTGTCTTCAGCGCGGGAGGTGCTGTTGGCACGCTGTTCATAATGTGGTCCTGCGACTATTTTGGCCGAAAGGTTAATATCCAGTTGGGTGCTTTCTTTTCAATGTTTGGAGGGGCGCTCCAAGGAGGTGCGAACTCCCTCAAGTATGTGCTATTCCATTATCTCTTGCCACAGGCTAGTTTCTGACGGCCTCTTAGAATGTTTCAAGCCGGTCGATTTGTATGCGGTCTTGGAATTGGTGTTCTGGTAACCGTCTGTCCTATGTACCTTTCTGAGATGTCCAGTGCTTTCCGTCGTGGTTGGCTGGTCGGTCATCATGCCATCTTCCTGGTCTTCGGCTATATGCTTGCCGGTTGGGTAGGCTATGCATGCTATTTCGCGGAGGACAAATTAGGTAGTTTCGGCTGGAGGTTCCCTTTGTGCCTCCAGTGCCTGCCGGCTCTGGTACTGCTTCTTGGATCTCCGTGGCTCCCTCGCTCTCCTCGGTGGCTTATCTCCAAAGGAAAGCATGACGAAGCTAAGAGTGTACTTCAAAAGCTTCGTCAGTCGCCAGACGATCCGAACGACTTAGTTGCCAAAGAAGAATACTACCAGACGGCGGAACAAATTCGCCTGGAGGCGGAGAGATTGTCCACTTATGGCAACGTGTGGAACGCAATTATGAAGAAGAAATCTTACAGAAAGCGAATGGCTATTGGCTTCCTGACTCAATGGGGTGCTGAGTTTGGTGGACCATTGATTATCGTGAGTATCAAATGCTTTTGAAGAGAAAGTTGTGCTTCACGTGCTGACTTGAGGTAGAACAACTATGCAGTCATTCTATATACAAATCTTGGAATGACTGGAGGCATGCCGTTGCTTTTGAGTGCTATTTGGCTTACTACAGCTGGTAAGACATTATGGCTGTTCGCAACCGCGGTGCATTAACAATATCCCTAGGTGTCATCTACAATCCTCTTGGTGCCTGGCTTCATGACAAGGTCAATTCTCGTCGTGGCATGTATATCACCGGCTTTGTCGGCATTATCATATCCACCTCCTGTTTGGCTGCAATGACTGCCGAATATGCAGGCACTACAAACAGGGTTGGGAACGGGTTTGGAATTTTCTTCATATATCTTTACTTAGCATTCCAGGGGTAGGTGCTAGCCGTTCATTATTATAAACTGCTGCTAATCTTCCTCAGAACCTTTTGTGACACGACGATGTACCTCTATGTTTCTGAGATATTCCCAACCGAAATCCGCCCCATTGGCATGGGATTCTCTCTTTTCGGACAATTCGCTGGTATGTCCCCGATGACACAATGGCTTGAGAGCATTACCACTAACCCGGTCGCAGCTACCCTCATTTTACTGCAAACCGCCCCTATGGGTTTCAACAATGCTGGCTGGAAATACTATCTGGTAATCATCTGTTGGTCAGTCGTTTTTATTCCAGGTAAGATATCATACCCTTCAGGTCTCCCGCTTTTGCTTACGATCTAGTAGTGATCTACTACTTTTTTCCCGAGACTGCGCGCTTGACTTTGGAGGAAATCGCACAGAACTTCGGCGAAGAAGTTGCCGTTCACCTTACAGATGCAACTGATGAAGAGAAGGCCCAGCTCGAGCGGGACCTGGCGGCAAGATCCGACAGCTCTGAGCCTGATGGTTCGGCCAAGGGTGTCGAGGCCAGCGTTGCTGGTGCCAAGTCACCAGCAGATGGGGTTCAGGAGGAATCAAAAACTGGATGAGAATTACAGGCTACAATGACCCTGACATGAAGGGTTGCTACTAATAATCCAACCTAAATTAAACAGGTCTCTAGCTCTTTCTAGCTGCACAGAAGGAGCTTCGCCCTAGATCCTTAATAGCTGGCCACACAGGGCTGTCCGGTCACTACCGTTTGCTCTTATTTCCGTCACTGGGATCTCGGACGCTCAGAGACGGACATTCATGACGCTCCTTTGATAGGCATCATTGAAGCCGCCTAAAATATACTCCCACACCCCCCTAAGCCAGTTGGGGGACCGCGAGCAGGAGGTTCTCATCACACCTCATACGATCTTTAACGACATGATACACTCTAATATAGATTAGGTAAATGGTATACATTGGATGTACAGGATGGCTCCTAATCTCTGGTCTTAGAAAATGCGGTCAATCACCATGAAATAATCAGTTGTAAGAAATAAATGACACAGCAATCGATTTAATGGTATCTGAAATAAGATTGATTCCTAGTTGTTGAGTCCTTTAACATTATCTACAGCAGATGCCCAGGCGGTTGGCCTCGTAAGAAAAGACAACCATCTAGTAGATTGAACATATAGCGTCTGGAATGCATTTCATAGTCTCCCAGTGTGCCGACATATCTCTCCAACCTGAAGCAGGGACAACTACTAGAAACTGATATCTTTTATCAGTAGTACATACATACCTCCGTTCGAAATTTCCAGCACTATCTTTTAACATGCGACTACGTACATACGCATCCCAATAATAGTCGGTTTATCATAGACAGGTATCTCACATAGTATGAGATAACCAGGTCCTATATTTTTCCAGGGTCATCTCATACATCTTGTGTGGCTGTGTCTTTTTGGATGCTGACATCGCGTCGTCTACCAAGTCAATTTTCCGAAGGCGCCAAGCTTGCAGGAAATGTCTAGGAGGCTCTAGGAAGAATCAACTCGTCAAGTCTCTGAAAGGAGTCAAGATATCGGTTGGTTGATAACTACGAGGTAGCCTTTGACAGGGAAGGATAGTGCCTGGAACTCTACAATCTTGCAAAGATTTCATATTTTTGCCATCTTCTACGGTCACTACGATAACGCTGCTATCCTATATGACTTAACTGGAAATGTCCAATGATCGAAGCGCTACCTAATGGTCTATAACAATCTATACTATGCTCATGTATTATATCAATAGATAAACTCACAGTTATATGAATAGATAAAATCCCGCAACGGATATGGAATGAAGTCATTATATGGCCTTACCAAGCATCTTAAGCCTCACTTTATCTGGAGAGAATATGGCGTACCTAGGCAGGGCAAGTTTCTAATATCGGGCTATAATGACGCCATTATAATCCTCCAGGATAGCGGGGTTCATCGGGGTACTTTAGGGGATTGAAATATCCCTCAACTGGTGTTAAATAGTAGTTTTCTCTGCTCTCTCTTTGCTAGCTAATCCTTATATTATCGAGGTCCTGACTAGGATCGCATGAACAATGTCTTCGTTCTACGCCGAGGGAACTCCCGATCGGGTCAAAGATGCTAAGGTTAATCAATTTACTAACTAACCTATTCGTCTCCGATATACGGTAGCTAACCTCGAGAAAGGGCCTCCACCTGATAACCTCCCTAACCCCCAACGGACGAAAAGTCAACATCCTCCTCGAAGAACTAAAAGACACCTACAACCTCGAATGGACAACAAGCCTAATCGACCTAGACACAAAGGAACAGAAAAAAGACTGGTTTCTAAGTCTGAATCCCAACGGTATATTCCTCGCAGCACCTATAAAACCAAACCCAGATAACGACAATTAACCACATAAAACCCCAGGCCGCATCCCAATCATAATCGACAACACCAAAACCCCACCTCATACCGTCATGGAATCCTCCGCAGTGCTCCTCTACCTCGTCTCAACAGCAGACAAGGAGCACCAATTCTGGTTCTGGGATCCAATCGAACAAAGCAAAGCCTTCCAATGGCTGATCTTCTGGAACGCATCAGGCCAGCCGATCCAGGGACAATATAACTATTTCCGGAGGAATGCGAGTGAAACCCGTAGTTTTCCATTTCTTTCAGATCCTGACTTGGGAGTCATGTTGATGTCTTTTCTAGGCGCGATAACCCGCTTCAGGGATGAGATCTTGCGGATTTACCGCGTTTTTGAGGCTCATTTGTCTGGGAAACATACAGGTAGTGCGCGCGAGTACCTTGCTGGGTCGAGCAAAGGTAAATATAGTATTGTTGATATTAATGCTTGGGGGTGGATTCGGACGTTTCAGTCTATTGGGCTTTTGGAGGAGGAGGTTGCTGAGTTGCCTCATTTGGGGGCATGGGTGGATCGCATTGAGGCTCGACCAGCTGTGCAAAGGGGGTTGGGGGAGTGGTATGATGAGGACGTTCATCCGGAGTTATTGATTAGTACAAATTAAGATCCAAGTAGTGTGAATGCGGTATGTTGCCTGGATCTATGTGAAGACAGGGAAAGAAGCAAAAGTAGGTAGACATTACATATGTAATGCAGGTTGTGGGAGACGGATTACTCCCAAGAACGTAAATGGAGAATTAGAATGAAGAATTGTCAGGATGGACCAATGTCTATACAACCTCCGTCCCAGCCAACCCAGTCAAAGGTATTCAGAAACTCATTGTGATAATCAGGACCCTCGTAAGCTCCGTTTTGTAGGTACGGATCGAGGAAAGGGTGCGGTTCGGGCAGGAGGTCACCGATCCTAGGCGGCGTATCCAGTATCCGGTCAAGCACGCGACGTAGGATCCGCGTAATAAACAGATTAAGATCACGACTTGATGTGGTGGGTCGGAGCCAGTCAAGGAACCCAACGAGGAGACTTAGATTCTGGATAACCTCCGACCTTGGAAGACGACTACTGTCGATTTCTGAATGGTTGGTTTGCCGTAGTAATTCAAGGCAGAGGATCCCACTGGATGGGACTGCGTAGGACATAACCTAAGGGAGTTAACAATATCCAAGATGGAAAAGAGTCCGTGAGTCTAACCAGCCACTCAAAATCACTATGTAAACCAGTGAAATAACTTTGGTTTCTCCAGAAGATCAATGTTAGTTCTAGCATCTCTCTGCTGACATCTGTAATGTCTTGTTGTGCATGAACAATGCTGTTCCTAGTTAGGAGCCTTTCTAGTAGAAAATTATTGAGCAGGAATTCGAGCCGTGTAAGGATTCGGGCATAGAGATCATCTCCAGGAGCATCGAGTTTCTCTATATCACTAGCCGAGTATGTTATAGACGCCGGAAGTTGCTCGTAGACGGACAATGTTTCGTTCTTCAATGCTCTGCAGAAGTGTCAGCCAACGTTAGGTAAACGAGGAAAACCGCGTACAAAGCACGTTCTAGAGCGGATTGTGATGCAAAGTCAAGTGTGATCTCTAGGATCTCTTCACGGATCTTTGCAAACAAAGTACGAGCACGGAGAATTGTCGTTGAGTAGATGTGGCCGTTTTGGTTCCATCCATTATCGTCCAACTTAGCAACAGACTCCTGAAGCTTGGCAGACAACAGAACGTCATCGCTAATATCTAAAGGCAGCTTTGTTGATGTATGTAAGCGATTTAGAAGTGGTGGTCTCCCAGTGAATGCTGATAGAACTTTGTCAATGTTGAACACAGCCGCGCAGACTCTCCGGTTCATCTCTCGCTGCAAAGTAACCTTTTGCGAGTCTTGGTTTGACTCTCGATGGATACCAATACATGTAGTCACTGCAATGAGCTCCCCGTGTTGCCTCCAACATTTCAAACCTGTGACGGTGAGGATCAAAGTAAAAAGCCTTTGTCAATGCATAATACATACTCTTATCTCCACTTATGATTGACTCCAGAATGTTGTGCTTGTACATCAAATATACCGTCAAGGCATTGACTGAGGAACACTGCCTGCACAGCTCAATGCAAAATAGAGCGCAGTTCTTAAAATGAGCCATCAGTTGTTTGAGGTCAGTAATATATTCGCGTTTCTCTCTGTACCGTGATAAAATGTCGCTCTCTGGGGATGATGATATCGCGCCAAATGCCCAGTATGTGAATAAAATCCCAAGGGATTCCCAGCGTAAATTACTCCCCGCGAACGACTTCAACCACTGGTCCGGGTTATCCGTTGGAACAAGAGGCGTCATGCTATTTTTGAATATGAGACGGGATAGGTCAGTTAGTTGCTCCTTGTGTCGTCCATTGAGAGTAGTTCGGAAAGAGCTCCACATCATGTCGGATAGAATATGCCCCGCGAGTCTGATCCAGCCGTCGTTTGGATTGATGTGCTTTAAGAAAAGGATCTTGCAGCTCCGTTCATCTGGGACATCAAGCAATACCTGGGTGCCTATCTGCAAGAGCTGGGAGCTGGTGTGAAGGTCGTGATGGTGCAACCGTGGTTGAGAGCTCTCCTGGACGTCCTTGTCACTAGAAGCTTTCAGAGCATTTTCTACATCAAAGTGATCACGATGTTCCATAAAGACAGAAGTGAAGCTTGTAGGACCCAGGTACTCAGCAGAGTTATCGCTAAGCACAGGTGCTAGCTGGTACAACACCAAGCCATTACGGCTGATAGATGTATCGACAATCAGTGGACTCTCTGGTATATAGGTATCTCCAGGCATCTCAGCCAAGACTGACTCAGACTCTACGCCGGATGACATTCTATTCGCCGAGGTTTCTAGCCTTCTTGGCCTTGCATGGCTTGAGGGACTTTCGAGATAAACACAATCAACTGACAGCCTTTCGCAACGGTGGCAAGCAGGAACCCTATGGTCGCAAGCTAATTTTCGCAGCCGGCATGCTTCACAAGCAGGCAGTCGGCCATTTCTGCGCCGTGAGAGAGGCATTCGGGCTGTAGTCTGTATAGTACAAAGGCGTTGAATGCGTCAGCAAAGCTGGGGGAACGCCCGCTGTTTATCAATCTTATCTGATTAGGCAGCTATAACGTGGGTCACCACCTGCCGCACGTTACCGCCTGCCGCACGATTTCAAGGTAATGCACTACAAACTAAAATGACGCTTTTCAACCACATATAATTCAAATTATACAGAAATATTAAGGTGTAGTATACTTGATACCCGAAAGTTATTCTATCTAGCTTTTAATCATCGCGAAAGTGATGTGGGAGGCGGATCTGCCTGTCTCAATGATTTATAGGCAAAGGCGCTTTAACAACCTCTTCAGGCCCCTGGAGTGTAGAATCTCCAGTATTTTAAATTATAGATAGTCCAGAGGCCTTTGGTTTACCTTTTCTAGCTATTCTGAAGTTATTTTAAAGCTGTACAGCGGTCTCTTTAGTAAGGTATACTTCCTCCTTTTAACACTTCTTTTTCTCTACCTGCTGAAGTTTAATTTCTTATTAAGAGACTCTGAATTGCTTTTTTTCTTTAAGTAAGTATTGTTTCTCTTTCTTTTCTTGCTGTTAATAAAGCTTTTGTTGCTCTTTTAAAGCCTTAGTAGCCTATATCTCCTTCTTTGCTGCTTGAAGATCACGGAATTGTTAAATCTTTTTAGGCGAGTAAAAGACAGTATCACTATTCTCAGGAGCTTATAATTTAAAAGTAATAGACTTTCCACGCTGGCGCTTCTTCTGTTCTTTAAATACAGCTTTCTCAAGGCCCTGGCAGCGGAGCTTTAGCAAGATATTCTCTGTAGAGAGATAATAAATTATAGAACTAAGTTTTTTAGTATTTTAATTATAAAAACCAGTAATAATCTCTTTTAAAAGCCTTTTAATTCTTCTCCAGTCTTCTACCTGTAAAATAGAGCGGGATGACTCGCTAGAAGAAGGTCTTTCATTCTCAAGCTTTATAAATCATGTCAAAATAATCTCCAGATTAAATGGCTAAAGACTAACAGATTTCTATACAGATTTAATATTTTTTTGAGATAAGGCCTTCTCCCAGCTTAAAAAGAACAGGCAGAAGAAATCTTACTTAGTAAAGTTATAGAGTCCTTGGCTTTTATATAAAAATCTTTCCAAATAATCACTATAGGCCCTTATAAGTGGAGAAAAGATACTGATATTAAGCAGCTGCAGAGAATATGTAGAATATGCAGGATAGGTTAAAAGATAGATCCTATTTATAAAGCAGTATTTAATAAACTCCTTAGTAATGTAAGAACTATAGCTATCAAGTATTAAAAGCCTCCAGCACCACCATACCTTATCTTTAGTTTTACAGTTAAATATCTCACGAAGTCATGCAATTCCTAGCATGTCATTTGTCCAACCAGATGCAGAAGAGACAAAAAAGCAAGAATGGTCTATAGGATTAAAGTCTTAAAGCCAGGAGTCCTGTATCTTGTCTGATACTGCTTAATAGATTAAACCAGGTAACAGCAATGTCCCATCTACATATATACAGGCCAGGCAGGTAATCTACTCTTTAGAGCCACTCTGTAAATATTGCTTAAGGCTATTCCGTTTATATTTCTGTCTTAAGAAGATTCTCTTGCCTTTTTGCAAGATTCTAATAAGAAATCCTTTTTTATCTATATTATATATATTCTCTGGCAGTATCTTATATTCTTGCAGTTTTTGCTTAATACACTGGAAATATAAAGCATATTTAGCTGCAGAATCAGCCCGTTTGCGTGTAGTATCTAATCTGGTTGTATAATGAGATATAAGATTCTTGTGATAGCGTTGAAGAAACTGAGCAGGCCAGTTTTTGCCTGACTTATTTCTAGTAATTTCTTTTATAAAATTCTGAAGTATCTTATATGAAAGTTAAAGTCCACGCTTACTTAGCTTATTTATATAATTTATAAGCTCTTTAGACTGTTGGTTATTGAGAACTCACTGATTTTCATATTATATCTCTCTTGACTATTGTTTTCCTTGATGACATTTTGATAAGGTTGACCGGTATATACCAAACTCTTTTGCAATTTTAGTATAATTAATCAATTCGCCAGGTCCCAACAAATCAATTACTGCTAACGCCTCTTCAATTGGAGTCATATTGGTTGAGATATAAAGGTTCAAATTATTGAGGTTCGAAAGTCGGTGAGTATGAATATCGTGCGGCAGGCGGTGACGTGCGGCAGGTGGTGACCCACGTTAAAGGGTATGGAGCTATCCCTTTTCGGGCATACCGCATATCCCCCTGTGTTCAATATACAAAACTACTAAGGCAGAATTATATGGTATAAATACCTCTTTACCCTCCTTAGTAGAGATGAATTAAATAAAAAAGTCGCCTCCGATTCCCGGCGTGAATATCTGAAATCCGTGATATGTCGAACAAGAAAGAAATTGGCAGTAGAAGCATTTCCCTGTAGTAAAACTTCTACGTGTCTTCCCTGATTTACTTGACACCTCACAAACGAGACCCTTTATTGAATAAAAGATGCCTCTCTGCCCATACCATTAGGGCCTGTACAGCGTTGAAAATCTGCTCTGGTGTATGTTCAGCATTCAGCATTAACCGCACGCGCTCCTTGGTCCTCGGAACAACGGGAAAGGTAAACGCATAGGTGCGATATCCACATCGAAGAAGCCATGCTTGCAGATTATGGCATAGACCAACTGCCGTTACCAATGGAACGATCGGTACGTTATATCGAACTACATCTGATGACCTCATGGTGGGTATTCTCAACACACCGGAGTGTTGGACCATTTCCCATTGAGTTTGCTTAGCAATGGTGTCGTAGAAGAGCTTTATGTTGTTGTGTAGTTGTTCTCGACGCTATTTCAAATTAAATTAATCAATGACCATATACAATCTTCGAGCAACAGGTGCTCACCCTATCACCCTCTGAGCTTTTGAGAATGTTAATCGAGGCATTAAGGAGAGCTACTGTCGGGAAAGTAGGCCCGGTCGAGTAAATCAAAGAACGCGCGTAGTTGACCAAGAATTGCCTAACAAGGGAATCACAAAGAACGATTCCTAGAAACTCTCAGCTATGGTTGCATTAAGATGTTTTCTAGAAAGGTATTGACCCACCGCACGATGCACCAGGGGCCTTCGTATAGCATTGCATCTGGATATGTAATTCTTTCTCCAACCCTAAGTGAGCCGCAAGTCCAGATCCATGAGGGCCAATAAGCCCAACTGAATGAGCCTCATCGATAATGAAGACGAAATTGCCCGCCGGGAGAGCCTGTTTCACGATATCCAAGATGTCACGTATCGGCGCCACATCACCGTCCATGCTATAGAACGACTCAAACGAAACGAAGACAGTGCGTCGACCCTCGACAATATCAAGCGACTCGGCTTTGATATTTTCTAGCACTTGGCGGAGCGAGTGGACGTCATTATGCTTAAATGATCTAACAATAGTCGCTTGACTCGCCTGAGAACCGTCAATGATGCTTGCGTGAATCAAGTTATCGTATACAATTGCGTCGCCGGGATGGGGGAGATTGCTAAAAATAGCCACGTTGGCTTCATATCCGGAGTTGAAGAGTAACCCATCTTTTGCACCATGATAAGCGGCCAGACGCGCTTCCAGCTCCATGACTTGTTTGCTCGATCCATCCAGAACGCGACTGCTCCCAGCCCCCAGATACAATGGTCTCTGTCCAAGCTGGCGAAAAAATTCTTTTCTAAGAGCTTCACTCGACCTGAGGGCAAGACTGTCGTTTGAGCTGAAGTCAACCACGCTGGATCCGTCTGGTGAAGGGGATGTCTGTAGGTATAAGCGTTGTTGCCGACACTTGTTTAGCCCTGCGTTCAGGTCTTCGGAAAATGCTCTGGGGAGGCTCATTGTAGATCTTCCTCAGGAGTATATAGGGTGAGCGAATCCTTGATATTAAGTAGCTCGCTCAAATCTATGGCCTGGGGCAGCCTATGCTGTGGTGAAAAGCGACTATATCAAAGCGATGACCAGTATTGATAAGCATTATACATTAGGTTACGTCGGCTTTCGTGACAAACTCTCGAGTAAACCAAGTAAACCGCCATCAAAAGAAGTTGCCGGAAATAAATAGAGAGCGGAAATTGAATCCATTGCATCTTCTAATAGGGAAGACTAGGCATCAGCTTAAGCAAAAGTACGGCTCTTACCTTACTCTCCCCCTTGCTTCTCTAATACGGAACCATTTTAGCTCGAAAAGCCTTTCTACTCTGGTTTCTCCAGTCAATATAGATGGGCTGATAACACTTCATTTCAGTATGGTCTATTGAAGAATTAGTCAAGCTCGATATATATAAAAGCTATCTCTAGAGGGCCGAAAATCACCCGTGCAAGTAGACCATCGAGCAATAAGTCGCCGAGGTGTTCAGGCCCCTTGCCAGCCCTCTTGCATGTTGACGGAACTTTATTCCACCAATATTTAGACAGGGTTTATGCGTGCACTTGGCCAGGAGGTATTTGTTACACTTAGATACATGTTGGGTGCTAGTGAGTTGGGCTAGAGACAATCATGGAACAGGCTTTACTCCGGATGTAGGGCACATAGGCTGGGTATCGAGTAGGGTTCAACTTTAATACAATCATATGAAAAAGAGGATCAAGCCCCAGATCCCGTTATAAGAATAACATAATAGGCGCGAGAACGGTCTCAATCAAGGTATCTTCTATCCTTCTGGGCAGCTGGACTTTTTCCGTCGGCAGTGTTTGTGCAGCGGAGCGGCCCATACTATAATGTAGATTCACAAAGCAGGTCATAATCACGCAGATCAGGATGTAAGGGTTCCGACACAAGTAAATTAGTCAAAGTGGAAAGCTACTATGGAAAGCCCTTCGATGATTAACATAATTCCTAGGACTAACTCTCATAATTTATGTATGCAGGTTGAATCTCGATGCTCTACGAGACTTCTATAGGAAACTGTCCTTGCTATGGGCCAGTATCAGATATATAGTGTACTTCATTTATGGCCATTTGTTATCTTTAATGTGTATAAACTGTAGGTACGCATGCTGTATCGTTTAGGAATACAATTTCTGCACATTTGCAGCGGCCACCGCATTGTTATACTTGAGATATCACTTCACGAAGTTCATTATTGGCCGCTACGTTTACTGAGGGTAAATAACATCCGGCTGGCGCTATGAATACTGACAAGCTTCACCGCAATTTTGTTCTGCGCATCCTGGCTTTTCTGAGTCGATCATGCTATCCAAACTCTCGCGCTATCTTTAGTCGAGGAGTAGATGTGTATGATGGAATCTGTGGCAATACGTTGCCTAGAGTTCATCTACTGTATATCTTCGTCTATCAAAATACATATATTGGCCTTGGTCTCAACGAAATCTCATGATTTAGAACTCTTACCCACTATAATCTCAATGCAGCTCCCTTCATCTGGTTGCATTGATAGATTACAGTACAACTATTAGTTATTTGGAGCTAATCGCCCAAGCGGATATTGTTGTTGATAAACTTCATGAATGAGCTCTGAAGGCCGAAAAACCAGTTTGCATATACCTCGAACCTAGTCCTGAGCAGATCATATCGCAGGTAGCTATCCTTTGAGCTGGAGGAACTCGCGTTCCTCTCAATCCATTTACACCTTGCCTTCATCTGTCATCCATGCTACGCGACATCGATTGCCAACACGCCATCACCAGAGCAGAGTTAACAGACCGAACCCCTCTGTTAAGTACTATTCTAATTGAAGAAATTAAAAAAAAAAAAAAAAAAACTAAAGCCAACCCAGATCACGAAATTGCCATGCGTGTAGGATGACCAGAAATCACATCGGCGGGAGCCCCGAAACCCATATACATTGTAGCCAGAGGTCTTCACTTGGTTTACCGTAGTGCTCACTATATATGGCCGCATGTCTTAATTTGCGTACTCTGGGTTTGGCCTTATGCTCTTCGAAATAAGTACCTCTCTTTGCTGGAACAATTGCCACAGTAATCTGTATCAAGGAGCCCATGCATTAGCGATTAGGATTCTAGAACGAAACTATAATCTGATGCGATTTCCCTCCTCCGACATCGACTACCTTAAGAGTTCTTGCATGGGGTTGTTTGACCTGATTCACTATGTTACAGCGATTCTCCAGCTTATTTGATAATATTCTTTTATTGGGACAGGTGTGTGGACAGGCCTGTCTGGGTCAATGGTGTTACGTCTCACATTGCTGTGTGTGTTTTTCCCTGTTACCTTTCCTTTTTCGTCTTATATATTCTGTGTTGTGGCTGTGGCTGAGGAATGCAGGATATGGCGAAAATTTGATAATATCTGAAACATATACGAGTGCATCAAATGCGCATCTATAAATAACTGCCAGCACATCCCACTCGATCAAAAGTACCAAGCGACAATTGTTCCAGCCTTGTAACATAATAAATTTAATAGGTAATCATAACTCAATAACCACACCAGAAAGAATGTATACAAATCCCGTTAAGGCATCGAACCCTTCTTCTGTCCATTATGGCGAGAGGAAAAGAGACCTTATTCGAGTATACAAACTCCCACAACCGTTAGGCTGTGGCTCTTCCCAGGTTACCGAGGCCCGAGGGATCTAATGATGATTATATACGAAGTGAGACTCTTCTCAATTCGTTCTTCTGGTGTGCGGATGCTCGAATCCTCTTCAAATCTTGCTTTCCCACTTCCCGACAATTTACCTTGTAGGTGGCCCCTCATCACTAGCGGTGATCCCAGGACTGGGTCAGTTATCATTGACTTTCATTTCCGCGGCGATCCATCTGGCCCGTTCCTTTCGAGTGGGGGTGCAGTTAATCTAAGTAGTTAGTAGTAGTCGTAAGAGAGTTTCCTCTCCAGATAACCAACCCTCGGACCTCAACAGTTTTACCTTTTCATGTAAAGTTGCAACCCAAGGTTCAAATCATTAGACGTAATCTCCCACTCAACCTTAATCATATACTTTAGTATTTCGGATATTGTCCGATGTCGGCCGGGATGGACGTGGTTGTGATCAACTTGTTGTGACTGGGTGGAATAAGCTTTGGTTTACCTACGCGGCTAAAAGGAGATTATAGGACAGTGTACCGGTAGACATTTCCGCGGATAAATATTCAACTTTGGAAGACGGTAATATAGGGAGGGATACGTAATGGAACTAACTATTCTATGACCCTTTCGTCCATCCCATCGCCTAGATATTAGACCTGGGCTCTGGCAAGTTAAGTTAATCTAGGAACAATCTACCAGCGGAATCCCGGCGAAATTCCACGGTATAATCCGGCGGCCAGCGTGGAATCTTGTTGAGCACGCGAGGACGCATTAAGAATCCTCTAGGGTCTTCCGGAAGGTGTGGAGTCGCATAAGTAGAGTAGAAGCCAGAGTTTGGGCTTGGTATCCGGAGTAGAAGGCAGTACTTCCCCGAAAGGTATAGATAACCGCTTGCCCCTTTTCCGGTGGCTCGTGCGCTGGGTTTGGTAGCCTCCTAAAATTACTTGAGCGTAAGATTGACACACCCTTCCGTTAGATACTATGATCGACTGAGTTGGTCAGCGGGATTTGACCGAAGCAAACCGTAAAAGTCTATTTGGTGGTGGTTCTGTGTGCAGTACGGAGTACTAGCTGGTGGTTGCTTTGGACAGCGAACCCTGGGTGAAGGGTTATGCTTCATTTAATATAGCGACAGGCCAACTTTTTACAAGCGCATCGGCGAGGTTTGTACTGTTAGTGCTAGGGGAAGTGAAAGCGGGTGCCTGGACAGCCCACGTCAGCGGGATGGTATAAAGCCACCAACGTTTTTGGTAGAGAAAAATGACATGGTATGTGAGAAGCACAGGTAACAGGTGGCCAACTTTTGCAGCTGATCCGCATATTTGGGATCTTCAGGCGGAGAATTTGACCCCTATTGTGGTGACGGTGACCCTCGATGTCGCGACAAAATAGTACGGCAAGGCGGAATTCACTATACCGCAATTCGATTGTGCATGGGCCCAGATGTGCCCACAAGAAGGGATTATCTGCCGACTAATGCAAATACCGTCGATCGTGGTATAGTGTCATGTAATAGGAGGAAATATGAGAATGAACTTCTGACCCTGACGCAACAGTTGACAGCACAATCTGTGATTGGCCACGATACCGAAGTTCCAAGGATTGACCAAAGTTAGCACGTTCACCGAAGCCTCGATGGTAAGCAACGGGCCGCAGGATCAGCATGCTCTCAGTAAGTGACATCCTGTTGATTGTTAATGCTCAGGTCTAGGCCAACTTCTAACTATCCGGGCGTCCAGTCAATTAAGGTTCCCAAGTCTCTGGAATTCGTATGGCATAGCCGAATCTTATCCCAATATTGTCCCGCTTCATTTGGAAGCAAAAAAATGAAACAAGCCATGTTATCCCTAAGCGTTGGGGATCTGGTCGATCACCTGTTCAAGCGATTGAGAGGAAACCCAGTGCTGTGGACAGCGGACTCCGGTACCAACGACTAATGGATGTCTGACTGTATGATAGAGTTGCGGCTTGGCGTACCCGTTTTAAATCAGTAGGAGGCAACCAGAAAAGAAATCTTAATGCGTAGATGTGGTACCGCGGAATCCGCCAATGTAACCGCGGGTCTCTGGCAAGATTTTCTCGAAACCCCGTCAACTCCATTCAGCGACTACTAGCGTAGTAAGATATGAATAGATAGATGGTTTTGGCGTGACTAGAATCGCTGCATGCAGTACTTCACTCACCCAAATCGCCATGGATGTAGTTTGTTATTGGGAGCGACATACTAGGGCGGATCATTCCGACTGCAGCCAGGGGACCTGATACTATGTACTTAACATATCAACCGCAACATTGTGCGCGTCGATCGGAGTATTGACTGCAGAAAGGTCTGCTCTCCTTTCCCGTTGCGACTTAAGTCCTCCGTACTAGCAGGGGTAAAATGGCATTGTTAATGTTCAGAAGGCAAGGCCACGCGGGAGATGGGTCCAGACATTCTCGAATGAAATCGCACGAGGTGACAACTCGTTTTAGTAAAGTGGGTAGTCCCAAGTGCTTGGCGCTAGTAGTAGCCAGCATTAGTTCCATTCTCGGCGTGAATCCTTCTGGAGGCCCCCTCGACTCCTCCTTTGACCGTGATCGCTACTGGTTAGGGGAAACCAAGTCCTTAGCTCTGGGACGATCACCAAAATATAGGCCACCAGCGCTATCGGTTGGAATCGTGGCAAGTGGAGCTTGTGGGGACCCGAGAAACAGTGACCCAGACTATTCAGCGTGGATGAAGTCAGAGAACCAGAGTAACCGACGGTTCCATTGGGCAGAAATCGATGAGGTATTTTTTCTTCTTGCACATTAAAGGTTATTCTGCCACTCCCCACTGGGAAAGTTGTCTGCTGCAGCTAACGACTGTAGTGACTGCGGTAATTGAACGCATGAAGAGTAGGGGAACAACATGATCAACCACTAGGGTCGATCAGCGGTCATCCAGTCGTAGGAGAGTTTTGGAAACAAGCAGATATGGGCGGAAGAGCATCCACCACCAGTCCACCACACCACACCACACCACACCACTGACACAGACGCTTTGGTAGCATTTTGCTCGTGGGGTGGGGTTTGGAAGAATGAGCATATTAGTATCGCAGTAGATTGATCAATCAAGATCTGCATGAGGGAAAGGAACCGTGGAAATTTAGAGAAGTACAAGTCAAGTCGTTCGGATGGAGAAATGGATATGCTTGCATTGAACGTTACTATTGCTGACTATACGGAGAACCCAATGCGTCAAGGCGAGATCCCTCCGGCCGAGAAATTGAAGTTGGTTAGGGGTGACGATACGGATACTACTCTACTTTCTCCTACTTTTCCTCCTCCTCCAGGATTTTCGTTCGCCCGCAAATCCACCCACGGGACCAATCCAATCAAACCATGCAAAACCAGAACTCCCCCACTGGAACCAATGATTGAGTCTTTTCACCTTCTCTTTCGAAGGTTCCAAATGATTTATTTAATTTAATTAACTCAGATTATCCCTAAAAGTAATTAATTCGAAAAAGTCACTGACGAAACTTAACTTTTCCTTTTGCCTCTCAGCATATACGACTACGACTATTCTTATCACCTCGTTCCCCCATCGCCTTGATTCAATCTCATACTACTCACTACTTACTACTTACTAACCCTCGCTTTTACATTATCCTTTCTCTCTCTCTCTCTTTCTCACTCCTAACATCCCCCCATGTTCATTTCATCAGTGATCTATTGAATCATTTCTGGTTGTCTGGCTAGCATTCCCTCAGGCCGGCCCTTTGAAGTTCTCTCGTTTGTTCGCCTTTATGTCTCAACCCCACAGCTTCTATACAAATCCGATCTCACCTCATGGAGATTCAAACGGTCATCTGCTCACAGGCAAAGCCTCCCTCGTCAGCCCCGCAATCCGCCACTCCCGCACCTGAGAAACGGAAGCGGGTTCGCCGATGGCATCACCGGGGTTTTACAGGCTGTTCGACATGTCGTCGACGTCATGTCCGCTGCGATGAAGCTTCTCCATCGTGCAAAAATTGTACTCGCTTAGGTCTTGAATGTGATGGGACGCAAGGTCGGATGACCTTCAAAGTCTATGGGCCACCGCAGGCCCCAGAATCCTCTTCGACAGCGCCCAAAAAGCGAGAGACCAAAAAGCCTGTTTCACGGGTCCTGGATACAACCGATGGAAATAGGTTGATTAAGATTGAGCCGGGAGAAGATGATGAATCGTATGATGCCCTTGTCGTCTCTCCCACCACCATCTCCGAATCGAAGCCTATGAAATACCGGTTTCAAGAGCCCATTTCACCCGCTGTATTTATGTCTTCCTCATTAGATTGTGTGGATGGTCGCTATTACACTCATTTTGTCGACTCGGTGGCGACCTTGCTACTCATCTACGATAATTCGATTAACATCAATCCGTACCGACGGTATTTCCCCGAATTGGCCCGGTCATCGCCAACCATGGCCAACGCTATGCAGGCGCTAGGAGCATTACATCTCGCAAATACATCCAGGGGTCAACAACGAAATCTGCACTTTCAGCGGGCCATGGGCAAGTATGGAGAGGTGGTGAAATCTTTCCGCACACGATATACGCAGCCCGACCAGAATCTACAATTAACAGACCTCGCCACTTGCTTGTTGCTCTCTCTTTTCGAAGTAAGTACCTTCATTATAGTTTTTTATTATGGCTGGCTGTTTGTTAGCTAGTTTCGCGAACTCTGTTACTCTCTCTGGTTTTTTTTTTTTTTTTTTTTTTTTTTTTAACACGTGCATGTGTTGGTACATACTAACCTAACCAGATGATGGACTCTCAACATGATAATTGGAATATCCACCTCAAAGGCGCTCGTGAAATATATCGTCTACTCTTTCTTCCGAACAGTGACCCGGCCAAAGAAGCCCAACGTGTTGCTGAAATGAATCATCCACTTCGACAATTTCTTGTCTCCCTTCTTTCGTACCTCGATGTCGCGGGCGCTTGTGCTACTAGTGAAGGCACTGTGGTTGAAGGCAGCTACTGGAGAACGCACGGCGGCGGCTGGGAATATAACCTGGGTATCCCAAGTCTCTCGGCTGATACACCCCCAGAGAACCCTCTTCTTGTGGAACTGCGCCAGTGCTGGTCCCAGATGATGGAAATTCAAGTGGCTATCAGTTCTTTCGGAAAGGCGAAAAGTGAGGGGCAGATGCCCCATGAACAGCAAGACTTGGTCTTTCAAGAACTCTCGGGACGGTTGGTTCAGTGGCGATTGAATGCTCCCAAGTGCATCCAACAGGTCGGTGGATTGGATGATGAGAGCTTGAAGCAGTACCCATACCCTCAAATTTTAGAGTATGCGGGGTGTATCGAGTCTTACGAGAAAGCGACCATTATCTACTTGCACAAGGTCGCAGGGGCTGACCGTCCAGACCGTGTTCCTCAGAGAGCTCTGCTAGACATGCTTGCGACACGGATCCTAAGTTTGATTGGGAAGCTTGCCAAAGACGTTGGCCAACTGGCAGTTCTGTGGCCTCTGTTCACCGCAGGGCGCGAGACTCGGGATGAGCGGGAGCAAAAGTATGTGCGGGAAACAATGATCAACCTACAACGGTTTGGATTCAAGGTATGACACAACGTAATCGGTAACTATCAGTAATATGGATACTAACGGGAACTTTACAGAATGTCGAAAAGGGCCTTGAGGAACTAGAGAAAGTATGGTTCAAGCAACGCGCCTTTCCAGAAGGGTGGATAGAAAGGATGGAGGACGTTCGGTCCTCGATTCTTCTTCCATAAGACGCACATAGTTGAAACGACCTATGAGGCTTTGATATATATGGCGAGGCCTGAATACCAGGTACATGAGGCGATCGTCTCCTCGCCGATTTCACATACACTCCAACGCATAACTAAGGAGGGTATCATCTTCTCATATCTCTTTTTGATTTTTATTAGCGATGGTCGGGTCTCTGCATTCTGATCAAGCGAAAACACTGGCGTTAAGGGGCGCGGATAACCATCGGACAGGGCCGGACCCTATGAATCTGATTCGTGCAAGTACTAATAATGTTTGGGTCATCCTGTAAAGTCTCTCGCTACTGGATACCATGGGCCATGTCTGGCCTTACTCATCTACAGGACGAGACCTCGACATGGGCAACATGGGGTTATTGGACATTAAACTTGGAACATACGGCGGATAGATTGGCGTTTTCTTGAGAATAAATTGAAATAAAAAAAAGGATAGATATAGATGTCGCTGATGACAGTGATACATTGCCCAATTATTGGCATATCTCATGAATATAGTAAAATAGAATCAGTGTGTAAAACCATTGAATAGCATGACTATGCAGAATGCAATGATCTATAATAAAATCATCAACGCTATGATATACACTCTAGTCATCCATCAAGTCTATCACTAATCCCATGTCCCCTTTTTATTTATTTATTTTTTTTTTCAAGAAGCAAGTCACATCATAACCGAGAACTACTAACCCCTTGATCATCGCCAGAAGGCCGTTCCAACTCTTCAACAGTCGTCTGCGCCCCCTTGCTGTCGATGAAATGCGAGATACGGTTCCTAGGCAACCACGCCTCCTCAGGCATAACAAAGTACGAAATAATCGCGAAGATTGTAACACCAGACATGATAATCGGAGCATCTATACAGAACACATTAGTATCAGCATTAAAACAGAGCACACTTCCAAAGTGGGAAACAAACAGTTCAAATTTGCCCCGCTAACAGGAAACTCGTACGGCGAGAACAGCACCGCGACAACCCATCCATTCCAGAACACTCCGATGAACTGGAACGGCTTGCTCCATCTTCCAAGACTCCATTGGGGCTTGGGAAACCGTTTTGGGGTACAGATGAGACGGGCGAGGCAGATGAGGCCGTAAGCTGCTGCGCTGGGGACGCCGGCGGCGGAGACGAGCGAGGTGAATGCGACGTCCGAGGGGAGGAGCGTGCAGGTGACTATGGATGCTACTGCCCAGACGACGATGACAGCGTTGCGGGGTTGGCCGGCGTGTACTTTGGAGACCCAGGATGAAAAGGGGAGGACGCCATCGCGGGCTACGGCGAAGACGAGACGGGAGGCGGCTACGATTGCGATTGCGGTGTTCTGGTTTGAGGTTAGATTTTGTTTAGGGTGATTGGGGGCCAGGGATAGGCTTACGAGCCAGAGGGCGACGACGCAGATAACGTTCATGAAGATGTGGCCACCCTTACCAAGGACAACGGCGTAGAGGGGGACGAATGGCTGCGGGGAGCCAAATGAGAAGAGGGTGTCTGGGTCAGGCTGTGATGCGTGTTAGCTTGCTAGGAGCTGACGGTCTTTTGTAGTTGCGCTAGACTTACTGCGCAGAAGAGGAATAGGATAATGGTTGCCAGTCCCCCGATTCCACTCACGACTGTACTCCAAAAGATGCCTCGAGCGGCGGTTACGGACGCATTTTTGGTCTCCTCGGCGACGTGGCCGGATGCGTCGAAGCCGATCAGGATACCTGCTGTCGCGAGGTAGGAAAGACACCAGTTCCAGCCTGGCGGGGCGCCGGTGCCGTTGTATGTTGACATGAAGGCTTCTTCAGCGGTTCGGAAACCCCAGGTATTGTGTGCTCCGATGGGTAGCCAGATAATGTTCAGGAAGAAATCGAGTAGCACGACGAAAGATGAAAACCAGAAGACATATCGGAAGTATTTCGCTGTTGTATTATGAGTGACGCCTGACTATTTGTAGAGGGGCATCTGTATCAGAGAGATGGACATACGCGGCATAAAATTCAGAATTGCAGCCAATGCCAGAAGGATTTCGGTGCAGATCCATTGCACCGCACGGAACTTGACACTCGTTGTATCCGTGGGGAAATCGACGTTGAATACCGTCAACTCCTGCGAGACTGGTTAGCGCTCTCCTATGTTCGGTTACGATCGAATGGTAATTCAAAGTTAGCGACGCACCGAGAGCATGTAGTTCACAGCCGCTTGGGTGTTACTGGCGCAAAAGGTCGTCCACGCAGTCGTACTCCACCAGGCGACAATGAAGCCAAAGAGTCGGCCAAATCGAGGACCACCAGCTTCTGCAGCCCACAGGTAAATCGAACCTGCAGATGGAGATGCAGAGCATACCTCTGCCACGACCGCTGCGGTGATATAGGTGAAGACCATAGTGACTAGGTAACTCGTCCTTGGTAGGGTGAGCGACTAGTATTATAGAAATATGCTATAAGCCTTACCAGTAGGCCAAATTACCACCTGCGGCAATACCGGTACTGAAGGTGACTCGCACACCACCGACGAAGTAAAGAGCGGCTAATAGATTGGTTAGCTATTTCGAGTGCTTTTATATAGTGCCATCAGACGTACCGAACGTGGTCGCAAAATTCTCGAATAACGTATAAGTTCTATGGAGAACCTATATTTATGAGGTCATGCTTACAGAGATGAAATCATCAATAGACTTACTGGCTTGTAGCCCATCGTTCTCTGCTAACGAAGTCAGTAATTATCATAGCTATAACATGATGATATTGATTGTATAGCTTTGGGGAAGAAGGATGAGGATGGTAAGAGCAAATCAATAGTACGCACCAAGAGGGCTGCATCATCCTGAGACTCCGTTTGGCTTCTGTCTTCCTCGTTGGCGATTGGACGCGCATCCTGGTCAACGAGGAGATCGGTTTGCTGCAGAGCGGGCGCCATGGCGGCTGTATCGCAGAGCGATCAACTGCGGATGATATTTCAGAGAGTACGTAAAGCCGGCGATTCTAATGAACAGGAGAAGGAAATAAGAAGAAGAAGAAAAGGATGGGGTTTATTGTACCTCCCAACAATTGAGTTTTATTGATAAAAAATGTCAGGAACTTGTTGACCCCACCGTGGAAGCGGAAACGACACGAGAAGGTTTAAAAAAAAAAAAAAAAAAAAAAGAGAAAAGAGAAGAAAAAAGCGCTAAGGCAAACTAGAGCGATGGCAAAAATTCCCGGCTGTCTTCGGTCTAAATCCCTCTGCTAGTTCCAGCAAGGGTATCAGCGACATTGATGATCTCCTGCCGCAAGATGAGATCTCTGAGACCGATCGGAGATATCTGCTCCGCAAGCGTTGATGTCTAAGAAGCCTGAGGGTCAAAGAAGCCGGAGCTTCAATTTCCATTTTTTCTTCCCACTTCCAAGAAGCCAAGGGATGAAATGCCAATCAGAAGAGCTGAGCGGATGACTTCGAGGCCGGTGGGTCTCGAGCTGTACCTTACTTTAAGGAACCTTAAGAGAGAGTACGGCACCAGGACCGGCCCATCACGGGAGGGTTCGAATGAGAAACCCAATGGTCTGATGTGGTTATTCTTCTTTCACCGGGGCCTGAAAGGGTGGAATTTGTTCAACCTCTAGCCTTAAGGGTCAGCGAATACCCTATACTGTAATCTCTTTGAAGGAGACAATCAAACCGGATATCGGCCATCATCACATCATCCTCGCCCCACTGTTGGTGGAGTCAAACCACTATCGCAAGGAAATCCGTGCCACGGCCAGAGAGCCATCACTGTGATCCAATGACCGTCGTCTTTTAATGTTGATGGTTGAGAGTGTGATTGAGGCTGGCATTTAAACACTCGAAGTTTCTACAATAGTTATACAGGACTTTTATCAAATGCAGCCTCAGGTAACGACAAATCCTGGCTTGGTTCCACGTGACACACTTTATCTGAAGGCCGAAACACATTGTGCTTTTCAGCTTTTCAGCCAGAAAATAGACCCGTAGATGTACAGTACGATATTACAGCAGGTCGTGATCATCAGGTGATCCTTTGGTCAATATCAACTTCGTTCTTCGCGTTATATCTTCGGCCCCAATATCATAACGCCACCATGTCTCGGAAGACCCCAATCAACGAAATATCTTTAGCAATTAGTTTTACTCAATCGCACAATAGATACCGTTTTGTGCGACTTTGCGAACCGCGCGGTGAGAACTTTTCTGATAGGGAGGAGGACAAGTATCCTTGTCAATAATCTAGAAGACTAACAATTGTTGCTAATTCAAGGATTATATATTTAACGTAAATCCTCATGCGGGAGGCGCATTACTACCCTCGGACGCTCCTGGGATGCTACTTTTAGATTATGTGCACTTGTCAAGCTCTGCTCTTGGTATATGATACCTAACCTGACGTGAGTAATAGCCCTAGGGGTGTTTCTGTGTCTCTATCGCTGTTCGAGAACTGTGATCACATTTGAGTAGCAGAAAAAGAGAATGTACAGATATATATACATATAATTGAACAGAATGCACGTTGCTATTGCTCCCAGGGCGTGGGGAAACACATCGACATAAACGACGAACTCATTCTAGGTTTCAAAACTCGAGGAATCAGATTAAATTCAGAAACGGAAAGCTGCAGGTTTCACGGCGACGGTCAGTCAAGACTGGAACTTTGCCAATAGTTTTATTTTGCAGTTGTGTCGAGTCACAGAGGAATGCATGAAGATATGCAGTATCACATCACTCTGTGCAATGGAATATAGAGGGCATCACGAGACCCGCTGCAGCCAGAGAAGATTCTATCTGGTGGAGAAAAGACTGAACGGATTTATGCCAAGATTCAATTCTCCACGTTAAAAGGATCGACTGGATTTCCCCGCGTTGGGTTTCCCCTCAATTCCCACATAATCTATTTTAGTTGCATCATTGAATACTACCGTTCCCTTTTCTTTCTATGGAAGAACAAGCATGCCAACGCAAAGGAATGCTGGGGAACGTGATCACCGGCCCGCTATGTCCGTGCCATTCTTGATAAAGGGGGGAAAGCGCGATCACAACTCGGTCAATGCGTTACCGAACTAATCAATCAACTACATTAATTACTCAACTCACTTTCTCAACTCACTTGGCCCTTCTTATAAACGGGAGGGGGTGTGCGTCCTTTGTCTGTTTCCCTTGTCAACTTTGACCTCTCTCATTCCTCCCTGTTTAACATCAAGGGTCTGATGCTCTGCCCAGGATTACCGGCCGACCCTTGGGTGGTAGTACGAAGCTGGCCTCTACTGGAATGAGGCCCTCCCACAATCACACTCTGCCTCGCATATATCAACCATGAGTGTTTCTTCGACCCTGAGGTTCGCCTTGGGGCCGTGTCGAGCGGCTTCCATTGCCCGCCCAGGAAAAACACTCCTCGCCTTCCAACACTCAAGTGAGTGCTACCGTTATACACATCCCTTCAGAGAGGAGTAATGGCTAATATTCTCCTTTGATTGATAGCTATACATGCTCGAAAACCCCCCTACGTGGCATACCAGCGAAACAACCGCGAGGCATCCTCCATCCTGCGATGGCCGCAGATCACCAAGAGATGCGCGAGCAGCTCATCCTCCCCATCGCCTGTTCCGGTCGTTCCCTACTCTTCTCTGATAGTGGGAATACCTCGGGAAACGTATCCAAATGAACGCCGTGTTGCCATTACCCCCCAGAATGTCGCGTTGCTGCTCAAAAAGGGTTTCTCGCGCGTGTTGGTCGAGCGTGGTGCTGGGGAGGCAGCCCAGCTATTGGATCAAGCCTATGAACAAGCGGGAGCTACTCTGGTTGACCGAGCGACAGTATGGTCACAGAGTAATATTATCTTGAAAGTCCGCAGTCCGCAACAGGGCGGTGAAGTGGAAGCTCTTCAACAAGGCAGCACGATCATCTCATTTTTGTATCCTGCTCAGAATAAACAGCTGGTGGATCAACTTGCATCGCGCCGTGTCACCGCATTTGCGATGGATATGGTTCCTAGAATCTCCCGTGCTCAAACTTTTGATGCTCTTAGGTGCGTAGCATATGGTACCTCCGTTGTTGTCACACGCTGACTAAAAGGGGGGGTTATTCCATAGTTCCATGGCCAATATTGCGGGATATAAGGCTATTCTTGAGGCTTCAAACGAATTCGGTCGTTTTTTGACTGGCCAAGTGACAGCTGCCGGGTAAGCATCCTAACGACATTTCTAAAACAGCCGCTAACCACCATGTGATACAGAAAGGTTATTTTTCCTTATCGCAAATTAGGGCTGGTGCTAACGGAGATTGCTCCAGATACCCCCTAGCAAAGTTCTAGTCATCGGAGCTGGTGTGGCCGGTTTGAGCGCCATTGCTTCGGTAGGTTTCTCGCTATCATCACGTAGTTTTTGTACTAATATTGCAAATTCAGGCTCGCCGTCTAGGGGCGATTGTCCGTGGATTCGATACTCGCTCAGCTGCCCGTGAACAAGTCCAATCTCTAGGTGCGGAGTTCATTGAAGTGGATCTGCAGGAGGATGGCGCTGGCCAAGGGGGATACGCCAAGGAAATGTCCAAGGAGTTTATCGAAGCGGAAATGAAGCTCTTTATGGAGCAAAGCCGTGAAGTGGACATCATCGTTACCACTGCTCTGATTCCCGGACGGCCTGCGCCAAAGCTAATTACCAAGGAGGTTAGCGATGTACCATCAGTTAAAGTAGAAGAAATCCATACTAACACCGATACAGATGGTCGCTGCGATGAAGCCTGGTTCCGTCATTGTAGACCTTGCGGCAGAAGCTGGTGGTAACTGTGAAGCAACTGTTCCTGGGGAACTAGTTAAGTACCATGATGTCACTGTTATTGGTTTGCTTAAACTTGCAGCAACCTGTGGAGTTCCTGATGCTGATTTGCTTAGGATATACTGATTTCCCATCACGACTACCGACCCAGTCGTCCACTCTCTACTCCAACAACATTACAAAGTACCTTCTGTCTATGGCGCCACAGGAAAAATCGTTTGGGATCGACCTATCCGATGAGGTCGTCCGCGGTTCAATTGTGACCCTCGATGGGGAAATACTTCCCCCGGCACCACGGCCAGCTCCTCCGCCTGCCCCGAAAGCAGAAGCAGCAGCCCCGTCAAAGGAACAAGCAAAACTGACACTGACACCTTGGCAAAAGGCGACGCGCGATGTAGCGACAGTAACCGCTGGCATGGGAACTACCCTGGCCTTAGGAAAAGCAACTGGCCCTATTTTCATGGGCAATATGTTGACTTTCGGCCTTGCAGGCCTTGTTGGGTACCGTGCTGTGTGGGGGGTCGCGCCTGCCCTTCATTCTCCGTTGATGAGTGTGACAAATGCGATCTCGGGTTAGTCAGGCTTCCGAACATAGGCTTTGTATGATACTGATGGATCGACATTAGGTATGGTTGGTATCGGTGGTTTCTTCATAATGGGCGGAGGGTACCTCCCCAGCACAATACCAGAGCTCCTTGGTGCGATTTCGGTGCTTCTAGCATTTGTTAACGTATCTGGCGGGTTTGTCGTGACAAAGCGCATGCTGGACATGTTCAAGCGTTAGTTTCTACTTATCTAGCAAAGGGCTAGCCATTAATGTATCTGTAGGGCCAACTGACCCGCCGGAATACCCCTGGCTTTATGCGATACCAGCCCTTCTGTTTGGCGGAGGATTTGTTGCTGCAGCTAGCACAGGGATGGCAGGGTTGGTGCAAGCCGGATACCTTATTAGCAGTGTTCTTTGCATTGGTAAGTGATATGATTCGACATGCCCTCCAGATTCTAATCAATACATAGGATCGATTTCCGGCCTTTCTTCCCAGCTGACTGCCAGACGAGGCAATATTCTCGGAATCCTTGGTGTAGCCTCTGGAATTCTCGCATCACTTGCGGCTGTAGGATTTTCACCTGAAGTGTTGGCTCAATTTGGCGCTGTTGCAGGCGTTGGGTCTGTGGTCGGTGAGTGTTATCCTTAGCGAGCGTATTCGATAAACTTCTCACATATATCTAGGAGCGTTGATTGGCCGCCGTATTACGCCTACAGGACTTCCTCAGACAGTTGCTGCCCTGCATTCCGTCGTTGGGCTAGCAGCTGTCCTCACGAGTATCGGAAGTGTGATCACCGATATTGGAGACATCACAACGCTGCACATGGTTACAGCGTATCTTGGGGTTCTTATAGGTAGGCAGCTTGCATGGTATTTGACTGTGCGTGTTCCAACTAACGGCAACAGGCGGTGTCACATTTACTGGTTCTATCGTAGCGTTCTTGAAGCTGGCAGGCCGCATGTCATCACGGCCACATATCCTCCCGGGACGACATTTGGTCAACTCAACATTGCTAGGGACTAACTTGGCTACAATGGGTGCATTCATTTCCATGGCTCCAGGGTCCCCAGCTATTGCGGCTACATGCCTCGGCGCAAACACGGCGCTCAGCTTTTTGAAGGGCTACACTACAACCGCAGCGATTGGCGGGGCTGATATGCGTATGTTCATCATTCCTTAGATGAGGGGTTGCTAATGGTTTCTTTTAGCTGTTGTCATCACTGTCCTCAATGCGTATTCGGGCTTTGCCCTGGTAGCAGAAGGTCTCATGTTGAACAACCCACTCTTGACGAGCGTAGGGTCTCTGATCGGCGTAAGCGGTTCGATTCTGTCCTACATCATGGTAAATGATCATAACCCTCCCGGTCATCACAGTTGGTTTAACAAGACACAGTGCGTTGCTATGAATCGATCTCTCACCAATGTACTCTTCGGCGGGATTGCAGCTCCTCAACAAGCAAAGAAGATTGAAGGTCAAGTCACACAGACAACTGTTGATGATACAGTAGACGCACTTTCAAATGCGGAGAATGTTATTATTGTCAGTGTACGCCCGCTCATTTTTTTTGGTATCAAAACTGACCGTAGGTAGATCGTTGGGTATGGCATGGCTGTGGCAAAGGCCCAATACGCGATCGCCGAGATTACACATATGCTACGTGCTAAAGGCATCAATGTCCGGTTTGCGATCCACCCGGTTGCTGGAAGAATGCCAGGACAGTGCAATGTACTGCTTGCAGAGGCTTCAGTGCCTTACGACAGTGAGTATCACTTGTCTAAGAGTATATGCCCGTTACTAACCACGAGAAGTTGTCCTTGAAATGGATGAGATCAATGATGATTTCCCCGAAACCGATGTCACTCTTGTCATTGGCGCAAACGATACGGTTAATCCTATTGCACTAGAGCCTGACTCACCGATCTCCGGTATGCCCGTATTGCAAGCGTGGAAGAGCAAGGAGGTGATTGTGATGAAGCGAGGCATGTCCAGTGGTTATGGTGCGTGGAACTCCTGCCCAGGCCGGTGGTATTGTACTGATTGCATTTGCAGCTGATGTACCGAACCCGATGTTCTACATGCCTGGGACGAGGATGCTGTTTGGGGATGCGAAGACTTCATGTGACGGTAAGTGTTGTGTCTTTCGCCGAGATGATCTCGCTAACATCCTTCAGCCATTAAAGCTGTCCTCGAATCTCGTAGATAGATTGTTTTCGATGTAGCTGATTTCCGGCTTCGACCTTCAATAAGGATTATGCGTTAGATTGTATCCACATTCATACGGCTGCCCTATTCTGCGAGCACATGCTATAGTATCAGCAAATTGACTAATGCGGGCTACCGTCATTGTCAAACAATGAAGTAGCGATTGTTATAGGTCTAGGGGTCTACCAACAGTCCTCATAGGATTTGAGATCTGGATCAAAACAGAGAATAGACCGTGGTAGAGATTCCAAGCGTAGATGCAAGGGATTGCCTTGGTCACCAAGCCTTTGGCGTGCATGTTCCAATAACGCTTTGCATCCTGAAGTAGAGAGATACTTCAACAAAATATGGATCGCTGTCTCTAGGACGGTGATATCTTCACGTTCAGCCTCTTCTTTTTACGCATTGAATTCGCTTCACTGCACTGTGTATTGCCTCAGAATACAGAATCGCATCACGGGGGTTACAAGGGCATAGTTCGAAGAATTGTTGCTAACGCTAGCGGTAGCTCTGCAACAGAAAAGGAACTTGGGTTATTCAGCTACTATAAGGTGGTATATGTTCCTGAGCCACTCGGTACAACATCCATGACGATCAGTTTCGACTGAAGTTCGGATTCAAGTATGGCAACTCTAAGGGGAGGAGGGGTGGTCTTTGCCAGAACCATCTTTACATTTTACAATCCAAATTTGAGGACAATTAGGGAGATTATAAGTCAATACCAGTGATATAAGAGTCAAGGATTGCTATTCCAAGGCATTTTAAGTGTCAACTAATAATTCCTTAGTATAAATCCCCCGGGACCCACCAAGACAAGGGCGCGTAGGGCGTGAGCTTCGATGTCCCGGTTAGACACGGATTAGCAGATCACCTCAAGTGCCTAGCAGTGTTTCCAAACCATGCATGCGCACCCTATTTTATTTTTATTTTTTATTTTTTACTTGAAGCACAGGCTTTTTTTCGGGGAGGGGATGAATGACTATTATTATTAAGTACAGAAATATGTATTGTACATAATGCACGTGTAGACATCGCTCATCTATCAGCCGATTTTAGTCTTGTTTTAAAAACGAAGCATGTCCTATCGATAGCACAGCTAATATTCTGCCTTGTACTAGCACCTCTCCTGGTGCCTCATATTATGGTGTCAAATTCAATCTTTTGCCGTGGCCTCAGTAGCCTAGAATATAATACACCTCGTCCAAGAGTGACAATCCATGTTGATGGCCAAGGCCCTGGCCTCAATAAACCCTACACAACACTAGATCAGATCGAGGGTACCGTGAGTATTGACGTCAATCATACAACAAAATTTCACGACATCGACATCTCTTTTGAAGGTAAGGTACCCTAGAACCTTCAGCCGTGTACTATAGGCAGCTTACATGCAATACATGAAGGGTATTCCAAGGTCTCTGTCGAGCGGACAGTTCAAGTCCCTGGCCAAAGGGTCGCTCACCATACTTTTCTACGACTCCGCCAACCTATCGAACCGGATGCATACCCAAAGTCCGGCTTTCTAGAGCCTAAAAGATCTTATCAATTCCCTTTCATATTCGTTATCCCCGAGCGTCTACTCCCGCAATCATGCGACCACGAACAAAGCGATGTCATTATCCGACCGACACATACCCAACTTCCCCCAACTTTTGGCAGCCACGGTCCTGGTGGATCATGTTTGAATGACATGGCCCCTGACACATGCCAGATATCTTACGCGATCCGCGTGCGAATTCTAAAGGAGTCACCTGGAGATAGTCGCCCTCTGAGACCATTCGTAGATGTCTCGAGAAAGTTGCGCGTTATCCCAATCATCAACCGGGAATTGCTTCGCAAAGTTAATGAGAAGGGACGCCAGCACAGCATGCGAAGGGAAAAGCCTGTCAAGTGTGGATTGATCAAGCAGAATCTTGGACAGTTGGTAGTCACTGCCTGTCCACCAGAACCCATCCTACTAGATCATCTGGGTAGCGGTACACACACGACCGATACTGCCATTACGGTACACCTACAGTTTCATCCCAAGGGAGATGAACAGCCTCCGCAACAGAAGACTCTGCAAATTAAACTGAGCGTGTTGACCTTTCACGCCTCTACTCCATGGAAAAGCCACCCATTAGGCGTGGATTCAATAGACCCTGGGGAGATACACCAAGATTTGGCTATCAAAGAGGTGCCGCTTTCCTCGTACTCCTTCGCGTCTACGGGGTGGACCAAGCAGTCCTCATCTAAGGGGCCAACTCGTTCTCTTCGCCTGTTGACCAAGGAGCGTCGCTTAGGAGAGTCTCTGATACAAGGTAATTACTACACAACATCTATCACCGTACCGATTACCCTACCAAAGAACATACACTTCGTCTCAACCTTTCACTCGTGCTTTATCTCTCGCATTTACAACCTCAATCTTTGTGTTTCTTATTATATGCCGAAGAAAAGCATCCTGAAGTCCACCCTAACTCTCAAAGTGCCAATCACGCTCGATGTCGCTGCGCCTTTTTTATGGGATGGTTCAAAACGAAATGAGAGTGGGCCGTGTCTTGATTGTAATGGAGCTTGGAATACAGGGATCGAGATGTCCTGAATCGATGCCGAATATGCGCTATAGCTTTTTATTTTTTCTTATATATCAATCGACTATAGAATTATTCACACCCTTAACTCTTCTTATTCCTTGAAAGTATTGTATTCCGCTTCTATCAAGTATCGGCCATGGCCTAACCCTCTAGACGCAATAACCCCCCAGCGAAGCAGATATGTACGACCCATGGTCACTAACGCACATCGGCGGCTGACTGTCACAGCAAAAACACCTCCCTCCTTTGCTTGATGATCCATTCTTCCTCTTTGCCGCGGGTAACCGCGACTTAGTTGAATTATTTGAGTAGTCATTGTAAATTATATGTCCGTTATCGCACCGCCCAGCATTGAAGAAATCCACCGGTTAAACATTGTCGACAGCGACATCAAGTTAACTGGCCAAGAGCATGAGCCGTCCCCACTAGTAAAAAGCAGGAAGACCCTTAATGTCAAGCAAAGGGCGTGTAAAAAGCAAGTAGTTACTAAGGGGTTACTTCATGAGCTCCTGATGGGGCCAACCCTCCGATACCGGCCCCAGTCCAGGAAAAAAAAAATGATATTGATGTTACATGCATGCAGGGTGAACAACACAAGTCTTCACAGATACGATTTTGCCATACTGATATTAAAAACAAAGGTAGGATGTGGGAAGAAAGGTGGAGTCCCATCCTAAAATCCTATGACTGTCGCCGATTCTGTACTTACCGATAGTCACATCAATTGAAGGGTTTTCTTCCAATTGGTCGTATGGCTAAATACTCCAGAATACCCCTTTGAAACTTACTCTCATTCAAGTTTCTCTATTCATCTTATTTGCGTCTTTCGGAAAACCTTCCTGGAATGCTTGACCGCGTGTCTTGAACAGTAGGGTATTTTGATAGTCTAGAACTCAATTTGATTTCTATATAGCTGGTACAGCGTAGTCAGGTATTACTTTATATGTTTGCCACTGCTGGTAACCAAGTTTTGATTGTAACAGATTAATACCATAAAAGGATGCTCTTCACGAGGTCATTAGAATTTGCTAAATACATTGATCGGCTAGGCTGAGCCTGACTCACCGGGCAATTTCATTAATTCAGAAGATTCAGAACCCTCAAGGAGATAAGACATTGATGAAACCCATAAATCATGTAGGCCCGGTTCTGCCTGCCTTGATGACGAGGAACATCCTCGTTTAACCTCTCTGGCAGAGCTCTCAATGGTTCGACCAGGAATTTCTGAGTCACTGCTTTGAATGAAGATCTGCCTCCTGGGCAAAATACCAATATTCCCATTCACTCAGAATATTTCGTAGAGGTGCCAGTAATAGGAGCCTCCAACTACCCTTTTGGGAGAAATACAAGGCATCTTCACCCCATTTATTGGTTGAAGAGAAAAGTGGTCGGCATTATCGTAGATGTAAGACATCGCCCGGTAGCCTGGTACCTAGCATAATCGAGTAGAAGCATGATTAACGCAGAAACGGAGGTAGGTCTCCCAAGTCATCGGGTACCACAGTAAACTCATATGGGCACAATTTGAAGATAGGCTAAAGGCAATGTCGCAGGGATGTATCTGGTGAGCTGCCGAGAAAGGACACCCCCCTGGTCATGCTAATATTCTATAGGTTCCTCGACCTGCTTTTTTTGACTTTTACTTGGCGCAGTAAATCCCGTAGTTCTTTACCGGGTTCTGTATATATCGCGGCAGTGCGTCTAGGTTCTCGAATATCTCTCTCCCTCATTAAACGGGTATTTGGGTTAAACATCGCCGACGATCATCACTTTGGCCGACTGATCTATAATACTTATAGAATCGGTCTTTCCATTAGAGCTGGGTATCATTTCACTAAGCCGAGGAGTTTGTCCCAAGGCCCAGCGAGCCCAACAGCAAGGATGACTATATAAACTTCACGGCTGGTCTTTGCAAGCCAGTGAAGCGCATCATGGCCAATGTGCTGAGTAGGGGGATCTGCGGAGTGAAGATGCCCATGTAGTGCATTTGCACCTGTATCGTCTGCGAGCGTTAGTCTGTTGACAGTGGGTTCGTGGGGCAGGGGGACAGGAAATGAAATGAGTGCAGGCAGTCATCCAGGTGCGGTTGGAACATAACTTGGGTGCTCACATGGTCCACTATCTCCTCAACTGATTTAAGGATTCTGAGAACCCTACTTTCACTAGTATGGAAGGCTGGTTGAAGACATATCTGGGCAACTAGCCTAATTTCCAACGAAGGTCCTAAGTGTGCATATATACACTTAGCTTAGGAATAGCAGTTCTAACTCACCGAGCATGCGTCTAACGATGCCCTCAGTGGATCCTCCGGTAGAGGGTTTGGGACCGTCTTGGGGGAGCTGTCATCTGTACTATAGCACATGGCGTGGCTTTTTACACTCCTCCCAGCAATATCTGGGGTTTTCAACGGCTAGCGTAACACTGCATGCTTTAGGATTAGATCCTAAGAATGACACGGGGCAATGTTGCTGAAGCAGTATTGCTTAGGTGTTTTGAGTCTTTGCCCAGAATGATTGCGTCACAGGGGACGCACCGAATACTAGATGAGTAGTTAGGCCATCCCATCTATTTAGCACTAATACTATGTTGTATATTCTCCGTTTTCTCATAAGGTCTTTAGACATAGTTGGAGACTAGAGATCTTAAGTAGCCTCAAAAGTTATACGTGTATACTCTAGGCTTTCGGCGAGTGATGCTCGCAACAAGTATACAAAATGGCTCGGTTGCTTTCGATGCTTCTAAAATACCCATGAAGGTTCCCTGAAGATTCCAGCCACGGCTTTCTGTGTTGCTTGTCCTCTTAAATTTGAGGGTAGGATTCGATAACCTTCAGCCGAACAATGGAAGACCATCGGCCTCTTCAGGTAACAGATGCCGCATCGCAGCACGACAGATGTATGCACCTTGCGTATTCTTAAATGTTGAAAGTAGCCGTAACGACGTGGACACCTTTCTGCATAGAGTCGCTGGGCCCGACATCATCTTTTCTATCGTGTCGATCATGCGGACGTGGCTTGCGTGGTTGGAAGAATCAAATATAGTAGCATGTTGACATTCCCATCATTCCGTAGTTTGCCCTCTATTAAGTTTTCTGGTAAGACTCATTGTCCTTGGGCCACAAACGGATATACTCACGCTGAATGTTGGCATCATTACTGACGATGTTCTGGTGGTTTTTTTGGCATATTTGACCATGCTCTAGATCCTTTTACGGTAGTGATGTTTGTATCACCTCGCTTGGATATGACACCAGTCAGGCCCATTATCGAACTCCACATGATCGTTCTAACTGTGGGTAGTTTTGGAGCCCGAACATTTGCTCGCTGCGCACTTCTTGCGCAAGTTGTTTCCTGTTAAAGGACTTGTCGATAGCTATGCATTGCGTTAGTTCTAGATAAAAAAAATGGTTATCACTAAGAATCTAGCACATGTTCTTTTGCTTTTCTAGGGTTGTTGTGTGTCTCCTCATTCTGGGCAATGGTTTCAATAGCAAACCAATGTTCTTACTGAGAAGTCAGCGGCAATTTCAGGAAGTAGCTTGGGTTCATGGACGATGTATTTCATAGCGATTTTGTTGTCTGAACAGAACTGCGATCGATCGCTCTTTGAATGTCCCTAACCACTTGCGTCAAATCCTTTCTGAAGCGTTTCTGACTCTAGATCCCAAGCCCCTTGCCGGTATATGTCAAGCACAGCGTCCCAGCTTCGTTAGTAACGAGGGCAGCGTGAAGCGCTCTATCTCCAGACTTGGCAATGTCTGTTCCAGCTTCCCGAGTATGTGTCTCAAGTTAGATGAACGCTGCAGTGAATCCCTAAGAGAATCCTTCCTTATTCGAGGTATTTTCAGCTCTTTGGCGAACTTGGCTTGGTCAGCGCCGCCCATACAAGATATCTCTGTTTCCTGGTCTATAACCACTGCACAACTAGCATCCGTTCAAGACGCGCGAGCATGCTCACAGTAGATCAACGGTCATCACGTAGATACGAGCAGCAGGTCTACTCGAAGCTGACCAAGAGCTGCCACCAAACCGCAAAGGCGTGATACCTTATGATCTATACATCTGGAGTCGTATATCCTCCTCCCTAAAGCGTAATACCCTTTAAATACCAAATACCAGGACCTGTCTCCCCACTCCGCTACTACTGGACCGTCCCTTGGCAGTTTTTTTTTTCCCCCTCTCAAATCCATGTTGCTATTAAACATAATTCTCAGGGGCGTTCCCCCCTTGAAAAAATGGAGGTGTTGCAGTGTAAAAAGACAGTCAATCCATCTAGATATAAGACGGAAGCGTAAAAGGAGTGGTCTAATGATAGAGGCTCGAGCTTGTGCTTGGAGCTGATAGCTTTCGAGGTGTGTTACTGGTGATTGTAATCATCCCCATCCAAGTCGTAAGGTTAGTTACTGACCTGTTGTTTGTAAGTAGTCCACTAGAACGGCCATGGTATCCCATGCGTCGGTGAGTTTACAATGGGCCGGTAGCTATCCTCCGAGCATAGGGTTCCATGTACGGATGAGAAGTAGTCGATAATGATTCACGTGTGGATTAGGGTGGTGTGATTCAGAGGATCGTACTCGGGTATGGGGGTATACTAGGCCATTTATTCAGTCCTTACTGCTTCTAGAGTCGATTGAGTTATCCATGGCAGTGATGGCAACGGAGGGCTCCTGATTGTTATCCTCCGGGTCTTCCTTGCTATTAGCCTCGCATACCGTCGTCCGTTACCTTGGGCATAATAAAATCGGAGTCGGCAACGTCATAGAGGCTGCGTCGGTAGTCCATATACTCAGCTTCGAAATGCCACGCAGGCGCTTGATACATTGATATACGTCGCCGTCTGGTTTCCTCTTTTCAGAACCGCTAGGGTCCAGTGTAGTGACATCCGAAACGGTAGCGGGAATGGTACGAGGAGCAGCAACGAGTAAGCATTCGGAGGAGCAGTGTTGCTAAGAGAAACAGAACCAGGCTCGCCTCAGCTGTTAAGGGTTGCCCTATCGCAATATCGATCAGACTGCTGTCGGGTACAGATGGGTCGGCTTGAGTCGTGAGGTGTTCGATATGGATGAAGCTACTTATATAGTAGCCGGTGTTGTCAGCCTTAGG